TAACTTAGTTATAACTAACATTATAACTTAGTTATAACTAACATTATAACTTAGTTATAACTAACATACATTAGGGGGAAGATATTTTTATTTAGAATTTAGAATAACATAGAAAAGAAATAACAATATAATGAATACCCATATTCCTACCATCAGGATTAGCCATTGTGTAACAACCTATATTGATTTCCAGTCTTTTTTTTAAAGAAAGAAAACCTCGGTGGCTCAAGCCTGTAATCCCAGCACTTTGGGAGGCCGAGACGGGCGGATCACTAGGTCAGGAGATCGAGACCATCCTGGCGAACACGGTGAAACCCCGTCTCTACTAAAAAATACAAAAAACTAGCCGGGCGAGGCGGCGGGCGCCTGTAGTCCCAGCTACTCAGGAGGCTGAGGCAGGAGAATGGCGTAAACCCGGGTGGCGGAGCTTGCAGTGAGCTGAGATCCGGCCACTGCACTCCAGCCCGGGCGACAGAGCCAGACTCCGTCTCAAAAAAAAAAAAAAAAAAAAAAAGAAAGAAAACCTTCTGGATAAAAGTGAATTCCTCCTTACTGCCCCCACCATTTCCACTTCCACCCTCTCTACTTTGAGTTTGGTGCAAACCTTTCCCTCTGTAATTCTCTGGCAGACATTTTCTGTTGTGCTTTTTCATCTAGCGTTACACACCCCTGTGAGGAAGGCAGGGTGTGTGGGGGCCCTGCCTTACAGATGAGAACGGAATTGGTGGCTGTTGTGGTTCTTTTGTGTCCCTTAAAGACATGCCCAAAGCTATGGGTGGGCTCAGAATGCCCGGGAAGGAAGTCAGATAACTGAAAGGAACACTCACACTAGTCACAGGAAAACCAGCCTGAGCTGCCTGCAGCCTCCGGGAGGTGTTGGGATGGGCTGCCCCTGCTTCCAATGAGGGTCCTGACCCAGAGAGAGCAGGCCCCAGAGGAGCGGGGATCTGTGGAGGCTGGACGTGGCCCGGTCTGCTTGTGAGGAAGCCCTGGGAGGATGGAGTCTCACTTCTGCTGTACAGAGCTCAGCCAGCTGAAGAGGGGATGCAGGGACCAAGCCCCATGCCCTGGGGCCTGAGGGGTGGGAGCCACCTTAGATGGCTGAGGCCAGCCTTCCCAGGCCAGGCCAGGCTGCTTTCTCTCTCCCCCAGGCTCTGAGTGTTGAGAGGAGGGACTTTCTTAAGGTCACAAGAGCACTCAGCACCCGCTGCCTCCCAAGTAGAGCCTGGGCAGAGGTCGGAGGTGTCCACAGAGACCCCAGGACATGAGAGCCCTGCACCTGCATGGCCCTCCACCAGGAGGCCAGGCCTCAGAGCCAGGTCAGCATTGGAACCACTCACCATGTGAACGAATGTCAGTGTCCCTCCAGACTCATGTGTTGACACCTCATCCCCAAGGCGATGGCATTTGAGGTGGCACCTTTGGGAGGTGATGGGGTCATGAAGGTGGGGCCCTCATGGTTGAGATTAGTGCCCTTATACAAGAGGCCCCAGAGAGCTCCCTCGCCCTTTCTGCCATGTAACAACAGTGGGAAGACAGCAGGCATGACCCAGAAAGTGGGTCCTCACCAGACACCCAGTATGCCAGCTGATCTTGGACTGCCAGCTTCCAGAACTGTGAACAATACATTTCTGTTGTTGGAAAAACCCTGTTTGTGATGTTTCGTCATGACAGGCCCAACAGACTAAGACGTGTGACTGTGAGCTCTGAAAATGCAGCCAGTACTACATGTCAGAAGCATGATATTTAGGATGTGTTGGGGTAAATCACATGTTTTCTTAAAAATATGACTTTTTAGTAGGAATTTAAAAGTATGGAAGGAACAGGCAGAGCGCAGAGGACTTTTAGAGCAGTGGTGCTGTTCTGAAAGATACTGTCATGGCAAGTGTGGGCCGTTATGCATATGTCCAAACTTATAGGACATGGGATGCCAAGTGTGCACCCTCATGTCAGCTGCAGGTGTTCTGAGTGACTGTAAGGTCACCACAGGCTCCTCCATTGCAACCAATACACCACTGTGGTGGGGATGTTGAGGAAAGTGTTGTGTATGCATGGGGCAGGGTTTGTACGTGAAATCTATACTTTCCATTCAGTTTTGCTGTGTACCTCAAACTGCTTTTAAAAAACAAGGTTTATTAAAAATTAATCTCACCTGTTACTTTTTTTTTGACGGAAAATGAAAACGTGGCCTGTGTTACACGTCTGTTGTGCAGGGCTATCTCAGGCTTGTATGGGTCCTTAATGTAGCCCTGCAACATGGACATGAAAGGTGTGGTGACTGCAGCCGGGCTCTGCAGGCTGTCTGGGCATCTCAGTGGCAGCCCAGGGAAGAGCTTGGGGAGTTTTACAAGGAGAATTTCAGGCTTCTTTTACTTGGATAGGAAGAGCTCTGTTTGCATTTATTGCCTGTGTCTGAGATTAATATACTGCTGTTATGAAGCAAGAAAAGGTGGTTTTCTCTATTTTGTTGAGGAGAGAGAGGCTAGGAGAGGGTGTGGGATTTACAGGCCAGACCAGGACTCCAGATCCCAGTTCCCAGGGGCCATTGAATGATATATACCCAGTGTTTTTAAAAGTGGAGTGGGAATTGATGACTTCTCTTCCCCCACCCATAGACTTTATTTTCTTTATTCTTTATATTTATTCATTTATTCTAATTGTTTGTTTGCTTGAGACGGGGCCTCATTCTGTCACTCAGGCAGAGTGCAGTTACACAATCATAGCTCACTGCAGCCTTGAACTCCTGGGCTCAAGCGATCCTCCCACCTCAGCCCCCCATGTAGCTGGGACCACAGATGCACACCACCATAACTGGCTAATTAAAAAAATTTTTTTTGGTAGAGATGGAGTCTCACTTTGTTGCCCAGCCTGGTCTCGAACTTTTGGGCTCAAATGATCCTCCCACCTCAGCCTCCCAAAGTGTTAGGATTACAGGCATGAGACACTGAAGCAGAGTAGACTTTTTTTTTTTTTTTAAAGCAGTTTTAGGTTTACAGCAAAATTCAGTAGAAAGTACAGGCTCCTTTTTCTGTCCCCAGATTGAATCTAGGACCCAGGATTTGTTGTTTCCTTAGCCTCTGCTGCCCCATGTGAATTTTCTGATTTGTCCTTGTTTCTACACTCTGTTTTGTGTACTTGTGTGTGGGAAGTTTAAAGCCCTTCGAAAAATACCATAGGGCCTTAGTGCTGTCAACAGTTGGATGGTTGGACGGAGTGTTTCCAGCGGGCACGGGCCCGGTTCACAGGCACCTGCTTCTTGTCTCCTTTGCGTGCTTGTGCCTGCCTTGCTCTGTTCGTCGACTCTGTGCCGTGCTATTTTCCTGGAAGAAATCCACAAGGGGCCACAGACACACTTCCTCTGGGGTGTAGATTGCTTTCCTTCACTGACGGGTGCAGCTCATTTTCCGTGAACTTCCAAGGTCCATCTGCAGGCCTCCTGCTGCAGCCCACTGTGGCCAGGTGGTGTTGGAGTGGTCAGTGTGCTCAGGTGTGTTGGAAGGGGCCTTGTGCTGGCTTGGCCCAGCGAAGACACTTGGCGTTCAACCAGAAGGCAGGACATCTACCTGGGTGTGTTCTCCACCATTGCCTTTTTTTTTTTTTTTTTTTTTTTTTTTGAGGCGGAGTCTCACTCTGTTGCCCAGGCTGGAATGTAATGGCTCAATCTTGGTTCACTGCAGCCTCCGCCTCCCGGGTTCAAGCGATTCTCCTGCCTCAGCCTCCTGAGTAGCTGGAATTACAGGCACCTGCCACCAAGCCTGGTTAATTTTTTGTATTTTTAGTAGAGATGGGGTTTCACCAAGTTGGTCAGGCTGGTCTCGAACTCCTGACCTCTGGTGATCTGCCCACCTCCACCCCCCAAAGTGCTGGGATTACAGGCATGAGCCACTGCGCCTGGCCATGCACCATTGCTTTTTGACACCAGGCAGTTTCTGACAAGTCTCCTTCAGAATACTCGTGGCTGTGGGTGTTCCATTGAGCTCAGGCAAAGTTGGGGAGGATGCGGAGACCCCAGAGTGTCTGCTCTGTGTCAGGTGCTGTGCCGGGTGCAGCTCCGAGAGACAAGCGCCAGGCACGGCTTAGTGGCCCCTCCTGGGGCCTTGGTCACACTATAAGCTCTCTAAGGGCAGCATGGCCGGCTGCTTCCCATGGCCCTGCTTCATCCCAGGTTCCGTGTGGCATTCTTTTGGAGGCCCTGTACACTAGACCTGAGTGCCTGTCTATAGACAACACATGCTAGCTGGGCACACTCAGTGTGGAGTCTGCTGTCCTCTACCTCTCGTCCCCTTCTCACCTGGGCCTGGGATAGTTATCCTGGGCCATGGATGGAAAAACTGAGGTGCTGACACCAGATAGCTTTCCCCATACATTCCTGTTATCCTTCCTCCTGTTATCCTCCCTGGGGAAATTGGCTCACAGACATCTGGGCTTATTTGTGGATGTGTTTATCTGTCTTTCTCCCATCTGTGGCTGTAATAATATCCGCTCCGCAGGCACTGGGAGCTCATGATTGTGGTTATCATTATGGGTTAGTGGAACCCGTCGGGGTTGGAAGCTGATGCCCGGAGCCTGCTGTGTTCCAGGCCTGGGCTAGAGGTTGGTCGAGATGCCTGTGCCCCCTCCCTGTTCAACGTGCTGCTCATGGGATCCCTTGAGCAGCTTTCCTGCTGGTACTGAACGACTCCCACATCTGCAGGAGTCTTGGATGGTGGCCATCTGTTGAACCTTGAGGTCATTTCCAGGTGTGAGGTCTCCTGTTTGAATTGCTCCATGGGGACTGTGTGCACAGGCCCGGAGCCCTCAGCTTGTGGAGGTCTTAACTGGAGAGGCCTCGGCAGGGCCCCACGTCTCCTCAGGGTTTGAAGCTGTGTTAGGCGATCCACCTCAATTCTGTCTTTGGGTCCAGGACTGTGCCCTAGACGGGAGCCACAGCCTGATGTCTGGACCCCGCTGTGCCTTGTGGTGCAGCTCCAGAGAGTAAATGCTGTCTTCTTCCACTGCAGGTTGTCCACCCGGCCGGAGGTGGCCAGCATCGAGCCGCTGGGCCTGGATGAGCAGCAGTGCTCCCAGAAGGCCGTGGTGCAGGCCCGCCTAACCCAGCCTGCCCGCCTCACCAGCATAATCTTCGCAGAGGACATCAGTAAGGGCTGAGTACTGTTTGTGATCCCCAGTGGGAGTCAGAGACAGGGAAACGCCCATTGAGACTCAGGGTCCCAGAGGCCTACCTGAGCCCATGGCAGGGCTTTCTCTTGGTGGGTGGCAGGACACCCAGGCAGGAGACAGGCACCCAGCAGGCAACACCCATCCTGGGCCTTGTGCCAGCACTTTGTACTGTGTTCCCTTTTTGTGGAGGCTGGCTTGCTAAATTTCTAAATTATTATTTGTTACCTAAATAACTTTTTTTTTTTTTTTGAGACCGAGTGTCACTCTTGTCCCCCAGGCTGGAGTGCAGTGGCGTGATCTCAGCTCACTGCAACCTCTGCCTCCTGGGTTCAAGTGATTCTCCTGCCTCAGCTTCCCAAGTAGCTGGGATTACAGGCGCCTGCCACTACACCTGGCTAATTTTTGTATTTTTAGTAGAGACGGGATTTCATCACGTTGGCCAGGCTGGTCTCGAACTCCTGACTTCAGGCGATCCACCCACCTCGGCCTCCCAAAGTGCTGGGATTACAGGTGTGAGCCACCACGCCCAGCCCTAAATAACTCTTAATGGGTATCAACTCATTACTATGACAGTTATCCTAATCTATGAAATCACTCCTTTTCATTCCCCATACCTAATTTATTATATTGGTTGTAAAATAGTTTGACAACAACAATATAATTTTCTATCATGCTTTTCCCTACTTAGATTATAGGACATGTTCCATTTTACGATACGATGATTTTTTTTTTTTTTTTTTTTTGAGACAGAGTCTTGCTGTGTCACCCAGGCTGGAGTGCAGTGGCGCGATCTCGATTCACTGCAACCTCTGCTTCCCAGGTTCAAGTGATTCTCCTGCCTCAGCCTCCTGAGTAGTTGGGGCTACAGGCATGTGCCACCATGCCCAGCTAATTTTTGTATTTTCAGTAGAGACGGGTTTCAGCAAGTTGGCCAGGCTGGTCTCGAACTCCTGACCTCATGATCTGCCCACCTCAGCCTCCCAAAGTGTTGGGGTTACAGGCGTGAGCCACCGTGCCCGGCCCATATAATGATTTTTAATGCTAAATAATATTCTCTTTTTTTGTTGCTGTTTTGAGACAGTGGCTTACTCTGTCACCCAGGCTGAAGTGCAGTGGCTCCAACACTGCTCACTGCAGCCTCAACCTCCTGGACTCAGGCAATCCTCCTGCCTCAGCCTCTCAAGTATTTAATAGTTGGGACCACAGGTGCATGCCACCATGCCCAGCTAATTTGTAAAATTTTTTGTGGATAGTTGGGGTCTCCCTATGTTGTCCAGGCTGGTTTCAAACTCCCGGGCTCAAGCAACCCTCCTGCCTTGGCCTCCCACAGTGGTGGGATTACATGTGTGAGCTACCACACCTGGGCCAAATAATATTCTTAACAGGAGGTTGTCCTATAAGCATTTCCTTGTATTGGGCATTTAGAGTGTTTTCAGATGTTCGTTTCAGTGTTACATATAAAAATAAATGTTTTTATATAGAGAACAAATTAGAGTTCTTTTACATTATTTCTTAAGATAAATTCCCAGTTTTTCTGGGTCACAGCCTTGAATATTTTTATTTTTATTTTTTGAGATGTAGTCTCACTCTGTTACCCAGACTGGAGTGCAGTGGCATGATCTTGGCTCACTACAACCTCCGCCTCCCAGGTTCAAGCAATTCTTCTGCCTCAGCCTCCTGACTAGCTGGGATTATAGGCATGTGCCACCAGGCCTGCCTAATTTTTCTTGTATTTTTAATAAAGATGGAGTTTCATCATGTTGGCCAGGCTGATCTTGAACTCCTGACCTCAAGTGATCCACCTGCCTTGGCCTCCCAAAGTGCTGGGATTACAGACATGAGCCACCACGCCTGGCCAGCCTTGAATACTTTTAAGGCTTTTGATACATGGGACTGTATTGCTGTGCAAGAAAACAACACTAAAGTGCACAAGTATTTTTATATGGTACCTGGGGAATGGTCAGAATACTTTTGTATCTCTTGCTGCTATCCTTACACTTGAGGGTTCCCCAGGTAATGCCATTTACATACCTTATTTATGGAGCAAGTAAAAAAATCTCTGGGTGTGCCCACCAGCCCCTTCTGTACTATAGTTGATAGTCTTTTATAAAAACACCAGCATATGTGTAAACCAAAAACCACCAGTGTAATCCCTAATCTCAGTGAAGGGACAGGGCTCTTGTCTTTGGGATGGGAACTCATCATACTATAACCCTTGTCACTTCACTGAATGGTTACACCCTGAACGAAACTAAGTTTTCCTGGAGTTTTCTTTGCCCACAGCTTTAAATGCTGGTGCCCTGCTGGAAAAGCCAGAATGGGTGGTGACAAGGCCCCCACAGCCCTTCCTTTCTGGTAGTCCCTGTTAACTGTCAGCGGGGCTGTGTGCAAGGGAGCTGCTTGGCTTCTGAGGGTGAAGCTGGTGGTCACTGTGGTCTTTGCCAGAGTGTAAGCCTGCAAGGCTTGGAAGTGGAGCCAGGGGCAGGGACTGTCTTTGTTGCTGACCCCTCCCTGGGGTTCCTTCAGCCACAGGCCAGGTCCTGCGCTGTGATGCCATCGTGGACCTCATCCATGACATCCAGATCGTCTCCACCACCCGCGAGCTCTACCTGGAGGACTCCCCCCTGGAGCTGAAGATCCAGGCCCTGGACTCCGAAGGTGAGGACGTCCCCTGCCTGTTTGTCCTCTGCAGCCCGTGCTGGATCATTCCCCCACCATGACCCTGGCCTTTCTACTTTCCCCACTCCTCTGGCATCCAATCCTGCAGGTCCCTAGGGGGCAGCTGTGGTTAGGCAGGTGAAGTTCGTGCTGGGGGAGATGTTGAAGAGGCAGAAACCACCTCTGAGGTGGGGCTCAAGCCCTTGGTGGCATCGAATCATGGTCACTCCTGGCCCTCAGGAACCCCTACAGTGGGGCCTGTGTGCTCACAGCTGTGGCTCTGTGACCCTGGAGCCAGACCTGCCTGTCATAGTGCTGGTCCTTGGTGCAGCACATCTTGGGGAAGCTAGTATTCTTGACAGTGATGGGAGGCAGGGAGAGGCTCCCTGCTCCGGCCCTTAGGGCTGGTGGTGGCTTCTTGTTCCAGACCTCAGCATGTGTGTAGATCAGGTCACATTTATGCTGCTGGCCCAGGGTGCTGCCCTCACATCTTCACTTTGCCAGAGTCAAAAATGGGCTTGGCTTATTTCCAGGCTGGAATTTTTCTAGGTGATCTCTTCAAGGAAGTAAGGGAAACTTTTTTTTTTTGGAGACAGAGTCTTGCTCTTGTTGCTCAGGCTGGAGTGCAGTGGCGCGATCTCGGCTCACTGCAACCTCTGCCTCCCGAGTTCAAGAGATTCTCCTGCCTCAGCCTCCTGAGTAGCTGGGATTATAGGTGCCTGCCACCATACCCAGCTAATTTTTTTTTTTTTCGTATTTTTAGTGGAAACAGGTTTTTACCAAGTTGGCTAGGCTGGTCTTGACCTCCTGACCTCAGGTGATCCTCCCACCTCAGCCTCCCAAAGTGCTAGGGTTACACGCATGAGCCACTGCACCTGGCCAATAAGGGAAACTTTGTAGGTTAAAATTCTTGTCAGAGAAAATAAAAATCAGGCAAAAGATACCTTTCAGATGATCTGCCCCAAAACCAAGTCCAAACCAAGGCCCACCTTGTCTTTGAAATCTTTTCTGACAACTCTAGCTCCTGTTTTTGAAAAAATTTCTGGATCAGGATTTCTTCGCCTGGATAGTATTGATTGACATTTGGGGTTGAATAATTCTTTGTGATGTGGGCTGTCAGTGCATTATAGGATGTTCAGCAGCATCCCAGGCCTCTACCTACTAGATGTTAGTAGTGTCTCCCAAGCCATGACAATCAAAAATGGCCCAGACATGGCCAAACGTCCCTGGGGGGCCAAACCACTGTTTAGAGCACTAGCAGACCCTTTCTTCGCCATTTACCCATTCGTCAGATGAGGCCCTTGACCTCTGACACTGCCTTCTGACCTGTGAGATTGAGATAGTGATGCTTGTCCTGGGGACCATAAGGATTTAGTGAGAAATATGTACAGTGTTCAGTCTTGTGTGAATACTCAGTAAGCCAGGGGGTGTTTTTCTGAGCACTTTCTACAAACTGGGCCTTGTCCAGGCACCAGGATTGCTATAGGGAAAGAAGTACCTGGCAGCTCCCAAACAGTTAAACACAGAGTTATCCTACACCCCGGCAATTCCACTCCTATCCAAGAGACTGGAAAATACACGTCCACATGTGAATACTCATAACAGCATTATTCATAGCCGCCAAATGTGAAAACAACCCAAGAGTCCATCAATGGATGAGTGGAAAAACAAAACGCGATCGACTCCTGCAATGGAATATTATTTAGCCACAAAAAGAAGGAAATACAGGCTGGGCACAGTGGCTCATGCCTGTAATTCCAGCACTTTGGGAGGCCGAGGCGGGCGGATCACTTGAGGTCAGGAGTTCGAGACCAGCCTGGCCAACACGGTGAAACCCTGTCTCTACTAAAAATACAAAAACAAGCCAGGCGTGGTGGCACACACCTGTGGTCCCAGTTACTCAGGAGGCTGAGGCAAGAGAATCGCTTGAGCCCAGGAGGCGGAGGCTGCAGTGAGCCAAGATGGCACCATTACACTCCAGCCTGTTTCAGATTTCTGGGGGCAGTGTGTGAAGGTGCCATGATCTCCACGTCCTGGCCAGCACTTGCTATTGCTCACCCTTGTGGTTCCAGTTAAACCCCTTTTAAGTCACTTTTTCTTGAATGTGTATTGATTCTCCCCAGGCAGGTGGTGGGAATGTCGGGATTGGAGAGGTGCCTACCTTGGCGTTCCCAGGCCACTGTTATGCCAGGATGGTGCCCAGCGGCCCTGGATGGTTTCCTCTTACACTCCCCGCTCTCCTGAAGGGTTGATGGCGCCTGCAGCCAATTCCAGAGTAGGACGTCATCTGGTCTTCACAGACTGGGTCATTCACCAGTAGCCCATGTCAAGGCCTCATCTTTGCAGCAAGAAAATGGATAATTTCCCTCCTCATCCACTGTGAGGGCGTCATGCTTTTTACTTGGTCCTCCTCGCCCGAAATACTTTGATTAGTACCTTCATCATTTCTTTTGCCTTTTTTTCTGAGCCTGTGACCTCTCTTCTGATCAGAGTTTCCTCTGTGAAGTTAAACTTGACCCTTAGAACCTTTGAGGGTCTGGCAGTCCCAGAAATGATGTGCCTTATCTAGATTGACGAATGTCAAGAAAGAGAATTGCTCAACAAGCAGTGGCACCGTGGCTGCCCATGGGTGCCAGGCAGTATGTTGTCCCCTTAGTAAGTACAATGTCTTTTTGTGCTTATAAATGGTCTGATGCCCACTATATAGATGAGGAAGCTGAGGCTCAAAGAGCTTCAGTAACTTGCCCATGGTCACACAGCTTATGGGTGGCTGAGCAGGGGCTGGGATCCAGGATGTCTGACTCTGTCACCTGAGCTCTTTCCCGCTGGATGCACTGCCTGTCTCCTGCTGCTGCATTTTCCTGGGCATTGGGGGTCCTCCCCGCATGGCTGGGATCTGCCTTTTTGGCCAGAAGCCACCTGCAGAGTGCCCTCCTCCAGACAGGGCTCTGTCTATTGCACATAGTAGGTACAAATAGCTTCTTTTTGAGTGGAAAAAGCAAAACTTTGAGCAGAAGTTTTCACAGCTATTTCCTGGCCCACCTATGCCTCTTGCATCAGCAGAACTGGGCTAGCTCAGCGTCTACAAACATGCCCCTTCCTCACCTTTCCTTATCCCGTCTCTTCTGCCTGGAGCACCTTCCCCTCCTGAACTCTGCTTTCAGAAGCCATGCTTCCTCTGGCATTGCCTCTCAGGTATCCCCTCCTCCAGGGAGCCCTCCTTGGCTGCCCAAGGTGGGACGTATTCTTCCCTTCCATTTTCCCTCAGCTCTGCAGTGCCCCCTGCCCTGGGGTGCAAGGACATTTTCTACTGTGGCTTGTCAAGGTCAGCACTAGGAAGGCATAACTGGGATCAGTTCATTCTTCTGGACTCTTCTGTGCCTGACACTGGACTTGGGGCCCAACCAGCATTGGGTAAATGTTTGCTAGGTTGAATTGCCTAACATTTGCCTTCAGCCCTCCTGCAGGACAGGGGAGGTGGATCCTCTGGAGACCGGACCCCTGGCTTTCCTGGTTAATATCTAAACTTGGTTGTGAGCCCTCAAGGTCAAGGGCTCTGTTGCACATAGTAGGTACTGATAGCTTCTTTTAGAGTGGAAAAAGCAAAACTTTGGGCACAGATTTCTTGAGAGCTTTCCCTGCCCCCTTGCCACCCTTAGGGGTGCCCACCCGCAGCAGGCCCTGGAAAGGCAGACGTGTGCCTTGACATCCCCAGAGCCCACACAGCTGGGTCTGGCCATGTTGCCCAGCAGCTGGCAGGAGAGAAAGCCAGTGGCCAGCAGCTGGCAGGCCCATGCATGAACGAGGGTCCCTGTGTTCTCATCTGCATGGAGCCCTGCAAATCCTGCACCTGGTCCTATGTGTGCACCTGCCCAAGCAGGTAACTTACAGAAGCCTAAGGACACTTTCTGCTCTTGGAATTGCCACACATTCAACTCTTCCTCCACATTTGAACGTGGTGGACTTCCAGGAGAGACTGGGGGGAGCAAAGATGATGAAAAACAGCTCCACGTGCATCCCCCTGAAGTGTCTGCAGGCACGATTCTCTCCCACTGTTTTCCTTGCTAAGAGCCCCTTAGCAGGGCCTCCCCCACCTCTATCCCCTTGTCCATAAGCGGGCCTTTGTGAACACTGGACATGTCACGGGGGTGCTTTCTCAATTTGATCTTCCCACCAACTCCGTGGGTTTGTATTTTCATCCCCATTTTACAGAAGAGAAAAGCTATGCTTGGAGCCGAGCTAGGTAGAAGCGCCAGGGTAGCTGTTCAGGACTCTTGTAGTGTTGGCATGTATTTATGTTAAGGGAGTGGCCTGCCTAGTGGTCTGCAGTCTTGCATTTCTGGTTAGTGGGTCACACTATTGTAGGGTCTCCATGCTCCCCTCACTGAGCACATTGTAAAGCTGCCGTGCTGGGCTCTGACTCCGGAAGGCAGGAATTTTGGCCCAGGCTCCCCTCACCGAGCACACTGCAAAGCCGGCCTGCTGGGCTCTTCCCCTGGAAGGTGGAATTGGAGCTCAGGCTCCCCTCACTGAGCACACTGCAAAGCCAACCTGCTGGGCTCTGTCCCCAGACAGTGGAATTGGGGCTAGCAGTACTCCATGTGCACCCTGTTTCAGCTCAGTGTGTGGAAGAAGGTTCTCACGGTCAGGGCTGTTGAACAGAGGAATGGATTGTGCTGGGCGATGAGCTCCTCGTCCCTGGGGTATGCGGGAAGGGTCTCAAGCCCACATCCAATGGGGATGCAGCATCCAGGGGTTGGACTAGAGGACTCGTGTCTTGCAGCCAATGTGTTTTGCTGGTGTGGATTTTCATATTCACCATCCTCATCTAATGTCCTGGATGTTAGGAAGACAGATTAATTTTTGGGAAACAATAGACTTTTCATTTGCTCAAAATCCTGCTGTGGACCTCCAAGAAAAAAATCTACCCACGTGTATGTACATCATAGATGGGGGTTATCTTCCTCTGATCAGTTGCTCACCTTGATGGAAGGACACCCAGGGAACTGTAAGAAGATACCTCTCTTCATAAAAGATGCCTTGAGAAGTAAGGCGAAGGCAGCAGAGTTTTCTGGAGCTTCTGCTAAGCACTATTTCATGTGGTCTTTGAGACCTCGTGGGGCCAGGGATCGGGGTGAAGAGAAGCAGGACCCAGGCCCGTCTGACTCTAAATACCTTGCCCTTTGCACTGTAGAAACAACAGCTTTTCTTGGCCCCCAGATCCCTTGTATTGGGAGCTGGTCAGGAAGGGAGTGTGGACGAGGGATGTGGAACAGGCGTGGGGCATCAGGGGCTGGCGGGGAGTGTGGCATGACCGCTTCTAGAGAGGGTGAGCAGCTTTTGGCCCTCAGAGGGAATGAGGCCCAGGCGGGTGGATCTTCATCCTTTCAAGAGAAGGTGAGAACTAGACTTGCATGTGGCATCTGTTTCTTGATTGGAAAGGATAGATCTTCAGAAGGCTCCCAGGCAGCAAGCCAGGACATAAGAGCCAAGGCTGGCTGGGCCTGGCTCTCCTTGCCCCCTACCTACCCCAGGACCTCAAGAGTCTCACAGTCAAAGTGAAGAAGCAAGAGTCATGTGACACTAGACAGTTGGGGTAATGCCCCTCTTCCCTGGGTCCCCTCCCCCGCACAGGGAGAGAGAGGAATTTACTCCCAGGAAGTGGTGAGCAGGAATGAATGGTCCAGGTTTCCAAGCAGCCTCCTAAACTGTAAACCAGTCACAGACCTGCAGGGCAGTGGTGTTATGCACTGCATTGAGCTAGTCCTGCAGTCAAGGGCAGGGAGTCACCGCAGGAAGAGCACAAGCTTTCACCTGACAGCCCTCGGTTCAAATCCTGACTTCGCCCCCTGGTGGTCACATGATTGTGAGCGAGTAAGTGTCTTCATTCCTTTCAGCCTCAGTTTCCTCTCCTGACATACAGGTTATGACACCTGCCTGGTGGGGGGTGATGTGGAGCGTGGTTCCTGCGTGGGGCAGAAGCTCCCACCGCCTCCCTCCGCCCTGGGGAATTAACTCCATGTCTGTTCACCTTCCTCGTCTGTTCTTACAGGGAACACCTTCAGCACTCTGGCCGGACTGGTCTTCGAGTGGACGATTGTGAAGGACTCCGAGGCGGACAGGTTCTCAGACTCCCACAATGCACTGCGGTAAGGGGCGCCTCTGCCGGAACTGACCCCCTTTGAAGGGAAGGGAAAAGGGGGACAGCTGTGAGCTTCTCACCGGCAGGGGGCTTTCATCTGGGTCGTTGAGGAGCCTGGGAGACTCCCAGGATGCCTGCAACATTCCAAGTATCTGATTAAGGAATGGGGTTCACTCACACCATTGTGCAAGAGCCTAGCTGCTTCTGCAGCCCACAGAGAGTGTCCTGTGAGAAGCTGTCAGAGACTTGGGATGTCTAGCTGGAGAAATGAGACGTGCACGGCTGTCTCGGGGCACAGGGGAAGTGTGGGTGGCCCCAGGCTGCACTTCTGGGGGGCCAGTTAAAGGGCAGCCAGGTTTCGGCTGGGGCACAGGCCAGCTGTGCCAGCCGGTCTCTGGTGGAACAGGCTAAGTCACCCATACGGCGGTACAGTAAGACCCGTTGTGAGGTGGACACCTTAAGCGTCTTGACCTGTGTCATCCTCCTGGCAGCCACGCGAGCTTGCACACCACTGTGCTCTCCATCGAGTAGTCGTAGAGGCTGAGACTTGGAGAGGCCGAGCCATTTGTCTGAGCTCGGGGAGGGCAGAGCTGGAGTCTGAACTCAGATCCATGGATCCACACTGTCTCATGTGGGAACAACAGGCCCCAGGGCTATTTACTTGTAGTGAGGAAATGCGTAGTTCAGTTCCTAAGATGCACAAGCCTCCTGTCAATGGCTCACTGCGCTGCCACATGTGGGACAGGGCAGGAGCAGAGCCACGCAGGTCCTCTGCGCTGGTGCAGGTCCCAGGTCTGAGCTTGTATTCCTGACTGTGCCACCTTCCTCGTGATTTGCTATGTGATTTTTAAAATGCACGGTCCCTTTTTTAAAGTTGTTTTTGAATGTTTTGAGTCTCCTTTTGCAGCAATTTTAGGCCTGTAGAAAATCTGCCAGTGTAGTCCAAAAAGTGGTCTCCCTCACTCACCTGAGAGCCGGCTGCCAGCCTCATGTCCCGTCACCCTGATGATTTTCATGTGCTTTACGACCATCAGGGACATTGTCCTGCACGGCCACCATGCAGTCATGGCACTAGGAAAGGAACACTGATGCCGACTGTCTTCAGACCTCACTCGAGTTTGGTCATTTGTCCCCGCTTTATCCTTTTCAGCAAAAAGAGATCCCAGCCCCAAGTCACCTGCCGCATGTGTTCCGTTTCTCTTAGTCTCTGTCAGCCTGGGACTGTCTCCTGGGCTTTGACTTTGGACACCGCAACGCTTGTGAAGAGGACAGTCTAGTTATCAGTAGAGTGGCCCTTGTTTTGGGTTTGTCTGCTGTTCCCTCACGGCCAGGGTCCGAATGTTGTGTCTTTGGCAGGAATATTTCGGAAGTGAGACTCTGTTCTTCTACTTCCCTCTGTGCTTTCTCACCCCTTTGTAATTATAAGTCCTTTGTTGGGGAGTTTACTGTCTGGTCTTTCATTACGCCATTAAAGTCCTGCTCTGGACCGTAGGGGATGTTGGGGTGTGGTTCTTCCATCACAGCCTTCTCCAGGCCTCGGCTTACAGCAACTCCAGATAGACATCCTCATGTCCTGATGCCTTTACGAGTCTAGTTGCCCTTGTGGAGACAGGGCCTTCTGGACCAGCTCTGTGGTTTCTGGTGTTTTATAAAACCATGACCCTGGGCTGGAGAGTCAGAGACCTGGGACCTAGATTGCAGTCCTGGCTTTGTCGCTTCCTGCCTGTGGCCTTAGCCAGGGAACATTACCCACCTGAGCCTCAGCCTCCTGCCCTGGGAAACAGAGCTGGAGGGGATCCCGTACCTGCCTTTGAGGGCCACTGTGCAGCTTAGCGGGTTGATCTGCTCAGGGCCCCTTTCTGGGCCTGGCACATGCTGGATGTTGAGGGGATGCTGATTCCCTATCCCCTTCTGACAACACCCCATTCCCCGCCACGTCAGGCCCCTTGAGCTTCCAGGCAGCTAGCTCTGCACCTGAGCCAAATGCTAACAGAAATCCCAGACGCCATGGCAGGTTGGAGCTGGATTGTCCTGGATTTGCAATTTGACATGTGATACCTAGAGTAATCGGGCGAGGAAATAAATCACAATGCGGCCCAGCATCGGCAGATTGCTCTTGTGCAGGGGAACAGTGGACTCGTTTGTAAATGCAGGCTGAAGTGGGAGGCTGCATGGGAAGGATCCCTGAAGTCAGCCTGCCCAGCAGCCCACACTCCAGGCTATACCACGTCCCCGACATCTCCCCAAGACGAGATCCAGGGAGAGTGAGATGTGGTGCCGTCCAATCCCCAGGGCTAGGGGACCAGTCATGGAGAATCGTTCTCCAGAGCCGGGCGCTAGGCCGGGGAGGTGGGACAGGAGCAGGCAGCCTTGGGAAGGTGAGGGCGCTGCTGGCCCCGCTGTGACTGGGCTGTGCTCTTGGGCCTGCTGCCTACTCTCCCGGGCCTCACTGTTCCCATATGGACTCAGCAGCTGGTCTTGCATGTCAGTATTTACATCACGTGTACATACGGATAAAATGCAGATTCCCAGGCATCTTGCATCTTGGAGACAAAGCCTGGGCCAGGGGCCAAGAATCTGTATTTTTCACAAGGACTTTGGCAGTTCTGAAGTAGGAAGTTGCAGTGACGTGTCTCTAGGCAGCCCCAACCCTGACTAGGGCAAAACCCCTTATTTCAGCGTTAGCCCCAGTGAGAGGTGCTTATAGGGAATGCCGTGGTAGATTCTGACGAATCTTGTGTTGGAGTTTGATCAACGAACTTTGACAAAGTGCTCCTTTTCCAGAATCCTCACTTTCTTGGAGTCTACGTACATCCCTCCTTCTTACATCTCAGAGATGGAGAAGGCTGCCAAGCAAGGGGATACCATCCTGGTGTCTGGGATGAAGACCGGGAGCTCCAAGCTCAAGGCTCGCATCCAGGAGGCTGTCTACAAGGTGGGCCTGGGGTGCTGGGGGACAATGGGCTTCCTGGGGTGGAATCAGGCTGACGGCACCTGCTCATTCCCATAGACATGTTGAATTGTGGAAGTGAGATGCTGTCCCATGATTTCAGGATGTGGGTTCATATTTTTATGTGTTTGGTTTCTTTTGAGCCTCAGCTTACAAAGAAAGGTGGTTGAGGCCCCAGAAAGCATCTCTAGGGGTGCATAGCATTTGCTCATTCTCAGTTTCTAGGGAGGTCCAAGAGCAGGAGGTTCCTAGTAACTTGCCTATTTCCAATTGGCCCCCCCACCGTGCTGGTATAGGGACGCTCCCAAGCACTTGGGGCTTTGACAAAGCCCGGAGCTCCTGGTGTCTTCTATGCCGTCTCTCCTTGTGCCCCCATTGGAGCCCTGAGACTGGTGGCCCAGGGATCCCTTGTGTAGATCTCCTCAACCCCCTGCCCCAGCCGATCCCATGTCTTCCTGGCCTCACCAGCATCCCATTCTCGGGATAGTGGGGGTATGCCAGAGGAAAGGAGAATGAGGAGTGGGTCTATCCAACGTCCTGGTTCCTTCCCTGTCCCCGTGGACTAATGTCCACCCAACCGGTGCCTCGTTTTGAGCTGCAACACTGAGATATTTTTGTTTGCCTAGTGTCTGGAGCACAGGCAGGAACATGTGGTACTTGGCCTGCCATTTAATTTTGTAGAGTGGCAGACAGAGAAATCCTCTTCTGATTCACTCTCTGTAGTGGGTTTGCTGCATCTGGGAGTCCTGGAAGGTTTTGGAAACATGCGGACATGCCCTGTTACAGGGGCTAATCCCGCAGGACTCTGCATGTAGTAGTTGGAGACAGTTTGCTCCTGTGTAGGGCCCAGGCTGGGAATGGGTACAGCCCCACTGCTAAGCTGGAAAGGCAGATTTGCTGTCCTGCCCTCCGACATTCAGTGGCCCTCCCTGCCTGCATTCTGCCACAGAACCCTGCCCATGGTGGTGCCCAATATACTTGTCTCTTTTGAATGCACTGAAGATATTAACTAGTTGTTAAGTGAGGAAACCTGTCAGTTGTGACAGCAGGCTTAAAGGAGAATCCAAAGAATAGCCACAGGATACCAGGCATGCTGAACTGAACTCAGAAACATGCAGAATGCCCACACCCACAGGAGGGCAGTCAGCTGTACCTCCACCAGAGGAAATGTTTTTGTGTTTCTGTGGACAAGAATCGTTTGCTTTGTTGTTGCTTTTCTGCAATGTACAGTGCCATCAAACAGGCCAAAGACAATGAAAGGTGCAGGCCTCTGGAGAATCCAGTACCTAAGGGTGCACTAGACAGGGCACCTAGTGATCTTTCTCCCATTGCAAAGTTGCTCACAGGTTTTCCTGAGGAGGCAGGAGGTCACAGGTTGGGGGTGAGAGGTGGGCAGGGGAAGGGGCCAAGGAATAGCAGCCAAGGGCTCATCACAGCACATGCGTCTCCTGCTTTTTACATTGGCCTAGGGCTTCTCAAGTTCCCTGGACCTTGGGCTTTTGTGCAGAGAGAACTTGAGCTCCTGATGGCCATACTGTCCCTAAAGTTCATGCTGGCTTTCCTCATTTACTCCCGTTTAATCATTGTTTCACATAGAGATGAGCCATGCACAATGGGCAGCCAGTGAGAGGGCTCAGTCTGGGTAATGCCCTTTGTCTGGGTGCCTGCTGTACTTATGGACCTCCCTCGGGACCTCTGGGGTCTGAAAGTGAGGATTTGGGAATGATATCTTGTTTCTTTCCTCCTAACTTCTCTATTCCCATGTTTAAAACATCTCTTTCTCTTGCTCTCACCACCACTCCTCCATTCCCTATCTGCACCTCACTTTGTCTACCTTTTCTTTATGCCAAGAACGTACGCCCTGCAGAAGTCAGGCTGCTGATTTTGGAGAACATCCTTCTGAACCCGGCCTATGACATCTACCTGATGGTGGGAACCTCCATTCAATACAAGGTGCAGAAGATCAGGCAAGGGAAAATTACAGGTGTGTCATTGGCTCTGCCATCGTGACAGATGCTTCCTTTGTCCTTTTTTTATTTTGGTGACATACATGTAACAAAATTTACCATATTAACCACTTTTAAGTGCTCTGTCAGGTAACATTAAGTACATTCACAGTGTTTTGCAGCCATCACCACCATCCATCCACAGAACTCGTTCATCTTCCCAAACTGAAGCTCTACATTGTTAAACACTAACTCCCCTTCACCCTCTCCCAGCCCTTGGCACCCACCATTCTATTTCCTGTCTCCATGAATGTAACTACTCTGGGTACCTCACGTACGTGGAATCACGTAGTATTTGTTTTTTTGTGACTGGCTTATATCACCTTTTTCTTAGCCTGATGTCTTCAAGGTTCATCCATGTTGTAGCAAGGACTGGAATTCCCTTCCCTTTTAAGGCTGAATAGTGCTCCATTGTGTGGATGGATAGATCACATTCTGTTTACCCGTTCATCCATCAGCAGACACTTGGGTTGCTTCCACTTTTTGGCCGTTGTGAGTAATGCTGCTGTGAACATAGTGAGAAAATATCTGAATCCCTGCTTTCAAATTCTTTGGGGTATATGCCCCTTCAGTGGCAGCAAGTCCAGAGCTGTGGGCTTTGTGCTTAGCTGGGCTTTGTCCCTGGTCTGCAACTGACATCTGAACAAACTTGGGCAAGCCACTGCCCTTCTCCAGGGCTATTTCTCATTAGAGCCTTTGAGGCCTTTCTGCCTAGGCTATGAGGACAAAATGAGTCAACAGGAGTGTAGTTGTACTGTGTACTTGTGTTTGGATAGTGAGGGTTCTTAATGGAGTGCCAGTCCTCCTAAGGATCATTATCATTTTGTGCAAAGCTGTGTATATTTAACATCCAGAGCGTAGGACGTGAAGAGTCCTGGGCACAAGAGCTCAGGGCCAGTTCATCCGAGGGCCTCGGGCAGGTGACTTCACCAGGTTGGTAAGTCGGTTCCACCTATGATACAGGATGTCATTTAAGAGGCAGGCAGATACACACTTCAGCATAAGAGCAACTTGAGCGGTGTCCCCAGATGATGGGAGGTGCTGCATTGTTTAAAGTCCTGCTCAGGTGAGAGCAGTCGTCTGGTTGGTCATTCCTGTGGCAGAACGCTTGGTCTCTCAGGAGGACAGAGAAACTGAAGACAGGTGCTCCTGCCTTTGGACCAGGTTCTTTCTGGCAAGGGGGTGCTAGTTGAAGGGAAGCAAACTTGTGTTTCTTGATTCTAGGCAAGCAGCATCTGCCCTTCGGCAGGATGTCAAGTCAACGGGGGAGGATGGCCTGCAGTAGGATTTGTAGGAAGCCAAGCATGGGTGTCCTGGTCAGAGCCCGATGTTTACCTGACTTCAGGGCAGCAGATTCTAAGGCAGGGACAGTCTAAGATGTGGTTTTCTGAGACTCTGAAAGGGGAAGAGGCTCCAACGTAGAGTTCTGGGGACAGCAGCCTAAGGAAGAGGTCTCCAAAATATAAACTTATCCATGAACCCTGATCAAGAAATGGCACTGCGGCCTGGAGGAAGACGCTTGGAGAGCCTGGTCACTGCCAACAGCACCTAACCATGACTGAGCATTTCCTCGGTGTTGGGCAGTTGTAAGTGCTTTTCTTTTTAAAATTACTTTATTTCTTTAGAGACTTGGTCTTGCTATGTTGCCCAGTCTGATCTCAAACTCCTGGCCTCAAGCCATCCTCCTGCCTCAGTTCTTCTGAGTAGCTGGGACTACAGGTGTGTACCTGGATATAAACCAACAGCTCTGTGAGGTAGATTTCATTAATACCGTTTTATACATGAGGAAACTGAAGCATAGAAGAGCTGAAGCTCACAAAACTGTTGGGCTCCTTGGCCTTAATCACCCCTGTAGGATCGATTGGAATTTTCCTCTGCCCCGTCTCCCCAAAGGAAACCCAGAAAAAAGCTAATTATAACAACAGGGCCGGCCGGGCATGGTGGTTCATGCCTGTAATCCCAGCACTTTGGGAGGCTGAGGTGGGTGGATCACAAGGTCAGGAGTTCGAGACCAGCCTGACCAACGTGGTGAAACCCTGCCTCTATTAAAAATACAAAAATCGACCAGGTGTAGTGGCGCATGCCTGTAATACCAGCTACTCAGGAGGCTGAGGCAGGAGAATCGATTGAACCTGGGAGATGGAGGTTGCAGTGAGCCGAGATCATGCCATTGCACTCCAGCCTGGGTGACAGAACGAGACTGTCTCAAAACAAACAAACAAAAAACAGAGCCTTACAGTCTCCCAGGGCAGCAGCGAGGTGGTCCATTTGCATGGGACTCATGGGGCATGAAACTGCCCCAGCTGGGCAAGCAGAGCCCGTGTAGTTAAGAAGGGATGGGCTGGTTTTAGGAAGAGCTCACTTGGCCAGGCGCAGTGGCTCACACCTGTAATCCCAGCATTTTGGGAGGCCGAGGCGGGTGGATCATGAGGTCAGGAGATCGAGATCATCCTGGCTAACACGGTGAAACCTAAAAATACAGAAAAAATACTAAAAATACAGAAAAAATGAGCTGGGTGTGGTGGCACACACATGTAGTCCCAGCTACTCAGAAGGCTGAGGCTTGAACCTGGGAGGCAGAGGAGGTTGCAATAGCTGAGACCGCATCGTCGCACTCCAGCCTGGGCGACAGAGTGAGACTCTGTCTCAAAAAAGAAAAGAAAAGAAAGAGCTCACTCTAAATTAGCTCGGGTATCGCAGCCCAGAGGAACTGTACCTCCCAAGGTACCTAGAAAACTTATGGGCTTGGTCACTGACTTTCCTGCCACAGACAACAAGGAATTGGAGCACACGAAAGATGCCCTGGGACAGGAAAGGAAGGAGGCAGAGCCCACCTCTCTTTCATCAGTGGGGTCATGAGATGTGAAAGTCCTCCAAAAATACACACTCCTGTATGATTGATGGCACTGGATGCTACTGCAGTGGATTCCAGATGGATGTTTAGGCAAAACCGAGAGGGGCCTAACTAGCAAAACTTCACTGTGAACAAGACACACCAGCGGAAACTCCTAAGTCTTTTAGATGAATCGATTTTGGGGTTTTTTTGAGAGGGTCTTGCTTTGTCACCCATGTTGGAGTGCAGTACCATGATCATGGCTCACTGCAGCTTTGACCTCCCAGGCTCAACTGATCCTCTCACCTCAGACCCCTGAGTAGCTGGGACCACAGGCACACACCACCATGCCTGGCTAATTTTTTTTTTAAATAGAGATGGGGTCTCTCTATGTTGCCTAGGCTGTCTCAGACTTCTGGGCTCAAGTTATCCCTCCTACCTCAGCTTCCCAAAGTGCTGGGATAATAGGCGTGAATTGCCATACTCAGCCTAGCTAGATTGTTTTTTCTTTGAGGTGTAATTCACGTGACTATATTGGTTTTTGCAGGTTTGCTAGACAGAAAAGTCAGGGAATGTTGTCTTCATAGGGGACCTGAATTTCAGCAAATCCGTGTCTTATCCGGCATCCTGTGGAAGCCTCAGAGCATTCTGGGTTGGATGACAGTTACATGGGCTTATTAACATAGGATAATTATAACTGCAGATTAACTCTTTATATTTTTCTTTTCTGTTGGGTTTCCTTCCTTACAGTAATTTTTTCTTCTTTGGTATTTTTATTTCCTTTATGCCTGCCTCTCTTCTTTTATCTGGCTGCTCCCTTTCTTGCAAATACATTTCCTGAGCATCTGCTCTGTGCCAGCCCTTTGCTGAGTGCTGGGTGCACAGTGGTCAGCAGGGCTGCCTGCTTCCTGCCCTCCTGGAGTTCACAGCCTAGTGGAGGCAGAGCATAGTCAGTCACATCATGTCTGCAAGTGAGACCTGTGAGTGAAGGAGACAAGCTCCTGGGGCTTATAGCCTGGCATCTGTGTTGCTTATAGGGTGGGCTTCCAGTGGGGACTGTGGTCGCCATCTCCAGTCCTTAGTCCTAAGTCCTGTTGGTGTTTGGATTGGTTGCAGACATGACTGCCACTGTGATCAAGCTGTTAGATGTAATAAAAATGGGAAGGATGTGCTGGCTGATGTAATCAGTATCCAAAGAGATCTTGAGTGGATAGAATGGTGGAAATTACTGAAATAAAATGTACTAGGTTTGCAAAACCAATAGCATGCACATGTGTTGGGCTGAGGTTCATGTGTCAAAGACTCAGTTGTAGAAGGGACTTTGAATCTGGCAGGCACTTAACTGTGGCTGCTCAGAACTAATGTATCTGGGGCTGCATGAGCAGGGGCTGAGGTCAGAGGCAGGGAGTGAGCTGTCCTTCATCCCTGACTCAGACCCAGCTCCGTAGTCATCCCTGGAGCTCATGTGGAGTGCAAGGTCTGGGAGTGGGGGCACTGACAGAAACACATCTGGGGGGATCAGCCAGGGTGAGCAGGGGACAGAGATCATGTCTTTTAGAAGAATGTGGGCCTCTTGACCTACAGAAGGGCAGCTGTTCACCCTCTGCAGATGATAGCAGGGCTGATCTGGGGCCTCAGGAGCAGCCTTTCTGTTGTTGGCCCAATAATTCAAAGACAGGAACTGGGCAGTGCCCTTAACATCTGCAAAGACTTCCACATTCAGCGTGTCTTGTAAGGAGTGAGTTCCAGGATGCAGGGAGTATCTAAGGCCAGGTATGGTGGCATGCATTGGTAGTCCCAACTACTTAGGAGGCTGAGGCAGGAGGATCACTTGAGCCCAGGAGTTCCAGGCTGCAGTGAGCTATGAGTGCACCTATGAAAGCCACTGCAGTCCGGTCAAGGCAGCATAGTAAGAACCTATCTCAAAAAAAAAAAAAAAAAAAGAGAGAAAGAAAAGAAAAGGAGGTATCTAAGGAGTTTGTCACAAAAACCTCCTTATTTTCAGTCTTAGGATTTGCAAAGAGGGTTACATCTGTGCTATGTAAGTCCCCTTCAGTGTAAGCATTTTCATTTCCCAAAAGGGCCTTACTCATTTAGAAAACTTTAAAGTAAACAAGGGAGGAAGCTAGTGCTTCATTAATCAGTATAAAGTAATGTTGCTTCATTGAGCAACTGTGTTATTTTATTCTGACATTTATCTTTGATGCCCTGCTGCATATTCTGAACACTAGACGCATAATCTGCAAGAATCACTTGATTAGAGATGAGGACGTGGGCTGTGCATTCCCTGTGGCATTCTCAATTCTAGCCTGCATCAGAATCACCTACAGGGCTTGTGAAAACAGAGCTTGCTAGAGCCCAGCCCACCCCTGGAGTTTGATTCAGCAGGTCTGGATGGGGCCCATCATTTGTAGTTCCGGGTGATGTTGATGGTTCAGGGACCACACTTTGAGGACCCAATGTTGTAGTGAAAATTATTTGATACTTAGTAGGTCACATGAAAAATAACTCAGGATAAGGGCTAGGCAAGTTGCTTCTCTTTTAGAATTCTCATCAGAATCTCTGGAGATTCTGAAACATGCTTTAGCTGAAATTCCTCTGGGAGCCCCTGACCTGACACCCTCTATGGGGTATTGAAGCCCTGAGCTGGCCTGAGAGGAGGGCCAAGCAGGGATGTTGTCTGCTATTCCCTGTGTCCTCTTCTGTTGCTGGAGGGCTAGAACGTTCCACCTGTGGGGACAGTGAATGGGTGACTGGTTAGGAAGCTCCACGGACTTAGGAGAGTGAGTGTGAAAGTGGTCAGGCTCTCTGGATCAAAATGCCAGCTCTGTTTTCCACTAGCTGCATGATGGTGAGCAGGCTGCTCATCTTGATGTCCTCAGTCCCCTATCCCCAAAATGTGGCTCTCAGTAGTGTGTGTTCCCAGGGCTATTGAGGGGTATGAGGGAATGTGATCACGAGACACCTCACTGTTCTGAGGCATCTTGATCCCTGCTCAGCAGTCACTATTGCTATCAAAAGTGCTTGTGGTCTTTGCCCACAGGGCAAGGAAGATGGACATCGATGTTGCTCACTTTATAGAACTGTTATTTCTCAGGGAAACTCTTTTCCATCCTAGCTCATGTTGGGCAAGTTCTTTTTCTGCCAAGTGGGTGTGAAGGGCAGGGGAACTCTGAAGCTGGTGAGGATGGCAGCAAGGTTCATTGTTTGCCATTGTAGACCCCATGGGAGACCAGTGACCAGAGCTTCTCGGGAAACCCCTAGAGGCTGGACAGAACCAGCAAGAACCCCAGTGCCCCCAAACAGCCCCTTCTATGTAGAAGCAAAGAATTCACTTTGCAATGTTCAGAAATGGCGTAATGTTAATATTCTCTAAGCAGTTGGCAAATAGATTGTGGTTAATTTTTTTTTTTTAAATAGCTTACAGCAGTCACAGAAAAACTGATTGCCTCTGAAAATTCATGGAGTGTCAGTTTTGTGCACCAGCATGGAGAATAATATTAAAATTTAAAGCACTGAAAACAATTAAGAAAAAAAAAATGCGGCAGCTGTACTGATAGCAGGGTGCAGAGACTCAGGGTGGTAGTGGGAGTGTATTGGCTTCTAACATTTCTTGTCTTTGCTCTCTCTTTCCCTGTTATTTTTTGTTTCTTGGTGGCCAGAACTCTCCATGCCTTCCGATCAGTATGAGTTGCAGCTTCAGAACAGCATCCCAGGCCCCAAAGGAGACCCAGCCCGGCCAGTGGCTGTCTTGGCCCAGGACACATCGATGGTCACTGCACTGCAGCTGGGACAGAGCAGCCTCGTCCTTGGCCACCGGAATATCCTTTTCTTGGGCTTGTGTGTGTGCATAGGCATGGCGGAGCTGCTGTTTGGAAGTCAAGTCGTTTTTTCCCTGAAAGCTTGGCAGGGCTAAAAATAGCCATTTCCCCTCAACGGTCTGAAAATCAGAAAGAACTGAAATAGCACTGCTGAGTGGAATTGCTCACGGCTGTGGGTGACTCACCCCAGAGGCTCCCAGCAGTGGGAGGTGATGGCAGGAGCTGCGTGTCATTCCTTGTCTCCGGAAACTTCTCCAACCTGCAGCCTTTCAGAGGGGGCCTGGCGGGGGCTATTTCCATACTAGCATAATGGAGTATTGATGCTCCAAACTTGTCGATGTGTCCTGTGTGGTCTCCAGTGTCCCTTGCAGAGATTCCCCTTTGCTAGTGTGGCAAGCACAATGTGGTCTTTGATCCTGAAAAGTGCTTTTGCTCTGTGTGGCCTAAGCCAGGGGAGTTTTCATCCCCTCTTCTCTCCATGTAATGTCTTGATGATCAGGATTCTGAGCCAAGCTGAAACTGGCCGGCCAGCGGGTTTGTTTGCTGTCGTATGTCTTGCCCCTTAATTAAAATTCCAGGTATTCGCATGCAAGGTGCTTCTAGGTTACCCAACAGCACCATCTACGTGGTCGAACCTGGATACCTGGGTAAGTGTGGGTCTCCTGGGCCCTCCTGGATGCTGCTCAGTTGTGACTATATGAGTTTAAAAAATAGAAAACAGGCAATAGCTTCACAGAAAATGCTTCCTTCTGGCCAGCTCTGCCACTTGCTATGACTACCATTGCCCGGGGCACTCACCAGCCCTTCCCTGTTTGGTGTAGAAATAGGTAGAATGAGCCAAGCCAGGCAGGCGGCAGGCTCATCAAGAAGAGAAACAGAACTGGGTAGAGTGGTGAGGGGCTTGCACCCTCCAGGTTTTCACGCCACAGCTTTGCCCAGACCTGGGCTATGACATTTGGAGGTTGGGGCCCAGTGTCAGCTCAATTATAGAGGGACCCTAAGGTCACATGACAGGCAGGTACCTTAGCAGGGAGGGGAGGAACCTGATGATGATATTGAAGGTAGGCATTTTCTCAGACAGAGCTTCTTTTGCGGGAAGGTGTCCTGGCAGAGGGAATTGCTTAGGCAATGGTATGGAGGTGAGAAAGGCATCCCAGGGGACAGCAAGAGTGCTGTGGTATCCTGTGTTAGAGGGGACTGAGAACCTGGGAGGGCAGGGCTGACTCATATGGCAAGAGTGCTCAGTGACAGGCTTCAGAGTGTAGACCTGCTGAGATGAGTCCAGGGTTGGTCCTGGCGAGGTCAGCTCAGGACTGAGGGTTCAAAGCAGAGAACTATTGTGGATTCAGAGTGTAGGCCTGCCGAGGGTTCAGAGCGTAGGCCTGCTGTGTGTTGAGGACAGAGCTGCTGGATTCTGAGTGTAGACCCACTGAGGACGGGAATGAGTTTGAAAGAGCCTTGATCAGACAGAGTGGGATGAGTCCAGGGTTGGTCCTGGTCAGCTCAGGACTTAGGGCTGAAGATGGCATCAGACCTCTGCTCCTCAGCAGCAGGTCCCTCTCTGTGGAGGAGGCCAGGGCCATAGTTGTGGGGCCCACAGGTGGGTGGCGTGGGGCTCCCAGGTGGGTGGCGTGGGGCCCGCAGGTGGGTGGCGTGGGGCCCGCAGGTGGGTGGCGTGGGGCCCCCAGGTGGGTGGCGTGGGGCTCCCAGGTGGGTGGTGTGGGGCTCCCAGGTGGGTGGGGTGGGGCCCGCAGGTGGGTGGGGTGGGACTCCAGGTGGGTGGGGTGGGGCTTCCCATGTGGATGCTGAGGGCCCCTGTGCTGAGGGTGGTGGTCCCATCGTCCTCCACCCTGCTGTACCTGAGGCCTGAGTACAGGCTCCCCTGCCTGTTTTAGGGTTCACCGTTCACCCTGGTGACAGGTGGGTGCTGGAGACCGGCCGCCTGTATGAAGTCACCATTGAAGTTTTTGACAAGTTCAGCAACAAGGTCTATCTGTCTGATGTGAGTGCCTGTTCAGGTCCTAGCTGGGGGATGAGGTGGGGTCGTTGCCTTACGCAGCTGCTGAAGAGCAGCCCCCAAAGCAACAGGAGCTCCCATGCAGGCTGACCGAGGAAGGGTCCTGTTTCTAGTGGCACTCCCGGGTCTGTGGGAGATAATGCGGAGGCGTCCCGGGGCATCTCCAGAGCCTGTGAGCCTGCACACCGGCCCCGCTGCGGAGCCCCTGTCAGGCTGGAGAGCAGAGGGTGCCACAGCGGCAGGGTTCCAGGAGACGGGGATAGGGAGGAGGTCTCTGCCCACCACTCTCCCGCCCCCTTTTCCCCAAGCTGGGGACCTCAGAGAATCCATTCTCCTCCTGCCCTGCAGAGAGTCAGGGAGCATGTCCTGGCTTTCTTCATACTGGGTCCCAGAAATACCTGGAACCCTGCATGACAGAGGCCGAGCTCAGCACGCTTTCTGGTTCTGGAAGGGGGTGTGAGACAGATGGGGAAATGTGCAGGAGTCTTGAACTCCTCTCTATCCCCTGTGAGAAATTCCAGCCTCGTCAGTGAGCACCTCCAGGCCCTTCCAGGTGGCGTTGGAGGTTTTAGAAGAAGGAAGCGAGGTTCCTCTCGGTGTCCTTGAAGAAGTCATTGCTTTGCTCGTGTTATCAAACAAGGGCTGGGATGGTCACCATTTACAGTTACCTGTAGGGGACATGATGTCCTTTTTTTATATTTACTGGTTCCTTGTTGAGACCTTGGTAGGCTCCAAGCTGCCCCAGGTGCCACAAGGGGAGAAGAAACAGGAGCGCAGGTCATCGGGCCATGCAGGGAGGGCGGCCTCGGTGGGGACAAAGGCCATAGTGGTCAGAGCTCTGTTCCAGGGCCCAGCCCGCCCATCTTGCTAGTAGAGGCTGCTGAGCTCCAGGGGGCCCCTTGGCCTGGCCTGGCTGCTGGTTTCAGTCCTAAGCTTCGTGCCCAAACTCTGACTTTCTGGAGTCACCCCAGAAACACCTCTCTCCTGTCCTGCCTCATCTTCCAGAACATCCGAATTGAAACTGTGCTTCCTGCTGAGTTCTTTGAGGTGCTCTCATCCTCCCAGAATGGTTCGTACCATCATGTCAGGGCACTAAAGAGGGGACAGACGGCCATTGACGCGGCCCTCACCTCTGTGGTAGACCAGGCAAGTTGGTGGCTCCCCTGCGTCGTGCCTTGGCCTATGAAGCCCCACTCTGTAGGCAGAAATGTCAGCCCAGGAGGGCCATGAGTCCCAGGGAGTTGGGCCACCAGTGTCCCTTTGCCTGTTTGGGCTACTTGCATCCTGGGTTCTTTTTCCCCTTGTCTTTAAGAAGCCCATCAGCCTTAGGGAGCAGAGCTTTGCTGATTGGAAAATCAGCCTGGGTGTTCCCATTTTCCTATCCCACACAAAAGGCCTCCTGGCCTGAAAGGGGCCACAGGCCGTAACAGGAAGAAACGCCCAGGCACTGACAGTGACTCCTGCCAGAGTCAGCCTCCTCAGCTCTGGGGGCTGGGTGAACTGCTTTAGCTCTCAAGCCTCAGTTTCCCCATCTGTAAAGTGGGGGAGGGGGGACACCACGTCCATCCTGCCCTGAGGATTCATTCAGGCAGCACTTCCAGAAAGCACTTCAGAAAGCCATCCCCGTGGAGAATGAGAGGGTGGCTCTCCACTCTCCCAGAAATCCACCTTTGTGGCCTGATCCCCAGGGAGGGGTGGGGGTCCAGTGACTGGGAAAGACTGATGATGACATGGATGTCATAGTGACGTGTGGCACCCTCACCCGTTGTAGGATGGAGGGGTCCACATACTACAGGTGCCTGTGTGGAACCAGCAGGAGGTGGAAATTCACATCCCCATCACCCTGTATCCCAGCATCTTGACATTTCCATGGCAACCAAAGACGGGCGCCTATCAGTACACAATAAAGGTACGTGAGACCGCTCACCTCTGGGTGCGTTCCTTTGGTGTTTTCATAGGATTGTGGCTTTTTGTCCATTCTATTACTTTTAGTATTACTCTCTAGTGGTCATAGAGAATTTTAAATCACAGTCTTTATGATTTCTGTTGGTTCCTGAGGTTTCCATCATAGCAATACGTTTTGGTAATTAGGAAAAAAAAAAAACAAAAAAAACCAACAATGAAAAAATTGAGAATAAGGCAGGGTGCAGTGGCTAACACCTGCAGTCCCAGCAATTTCGGAGGCTGAAGTGAGAGGATCACTTAAGCCCAGGAGTTTGACACCAGGCTGAGCAACATAGGGAGACCTCCATCTCTACCAAAAAAAAAAAAAAAAAAAAAAGAGAAAAAATGCAATAAAGAAAACCTGGAATACAGATTTGAATTTCATTAACATTTATTTTTCTAATTTATTTTAAAGCAATATATACACACACCCTTAGAGAAAACATTAAAATTTAAGGGATAAGTATCTCCAACCTCATCACATGGGATGTATCATTGCTCTCACCTTAATGCTTGTACCTGGTGTTAGCCAGCAGGACTCACGTTAGACAGTGCTCGAGTCCTCGTGGTCGGTGCAGGGCACATCAGTCCTGCTGTCCCGTGGAGTGGTGACAGGTGTCCTGTCCGTAGACTGGCACCAGCTGTCTGCTCAGGTGTGTCACCATCCTGGCCTCTTGGGTTCTGGGGTTGTTTCCTCTGGTCTGGGAGCAGAGGTGTGGTCGCTGACCTCCCAGCAGATGATGAGGAACGGGCAGGGGTGTGTGCTGGGAGCTTGTGTCTAGTCAGGGAGGCAGCGCCCTGCAACTGGCTCGGTGACCAAGGGTTTTGTCCCACGCCAGCCTGAGCTCTGGGAGGTGCCACCAGGTTCTAGGGCATCTGTCATGGGCCTGTGTGTTTGTGTGCGTCAGTCTCGAGGTCCCCAGAATATGAGGACAGAAATGAGACAGGACAGAGGGTGAGGGCAGGGGTAGCCTCCAACCAGACCCTAGTTGATGCCACATTTTTCCCTGCTGTGGGCATCGACCTTGTGTGTCAGTGAGGAAGTGGTCACAGGTGTTTTAGAGCCTGTGAGAGTGTATCTGTGTTTGAGTGTATTGGTGCTAGTGTATATGTGTGAATGTATGTATGTGTGAGAAAGTTTGAGTGTGTGCATGTGACGGTAAGCTGGTGGGAGTAGGTGAATGTATGTGAGTGTACCGTGGGTGTGAATGGTGAGTAGGTAAAAGTGTGAGTGTGAAGGTAAATGTAAGTGTGAACATGTGTACGAATGAGTAGGTGTATGTGTGTGCACTGTGGGTGTGAGTGAGCATGAGAGTAAATGAGTGTGAGCAGGTGAGTAGGTATACATGTGTGCACTGTGGGTATGAGTGGTACGTGTGCATGAGTGTATGAGTGAATGGGCAAGTAGCTGTACATGTGAGTGTGAATTGTGAGTGTGAATGGCGAGTGTGTGCATGGGTGAGCCCATGAGTGTGAGGATAAATGCGTATGAGTGTGAGTGCCTGCATGCACACGCACGTGTCTCTGACCCTCTGGCTTCCCCAGCAGGCTGAGGGCAGGCAGCCGGTCCTGTGATGGCTTTTCCTCCGCAGGCCCATGGTGGCAGTGGGAACTTCAGCTGGTCTTCGTCAAGCTACCTGGTTGCCACAGTTACTGTCAAGGGCGTAATGACCACAGGCAGTGACACCGGGCTCAGTGTGATCCAGGCACACGATGTGCAGAACCCACTCCATTTCGGTGAGATGAAGGTGAGAGCTCAGGGCCAAGACACCCCCTGGGAGACTCGGATGGTGGTCTCCAGCCACCCCCTCTGAGCAAGCCTCAACTTCACTCAGAAACACCCCCAGCCCTGTGTCCTGTACTTAGGAGCTCAAGCTCCAGCCCTTCCCTTAGGAGCTCACAGCTATGTCAGGAAGATGGACAGGATGTCTCACACCAGCCAACAATGGGCCCAGAAAGACCAGTGTCCACAGGGCTGGGTTTCTGGAGGGGAGATAATCTAAGAGCCATTCTAGAAAATTTCCCAGACCTGAAAGATAGGAATCTCAAATTGGAAGGTCTACCAAGCACTGGGTTGTAAACTCACAGTGAAAGGGCACCACCAGGCTCCGAGAGACCAGGCCAGACTCCTCTCCCTTCACTCACTTTTGGGTACAAAGGCAGATGTTCCCTGCACAGGTCCCCACACCTGGCTTTTGGCCCTGAGTGACATGGGACCATCTCACTTCACAGTGGTGGCAGGTGGCGGTGGTCACAGCTGAGCCTCTGCCAGCCCCACCTGTGGCCCCTGACCCCAGGCCATACTTGCCTGGTGCTCTGACTTCAGCCCTTTTATTCCTTCATTTGGGGCAGGAAGGGACACCCCATGGAGTCCAGCTGCAGCCTGCTCTTACAGTATCGGGGACAGGGATGGATAGGCTGGCCGGTCTTCCACTTGAGACCCAGAGCCGCCTCTGTCTAAAGTGAGGCCTGATTCTCATGGAGACGGGGCTCCACACAGGCCCTTGAGATGAAGCATGAAGTCCAACATTGGGATAAACTGGGACCCCATCCCCTCACCCCAGTTTCCCCTTGTGCCGCTGTTTGCCCAGCAGCCCAGCCAGATCCTGAGGACAGTTCCTCAGGAGGCAGCATGCGTCCTGGGTAGAACCTGGCTTCTGGGGCCAGCCGGCAGGGCTTGCGCTCAGAACCAGTGCACTGTAAAAGAGCCAGCCCTTTCCCTTCAGGCCAGTGCTTCACCAGGTGAGGGGGGCTGAGGAGAGCCCCTCCTTAACCAGGAGGTGGGACTCTAGTTTTATACAATCATGGCTGTGCTTACTACCTCTTTCCTGGCTCCAGCCGCTCTACTGGTCCATCCGATGAGCCATTCAGAACACATCCCACATCTCACTGGTCCTGACACGCCTGCCCTGGCTCAAGCTGCCGCATCTCCCTCTAGGGCTTTCCAGCAGCCTCCTCACCACACTGCTCACATGGCTGCTGATCGATACACAGAAGCCAGGGTGGTGGGGACCTCTGAGGTCCCCCAGCTCAGCCACGGTAAACACTGATTCCTCACCATGGCTGCCAGCCCCATCTCTTTCCACTGCCCCTGCACAGTGCACTTCAGCACACTGGCCTCCATGTTCCTCCAAGGTGCTGGCCTGGTAGGTGCTGCAGGGCCTTTGCACGCACCATCCTTTCACCTGGGGTGTTCTTCCCCCAGGCTTTGCCTGTCTGCCTATGCTGTGGCTCTCAGGTCTGAGCTTCTAGGCCACTCCTTGGAGAGGCCTCCCCTGCTCTCTGTCCCTGAATCACCCCACTGACTGCAACAGGCTTCTTACAGATGTATCCTCAGTGCTCAACACACAGCAGCTCTTAGGAAATCGAGCAACAGGCCCTGCCTCTCCCGTGGAGGTGACTGAGCCCAGGCCATGCCCCTGTCTTCCAGGTGTGTGTGATCGAGCCTCACAGCATGGAGTTTGCCCCGTGCCAGGTAGAGGCACGTGTGGGCCAGGCCTTGGAGCTGCCCCTGAGGATCAATGGCCTCATGCCCGGCGGGGCCGGCGAGGTGGTCACCTTGAGCGACTGCTCCCACTTTGACTTGGCTGTCGAGGTGGAGAACCAGGGTGTGTTCCAGCCACTCCCAGGTAAACCAGCACTGCTGAGCAGGTGCCAGATACTGGGATTGGTTCCAGATTGCGTGGGTTCTCGGCATGGACCGCCAGATTCCCGAAGAGAGGGCTTGAGGCAGCAGAGGGGCTGCAGCATAAGGAATGGCAGTTGTCTCCTGATCCACCATCAGTTCCTGTCTGGCCTGGATCTTGCCCACCGTGTGACTTTGCTTCAGTTTTCACATCTCTAAGCTGTGTGTCATCTACATAGAATCACATCAAGTGCCTGTTTTAGTCCCTGGAATGCAGTTGGTATTCAGAATGCATTGTCAATAGGGCTTTGGTTAGTTCTAGAGTCCTCTCACCTGTGACAGGCCAGGCCCACCCATCTGTTCTCTGCTTCATCTGCTGTGGGGTTTTGGTGGTGACATGGGTGGAGTCTGACTGTGATAGTTTATCAAGTGTTAGCCCTGCCAGGACAGGACAGGCACTTTGCATGCCTGATCTCATTAGGACTTTAGAACCACCCTAGGAGAAGGATCTGTTGTTGGCCCATGTGACAGATGAAAAAACTGAGGCTGTGTAGCTGTAGCTGCCCAATGTCACACATGGCCTGGGACAGGGATGGGGTGCAGATCTGGGTATGACTGACTCTTGCCCTGGGGCTTTACTCACCTGTGAAATGGGCCCTAAAGATGAGGGAAGGAAGGGCTCCCTCTTTGATTTGCAGAAGAAGACCAAAGGACAAGGAACTATTGAATAGGAGTAAGATTTGGGCAGAGCATTGGAAGTAAACAGGGACAACATTTGGTGGGCAGGGGCGCCTGTACCAGGGCCCGGAGGTAGGCAGTGCATGGTGCCTGTGCACGTGGAGGACTGAGAACAGAGGACCTGTTGAATCACAGAGTGCTTTGGAGGGCTTGGACCTAGTGTCCAGGCAGTGGGGGGAGCCACTGAAGGTTTTTGAACAGAAGAGCGATGTGATCCTGGCAGTGTTTGGGAAGCTTTATTGGCAGAGGGTTTGTAGGATCGCCTGTGGTGCCAAGTGGCTGTGCACGCAACTGTAGCTGTAATTATGTGCAGAGCTTTTACAGTTTGAAACTGCACAGAAGGAGGCCAGTATCTCTGAAAAATCCCTGAGCAAACTGCATCCAGGAGAAACTAAGCTCATGAAGTCTACAGTGTCATTGTCAGGTAATCATTTAGGTTGGAGGAAAAGCCTTCTGCATGGGAGAGGCCCACTGACAGCAGGACATGAACCACTCCCCTGCACTGCCTGCCACAACTGTCCTGGAGGGAGGCTGCAGGGTGCTGCTCAGGCAGGGGGGCAGGTCCCAGGGAGGAAAGTTCACGGCTTGGAGTTCCACAGGCCTGGGTCTGAGCCACTCCACTCCCTTGCTATCTCTATGATGCCGGTGTGCTGCCCAGCCTCTCTGACCCTTGGGTTCTTTAACTATAAAATGGAATGACAGCTCTTGCTTATTGTGATGGTTACAAGTGACTATCCCTCAGCACAATACAGAGTGTTTCTCCAGGGGTTTGACTTCTGAAAACAGCAGTCAAGATGGGAATCCTGTGGTTTCAAATTTCTCTTAGGAAGTGCCTTGCATTGCCCCTGGCCTGGGGCATGGTGTGCATGGTAATGTGTAGGGAGGTGTGTAGGCCCCAAGCTGTATGAAAATATGTATCTTAGAAACCTGGGCTCTGTCAGGACAGAGATGCTCACCCCACAGAAACCCATGGGGCTCAAGAACAGGTCGGATCAGCAGGTTGACCTGTCCCTGTAATACCCACCCTGGAGCTTACTCAGCTAAAGAAACAAATTTGGTCCCATGTTAGGTAAACTCCCTCTGCCACCTCCCAGGCTCAGATCACAGGTAGCCAGACTCTGATCATGGCTCTGAGGAGGAGCCCTGGTAGCCCTGGCCCAGGCTGGCCTCCCTTCTGTGGCTCCCTCTGCTTACTGTAGTTGGACTTGGCAGTCCCATTTCTGCCTTGCCCTCTTGGGTGGCATCTTCTTGAAAGCCCCTGGGCTGTGGGCACTACTGTGACTCTCTCAACATGTCTTTGTGCTGGCATAGACAGACTTACAGAATAGAATACTGAGCCCAGATGAAAACCTGCTCATACATGGTGAAATGATTTTTGGCAAGGGTGCCAAGACTGTCCAATGGGGAAAGGACAGTCTGTTCACCAAATGGTGCTGGGACAACCAGGTATCCACATGTGTAAGTATGAAGTTAGACCCTTCCATAACTCCAAACACAAAAATTAAGTCACAGTGGATCAAAGACCTAATATAAAATTGAAAACTATAAAACTTCTAAAAGAAAACCAGAGGAAAGCTTCAGAACTTTGGAATTGGCATTGATTTTTTGGCTATAACACCAGATGCACAGGCTACAAATTAAAAATAGACAAACTGACTACAACGAAATAAAACAGTTCTGTATATCAAAGGACACAACAGAGTACAAAGGCAACCTTCAGAATGGGAGAACACATCTGCAAATTGTATAAGGGGTTCATATCTAGGATATGTAAAGAACTCCTACATCTCAGCAGCAATAACACCAATAACCCAATCAAACAGTAGGCTGAGGACTTGAATATTTGTCCGAAGCTGATACACAGACAAGCAGCACACGGGAAGATGCTCAACATCACTCATCATCAGAGTGGTGCAAATCAAACCCACAATGAAAAGTACTACCCTCCTTAGGATGGCTGCAATCAAAACAACAGAAAACAGCAAATGTTGACAAGGATGTGAAGACACTGGAGCTCTTATACGCTGCTGGTGGGTATGCGAAAGGTGCTGCTGCTGTGGAAAGCAGTATGGTGGTTCTTCAAGAAAGTAAACATGGAGTTACCATATGATCCAGCAGGCAATCCCGCATCTGGGTGTACATCCAAAGGTGTTGAAAGCACGATCCCCAAGAGGTGTTTGTGCACCCATGTTCATGGCAGTGTTATTCACAATAGCCAAAAGGTGGAAGCAACCCAGGTGTCCACCGTTGGAAGAATGAATGAACACAATGAGGTCTATCCATACAGTGGAATATTATTCAGCCTTAAGAAGGAAGGAAATTCCGACCTATGCTACAACATGGAAGAGCCTTGAAGACGTCATGCTTAGTGAAGTAAGCCAGTCCTTCACTGAGGACTTTTGTCCCCACAAAAGGACAAATACTTTATGATCCCACTTATATGAGATACCTAGAGTAACCAAATTCATGAAGACAGGAAGTATAATGGTAGTGGTCAGAGACTGGAGTGAGGAGAATTGGGAAGTTACTGTATATTGGGTGCAGAGTTTCAGTTTTGTAAGTTGAAGAGTTGTGTAGACAGATAGTAGCGACATTCACACGCTACATAAATGTGCTTAATGCCACTGAACTATACACACAAAAGGTGTTATGGTGGGAAATTTTATCTTACCTGTATTTTATCAGAATTTTTTTAAAACAATTTTTTTTTTTTAAAGATAAAATTTTAGACTGCGCATGGTGGCCCATGCCCGTAATCGCAGCATTTTGGGAGTCCGAGATGGGAGGATTGCTTGAGCCCAGGAGTTTGAGACCAGCCTGGGCAACATAATGGGACCATGCTTCTACAAAAAAATGAAAAAGTTATCCTGGTATGGTGGCTCACTCCTGTAGTCCCAGTTAATCAGGAGGCTGAGGTAGAAGACTCACTTGAGCCTAGGAGGTAGCGGTTGCAGTGAGCCAAGATTGTGCCACTGCACTCCAGCCTGGGCAACAGAGCAAGACCCTGTCTCAAAAATAAAATAAAATAAAAATTTTAAAACTTAATTTAATAATGGCAGGGATGTAGGGCAGCCGTTGGCAGCAGTATAAAGTGACACAACCACTTTGGGAAGATATTTGACAACAGCAACCAACAATGACTACAGCTAAACAAATGCACGCCCTGCAGCCTAACACTTCCTCTCTTAGGGATGCACCCAACAGAAATGCCCAGGTGTGTCCCCCAAGAGGAAGGCGCCCAGATGTTTACAGCAATACCATGTAGCACAGTCCCAAACTGGAAGAAACCCAGATGCGCACCATAGCATGGGTCAGTCTATTGCTCTATATTCATATAACAGAATCATATGGAGAATGTGGACAAAGGATCCTCAAGTGTGACCAGTGAGAAATTCCATGAACACTGCTGAGGTGAGGAAGCCAGGCACAAAAGAGTTGTGCCCGTGGCTCCCTTTATGGGAACCATACCAAGCAAGGCTCAGTTGTGCTGGTGGCACCAGGCGGGTGGTTTTCCTTTAGGGAGAGGCCAGATACCAGAAGGGTCTCCGGGAGATTCTGGGGGTACAGATAATATTCTGTTTGTTGATATGGGTGCTGCCTATAGGGTGGGTCCAGTATGTGGAAAAATCATTGTGAATTATATACTTATGTGAATTAAACATTATTTATTTATTTTTTTGAAACAGTTTTGCTCCCTCATTGCCTATGTGGGAGTGCAGTGGTGCGATCTTGGCTCACCGCAACCTCTGCCTCCCGGGTTCCAGCAATTCTCCTGCCTCAGCCTCCCGAGTAGCTGGGATTACAGACATGCGCCACCACGCCCAGCTAATTCTGTATTTTTAGTAGAGATGGGATTTCTCCGTGTTGGTCAGGCTAGTCTCAAACTTCCGACCTCAGGTGATCTGCGCGCCTCAGCCTCCAAAAGTGCTGGGATTGCAGGTGTGAGCCACCGCACCTGGCCGTGAATTAAACATTTTTATTTTTCTTTTGAGACAGAGTTTCACTCTTACTGCCCGGGCTGGAATGCAGTAGCGCGATCTTGGCTCATCGCAACCTCTGCCTCCTGGGTTCAAGTGATTCTCCTGTCTCAGCCTCCTGAGTAACTGGGATTACAGGCATGTGCCACCATGCCTGGCTAATTTTTTGTATTTTTAGTGGAGACAGGGTTTCTCCATGTTGTCAGCTTGTCTCAAACTCCTGACCTCAGGTGATCCGCCCACCTCAGCCTCCCAAAGTGCTGGATTACAGGCATGAGCCACCGTGCTTGACTGAATTAAACATTTTTAGTTAAAAAAAATCAGATCAAGGATCAAGCCTGGGATGAAAGAGGGGTACCCCCAGCCTGTTGTGCCTTCCCCACCAAAGGTGATTTCAGGGCTGGCCACAGTGGCTCACGCCTGTAATCCCAGCACTTTGGGAGGCTGAGGTGGATGGATCACTTGAGGTCAGGAGTTCAAGACCAGCCTGGCCAACATGGCGAGTCCCCATCTCTACTAAAAAATTACAAAAATTAGCCAGGTGTAGTGGTCTATGCCTGTAGTCCCAGCTACCTGGGAGGCTGAGGCAGGAGAATCACTTGAACCCCAGAGGCAGAGGTCTCAGTGAGCCAAGATCATGCCACTGCACTCCAGCCTGGGCAACAGAGCAAGACTCCATCTCAAAAAAAAAAAAAAAGTGATTTCAGGGTGACTATCTGGTTCTCTCCTTTCTGCAGGGAGGCTGCCGCCGGGCTCTGAGCACTGTAGCGGAGTCCGGGTAAAGGCCGAGGCCCAGGGCTCTACCACGCTCCTTGTGAGCTACAGACATGGCCACGTGCACCTGAGTGCCAAAATCACCATTGCTGCCTACCTGCCTCTCAAGGTGAGCCAGGGGCCCTGCCCTTTACCTCTCCCCTGCCCACTACTTCCCATATGCAAATTACCCATTTGCTCTGACAAATTTGTGTGATAAACCCAATTCCTTCAAAATAGCTTTTGGCACAGCTCCCTCTCCCATGATTTCTGGCTGAAAGCAGGATCTGTGTGGAAGGAGCAGAGCCTCCCTGATGGGCAGTGGTTGTGGGCATCTCTGGTTACGCGAGACAGTGCTTGGCAGGCTTGGCAGGATACCGACCTGCCAGCCTCTCCCAATGAAGGTAGGAGTGTGGGCTGCAAGGGCTTCAGAAGTGTGTTCAGCAAGGGTCACAGGGGAGTGCTTCCACTCCACTCCAGAGCTAACCTTCAGGGTCCCCGTAGAGTCCTAGAATTGGGACAGCGGCCCTGTGGTATGGCAATGCTGAGACCTCCAAGACTGGGGTCAGAGAGGATCTGCCCTGGCCTAGTGTCCATCCATCCTGCCTCTCATCTGAGGACAGTGGTAGCCACAGCCTGTGCGGAGCAGAGCACATAGCCTCAGTGTCCATACCACCCTCCTGAGCCGAGTCCAGCCTGACCCCACCCACTCTTGGGCCTTACATTCCCTGCCTGTAAAATGGGGCTGAGACAGCTCTTGCCTCATGAGGTCGTGATGAGGATTTGCTGAGCTCACAAATGGAATGAGCTCAGAACACAGTCTAGGGGGTAGTGCAGGCTCAGGAAGGGTTAGTTATTAAACACGGGTAAAAAAGAACTGGGCCTTCCTCTGGGGTGGGTGTGAAGGCTCTGTACGAGGGCTGCCATGCAGGAGGCTGCTGATTGTAATCATCCCTTTCTTTGAACCCTGCCGAGCATGCAGGAGGCACAGAGAGGGTTCGTTGGTGGGAAGTTCCTGCTCCTCCTTCCAGGGAGGGCTGGAGGGCAGGCCTGGGGGAGCCTCAGCCTCCCTGGCACGGTCAGGCAGTCCTTGCATTTTTCTGCTCCCAGTGTCAGCCTTAAAGACAGCTCCGGTCCTCATGGTTTGTACCATTTTTTTCTTCCTCTCACCCATTCATTGGAAGCAAGCTTGGTGATGTTAGGATTTCTTTTTCTTTTCTTTTTTTTTTTTTTTTTTAGATGGAGTTTCACTCTTGTTGCCCAGGCTGGAGTGCAATGGCGCCATCTCTGCTCACCACAACCACCGCCTCCCGGGGTTAAGCGATTCTCCTGCATTGGCCTACCCAGTAGCTGGGATTACAGGCATGCACCACCATCCCCGGCTAATTTTGTATTTTTATTAGAGACAGGGTTTCTCCATGTTGGTCAGGCTGGTCCCGAACTCCTGACCTCAGATGATCCTCCCACCTCAGCCTCCCAAAGTATTGGGATTACAGTCATGAGCCACTGTGCCTGGCAATGTTAGGATCTTTTATCTCTGAACCCCTGGCCCTGGGTTCAGTGTCTGGCACAGAGCAGACACCAACCAAGGGTGGTTTTGTTTAGAATGAATGTGTGAGGAAATGTGTCCAAGGTCACCCAGCCAGGGCAGAAGTCAAGGCCTCCTGATCTCCAGAGCAAGCATAGCAGATACTTCTCAAATGTCCGTTAGTGATCAGAGGCTTAGCCCTGCTCCTCATCCTTCAGCACACAGGCATGAATACTTACTTGTGTAATCTCTGCAGCAGGCCCTAGAGATGCACCAGGGCAGAAAACACAGAACTTTTGTCCCCATGAAGTGACATTCTGGCAAAGAGAGGTAGAGACGACCATAAACAAAGCAAAGAATGTATTTTGCCTCTGCTTGCCATGGAAAAAGTAGAGCATGGAGGGGTGATGGGGGTGGAAGTTTAAAATGAGGAGATCAAGACCTGCCCCCACACCCCCACTCAAGCACAGCACTGCAGCAGGTGAGCGTCAGAGAGCAGAGTGGAGAGAGTTGAAATCCCTGAGAACAGCAGGCATTCTGGGGTTGCCCTGCGCACCTTCTGGGAGCTAGAGCGTTTCACCAGGTGCCTGGAGAGGGGTTCTTCAGGGCCCCTCCTGGCTCTGGATTATCAGGGCGTTTGGCTGGAGCAGCAGAAACCAGAAGCTGAGCTCACAGTCCTGGGCTGGAATGTAAGGATGAAGATAAGGTGGACGTGTCCCTCAGTGAGGTGGCTTCCTGATTGGACAGATTATAGAGAAAAGTGGATATGGGTCTCTTCTCCCTTCATCTGTCTTCTTCCTAGTTAGCAGTTAAGATCAGGTTTATTTACAAGGAACAAAAGCCAAGTGACAGGGACTTACCCAATAGAGGAATTGATGTCTCTGTCGCACATGAGGAATATTTGGAATATTTGGGCTTTGACACCAGCTGAGGAGCCTGCACAGTGCATGAGCATCCTTCATCAGCTGCATTGTTAACCTGTCTCCTTGGCACAGGGTTCTATGATACTTTTATGCCTGAGGGAGAGAATTAAACACAAAGGTGATAATTCCTCATCATCCGGTTGGTAACTGTAGGACACACAGCTTCTTCGCACAGTTCTTTCACTTTGGGCTGGTCATGAAAACATCTTTGGCAAGATATACAGTGGCCTGCTTTGCCCATAGTGGGGTTTTGTTGGTTGTGGCCACGAGATTTGGGTAAGAGCACGGGATCAAGAGTCAGAACAGACCTGGGCCCACTAGCTGGGTTAGCTTGGTTCAGTGTCTTCGTCTGCTGGGATTCATCCTTTCTGTCTTTAAAGTGGGGATGACAGTTAATAATCATAACAGTTTCTAACAGCAGGGGCCATTGATTGAGCATGTGCTAGTCACATATTCAGGTCTTTTATTCCAGCGCCTGAATCACAATAGTAGCCCGCGAGGTAGGCATTATCATTGTACCCATTTCACAGGCTGGGGAAACAGCCTTGTAGACATTAACTTGTTTAAGGTCCCAGACTAGCTTCATTCCAGTAGAGACAGAGAAGCAAATGCACAAATGATGGTATATCCAGTGATGGCTCAGGGGCAGAGATGAAGAGTTGAGCTCGAAAGGAGGTGACAGGGGAAGAGAGACCCTGCTTTAGACAGGCCCAGCAGAGGCCTGCCTGAGGAGGTGACGCTCAGGCAGAGGCCTGAGTGGTGCACAGAACTGGGTTGTGCTGCTGTCTCCAGCGGGGAGTTCTGAGAGGAGCAGAGATGAAGGCCCTGAGCATACTTAGTGCTTCTCCTGCAGGAAACAGGGGCCACGCCTGACTCTGTAGAAGGTGGAGTCCGGGGATGGATTTCAACAGGGGCACCACAGGCCCCTTGGAATTGTTTGTGTGTGAGCACACACGTGCAGGGAGGGATGCCCAGAGACAGTTGATAGCCTATATCAGATTCAAAAAATGTTCATACTGAAAAACCAAGTCAAAAGGACAGAATTCTCATTTGAAAAGTCATAGTCTGTTCAGGTAACCTTAACAAAACACCTCGGACTGGGTGGCTTATAAACAACAGAAATTTCTTTCTTGCAGTTCAGGAGCTGGGAAGTCTAAAGTCAAAGGTACCAGCAGATTTTGGTGACTAGTGAGGGCTTCCTTCCTTATAGATAGCCATAATTTGGATGTTCGTGTCCCCACAAAATACGTGTGTTGAAACGCTGACCCCCACAGCAATGGAGCTGAGGCCTTTGAGGGGTGATTAGATCATGGGGGCAGAAGCTTCACGACTGGGATTAGTGCCCTTTTAAAAGAACCCAGAGAGCTAGCATGACCCTTCCACCATGTGCAGATGTGGTAAGAGGTTTTTTTTTTTTTTTTTTTTTTGTGGGTGGGGAGGGAATATTTTTCTTATAAGGTTTTTCCTTCCTCATGTGCTTAAGATCATGCCATAGATGCAGAAGGAAACAGACACACCCTACCCTCCATGAGTCTATAGCCTGATCAGACCCCCAAGCCATGAAGCTCCTTCAGGGTGAGGAGCACCAGGTGAAGTGGGGCCCAGAGAAGAATCGCCTGGGCCGCAGGTCGGCGCTGGGTGGGAGAGGAAGCAGGGCTTTCTGGAGGCCAGTGTGCTGAGCCCTGCAATGTCAGGAGGGGTCGCCTAAGTGAGACAAGGATAGGAGAGTAGCCTCTGTGAAGGCCTGGGGACAGCTGAGCATGGCTCTCTAGAAGGATGCCACTAGTCTGAAGCTGGACCTGGGGCCAGGTTGGGAGAGCCCAAGTCCTAGGACAGAAGCTGAGCCTGTATTCCGAGGGCCGCGGGTGCTGTGGAATAGTTTAATGCACAAGGGACAGGGTGAGATCTCTGTCTTAGGAAGGGACACATGGGCAGCTCTTTGAGGGGATAGTAGATGGGGCTAGCGGGGAGCAGATTGACAAGTGAGGACTTGGCAGTCACTGCAGTGGGACCCTCTGCAGTGGAGGGAGTCAAGGAGAGCAGGGCTGTGGGACCCCTTAGGGTGAATCCCTCCTCTCTGCACCCCTGCTGTGTCACTGGAGGGAGGGATCCTCCTGTGGAGTCCCCATGTCTTCCTGGAGGTTGACTGGGAATGACACCCTGTTACATAGAATCTAAGCACTGCCATTGCCCACACTGGGAGGCCATGGGGCCCTTGGCACCATGATTGCCCTAGGCCGTGGAGGAAATGAGAGCTTTGTGTGAAATATTACTTTAATTCTTCCTTTGTTTACTGGGTACTTTAAGGCCACCACAGTTTTACTTGCCAACTCACTTTCACTCAACAAAGAATTGTTGAGCACCTGCTATGTGCGAGGCATGGTTCTAGGTGCCACAAGACTCGCCCTCGAAGCTCGTGCATACATGGTGCAAAGTGTGGGAAGCCCAGCGGCTCAGAAGGAAGGGAACAGACCACCTGCAATGGTGCCAGCGAGGACAACACAGGCTGCATCTCCCTTGGTCACCTGGTGGATATCTCTTTAGGATGGTTTTATGCTTTTTACAGCAAGATGGTTGTGATCCAACTGCACCATCAGATGTGTATCCTGCGCTTGTAGATCTTTGTGAAGACTGCTTTGGGGGCCCACATAAGGTTCTGTCACTGGGAAACACTACGTGTACTGAGCCCCTTGTGCTGGAGTGTAGATTATTGTTGGTTATTTGCTGTGGGAAATAATAGTGTGATGAACATCTGTCTGTGCATTGACATGTTTCTCTCCATTGTGTTATTAGGTTAGGTTCCAGATAGGGAATTCCTGGGTTCCAGGGCTGTGGGTATTTTCAAGGCTTTTACCAGATTGTTTGACAAAAGAGGCAAATCCATGTACACCCTCCAGCAGTCTGTCAGAGTGAGGGCTTAATTCATCTACACCCTACTCCTCTGGGTCTTTGCAACGATCCCCATGAGAGCTGCAGATGAGGAGAATGAGTTTCAAACAGGAGACTGGGCCCCACAAGCAGGGTGAGGATGCGGGGCTGGGATGCCCGGCTCCTGCCCGTGCTGCCTTAGAAGAATGCCAAGTCTTCTGCCTCTTCCATCTCCAGGCTGTGGATCCCTCCTCTGTTGCCTTGGTAACCCTGGGCTCCTCAAAGGAGATGCTGTTTGAAGGAGGTCCCAGACCTTGGATCCTCGAGCCTTCCAAGTTCTTCCAGAATGTCACCGCTGAGGACACTGACAGCATCGGCTTGGCTCTCTTTGCCCCCCATTCCTCCCGGAATTATCAGCAACACTGGATCCTTGTGACCTGTCAGGCCTTGGGTGAGCAGGTGAGTGGGCAGCTGCTCCAGACCCTCCTTGCCCTAAGGCAGGGGTGGAAAATGACTCTCTCTGTATTATTTTATTTACTCCTTGGAGTAACCCTGAGAGAAAACCACTCCCATTGTACCCATTTTACAGACAGGCAAACTGAGGCGTGGTGATGTGGAATTCAATGAACACTAGGTAGGTGTGGCAATGGGGACCTCCCGCTATGCCAGCTTTCGTAGAACAGGCCCGTTGGGTGGCTTGCCACCTCCATGGGCTTCAGCATCCCCCACTAACCAAACCAGAGCTGGAGGCTTTGAGTTCGGGATAACAAGTCCAGTGTCTCCAGGGCTGTAAATGAATGAGGCTATAGACCCAGGTTTGACACATCTTTTTGGTTTTTGAGGATAACCTGGAAATCACAATTTTTTTTTTTTTTTTGAGACGGAGTCTCGCTCTGTAGCCCAGGCTGGAGTGCAGTGACCGGATCTCAGCTCACTGCAAGCTCCGCCTCCCAGGTTTACACCATTCTCATCTCAGCCTCCCGAGTAGCTGGGACTACAGGCGCCTGCCACCTCACCCGGCTAGTTTTTTGTATTTTTTAGTAGAGACGGGGTTTCACTGTATTAGCCAGGATGGTCTTGATCTCCTGACCTCGTGATCCGCCCGTCTCGGCCTCCCAAAGTGCTGGGATTACAGGCTTGAGCCACTGCGCCCAGCCCACAATTTTTTTTTTTGCATAATCTGTTAAGTTTTTTAATGCTGAAAACCAAAAGCTGAGGAGGCTGAGGGGACCAGACAAAACACATGTGTGACCTGAATCCCCACATGCTGGCTGGAGGGCATCTTGCTATTCAGGCGCCTCAGAATCTGGTACTCCTTCCCTGGGGAGGGTGGGCTGAGAGCTTGTGGGGCTTCTGGTGGGCATCTACTGCTCCATTTCCAAGGCAGGAAGCCCAGAGCAAAACGGGTATTCGGTGGGAATCAGGAAGATGGGAGAGAGCCCATTTCTTTGGGAAGTGAAGTATATTTCCTGCATGTGTAGCAGGGCAAAGAATGTCAATTGGCAATAAAACGCACATGCATGCCTCCCACGGTGCCCTTATGGCATCAGCCATGCCACAGCTGCCCTGGTATGGCCAGAAAAGGTGCCTGATGATAGGTCCCATTCACCAGTGGGGTGGTTTTAGAAAAACAATAAAACAACAAGAACAATAACATCATAATAAGTAATATAATAAGAAGAATAAAATTCCTCATGAATTAAGTTGGATATATTTCTTATCCCTAACATGACCCCACCATCCCTGTCCCTTCTCAGGGCTGTAGGAATTTGACCCCCAAGTGGCATTACCTCTAGGGCCCTCCCAATCCATTGCTCTGTGGATTGGGAGCAATCCACAGGGGACACATGGGACACTGGGAGCACACAGAAAGCCTTCGTGGAGTCAGGGAGGACACTGCCCTTGGTCCTGCCTCATGGTCAGGAAAGGTGGGGGCTCGTGTCCTCCATCAAGTGCATGTCATCTGAGGAGGCTGAGGGTGCTACCTCAAGATGGGCCCTGAGCCATGGTGCTCCAAAAAAGAGGAAGCTGGATATGATTTCTGAGGTCCCAGCTCTCCAGGCAGACAGGTTTCCCTCTTTTCTTGCACCATGGATTCCCCTCTCTGCAGCAGCCCCTGGAGCTGCAGAGCATGAGCAGGCAGAGGGCAGGCCCTGCCTCCAGGCTGCAGCTCTTCCTGGGTGTTGTCCTGCAGTGCTCCTATCTGATTGGCTTTCCCCAGTCATCATTCTGCAGCATGCACTTCCCACGTCTGTCCCTCGTTCCATGGGTGTTTTCACCTCCATATGGACTCCTCACTGAAGCATCCTTGAACTTGTGAATTTGCTAATGCAACCATGGGGTTTTCCTAGGGTCCTGGGAAACCATGAAGCCTCACCAAGTCTACCTCTTCCCTGAGATAGGAGCAGCCCATGGTTCTGGCTGACATTTGCAGAGGGCACGTGGACTCCCATCTGAGAGTCTCTTAAGTGTTGAGGAAGTGCTTTCCCACCTGTGTGCCACTGGGCATTTGTTAAGACCCTGTGGCATGGGTATCATCATCACTCCCATCCTATAGAGGAGAAAACTGAGTCAGAGGGTACTGGGGTGGGGTGTGGCACAGCTCAGAAAGGAGTGAGAACTCAAGCTTGGGGGTCTGACTGCTCACTGTGCCCTACCAGGTCATCGCCCTGTCGGTGGGGAACAAGCCCAGCCTCACCAACCCCTTCCCTGCGGTGGAGCCTGCTGTGGTGAAGTTTGTCTGCGCCCCACCGTCCAGGCTCACCCTTGCGCCTGTCTACACCAGCCCCCAGCTAGACCTGTCCTGTCCGCTGCTGCAGCAGAACAAGCAGGTGGTGAGTGTGGTCTATGCTCAGGAGGAGGCGAGGGTGCCGCCCGCTTGGGCAGGACATTGGCGGCCTTGCCCATGGTCCCAAGCATTGTAACAGACATAGCTCCACGCTGCACTTCCTTTGTCTCAACAGCTGGCCCTGTGAGGGCGCTGGTTTCATTTGTGTTTTATATTCAAGGGACACACAGCTTGGAGAGGTGAGGGACATACAAAAGTCACAGCTACTAGTGGCAGTGTCAGATGAAGATAGGGTCCTCTTCCACATTCGCTGCCTGTCTTTGTTTGGCAGTTGGTAGTTTAAAAATATCTTGTTGTCTTCTGTGCCTTGAGGGTGTTAAAATGCAGCTTGCTGTCTATGGACAGAGTATGTAGGGTCAGAGCAGGTGTGCGGGCTACTGAGGAGAGGTGACCAGCTTCAGCGTCCCCATGATGTGGGGGACATGGGGCTGTGTTTCAGAAGTAAGGGTTAAGAGAGGAAGAAAGTCCCTTGGGGGTCTAACGGCAGGGATGGTAAGGGAAGCCACAGGTCTGCTCCCCTTGGACTTGAGACGCATCCATGCCTTAGTCCCTAGGGCATTCAGAGTCCAAGGTATTGAGTGTGTCCAGTGTAAGGGACATGGGACACCCTCTGGCCAGCACCAGCCCCCAGCCCCTTTTCAGAGGAGGGGGTTGGGCAGCTCCTCACTCCTTGAGCATGTACTTACGGAGCATGTCCTCTGTGCCAGGCACAGGTCTGAGTTTTGGATTGCACGGTCATCAGGACAGGCAAGGAACCTGCCTCCTGGAGATGACAGGGAGACCAGGAGATGCACAAATAAGATGGATCAGAGGTGGCAAGCGCTGCAAGGGAAGTGAAATAGGGCACACAGCAGAGCGAGGAGGAGGCTGCTCAGGAGGAGCGGAATGGGGCTCTGAGGAGGGCATGTGCGAGCTCACTGCGATCTAACACTGTGAAACTCACTCCATTTATTCTTTGTGAGTCCTAGAGCAGACCCTGGCTCATAGGAGGAGATCAGTAACTAGGAGCGGTGGATGAGTGAACCAGCGAATGCACTGTGCATGTGCCACTCCTGTCTTAATGCTTGACTCTTGCAGACTCATGGGTGGAGAAGCCACACTGCTGGAGAACTGGCCAGGGAGTAGCTGAGCTGGAGAGTAGGTCCTTTCTGGACAGGCAGCCTGCTCAGCTCAGGGACAGTCACTTCAACCCCAGGCTGGCCCAGCTTTCTCGTTTTCAAAGAAAAACAAATCAAACCTAGGTGCATCTTCCCCGTCCTTAGCGTTGGCTGTGAGCTGAGGGAGCCATGTTGGGGCTGGATTGTGCCTGGTCTGTCTGTTGGCCAGGACCTCTGCTTTAGCCCAGGGTTGTCTCCCTGGACTTAAATATGATGGCTGCAGGGCTTGACTCTGATTTGGCTTTGCACATCATAGATGTCGCCAGAAAATAATGGACCTCAAACATGGAGGAGTTGTGTGATCCATCAGTCCTCAGGTTCCTGAGCCACCAGCCAGCCATTCAGGCGTGACCCTGGCAATTTAGAGTCTCATTAGGGAACTTTTTTTCTTTTTTTTCTTTTTTGAGACAGAGTCTCGCTCTGTTGTCCAGGCTGGAGTGCAGCGACGCAATCTCGGCTCACTGCAACCTCCGCCTCCCGGGTTCAAGTGATTCTCCTGCCTCAGCCTCCTGAGTAGCTGGGATTACAGGCATGCACCACCATACCAGACTAATTTTTGTATTTTTAGTAGAGACATGGTTTCACCATATTTGTCAGGCTGGTCTCGAACTCCTGACCTCGTGATCTGCCCGCCTTGGCCTCCCAAAGTGTTGGGATTACAGGCATGAGTCACCATGCCTAGCCAGTCATTAGGGAACTTTGAGAAAGATATATCCCTGCAATGCAGCCTGGGTGCAGGATCAAGGTAATTTTATACTCTCCAACTTCAGAAGCTGCCCAAGATGTGTTTGCAGATTAAATTATTGGTGAGGAGAGACACCAGAATGGAATTGACTGATCAGAATGACAAGATGGACCCTGGCCCTCCGAGCAGATCCTCTAGTGTGTGGCTCACTCACTGTGGGTGGGCACCAGTTGCATGGGACTGATTAGGGACTTGAGTGGGGCTGCCCCCAGATGAGACACCAGAGATTGACCACACTGAGTCAGGGGAGGTCCTTGGGCTCTAAAATCAGACCAACTGAGTTCCACCCCTAAACCTGTGTGACGTTGGACAAGTCATTTAACATTTAATATCCCTGGACCTCAGCCTCCCTGTTTGTAAAATGGAGTTTATGTTGTTGCCTCAAATGGGTCAGCTAGCTTGCACATGTGCTTGGCCAGTGTCAATTTCCTTCCCTGGAAGAGCATTGGTTTTCCAGCCTGGGTTGCATCTGGGGGAGCCATGGAGCACCTAGGATAGGTCCCTGCAGCCTCTGCCAACACTCCCAGCTTCTATATTATGAATAATGATGAGACCTTTGCATGCCTGCTGATGGTGCTGGCCTACTCTGAGCAGGGCGTGGATTAAGAATTTGTAGCCTGCTTGAATCAAGTGTTCTGTGGGGGCAAGAGAGCTAAAAGGAATTGAGAGGAGCCCTCATGGTGCAGGTAGGGTGTTTTGTGACTGTATCAGTCGGACAGGCTGGGCCCGGCCAGGCTGCCACAGCAAACAAGCCCACATCCCATAGCTTCACATGGCACAAGCTCACCTCTTGCCCATGCTGCATGAGCCTCTCTGGTTGGCTGGGAGACCCTGCTTTGTGTCATTGTAGTCTTCGTTCTAAAACATGGGCTGTGGAGCAGCTACCATGTTGATTATGGCAGGTGCCACTGTGGAGAGAAAGGGAATGTGGCAGGTCGGGATCTGGCAGTGAAGCTTCCCACTAGTCCCATTTCACATTTCACTGGCTAGAGCAAGTGCCTCGGTCACTTCTTTTTTTTTCTTTGCTCTGTCGCCCAGGCTGGAGTGCAGTGGTGCGATCTCGGCTCACTGCAAGCTCCGCCTCCCGGGTTCACGCCAATTCTTCTGCCTCAGCCTCCCGAGTAGCTGGGACTACAGGCACCCGCCACCACGCCCGGCTAATTATTTTGTATTTTTAGTAGAGACAGGGTTTCACCGTGTTAGCCAGGATGGTCTCAATCTGCTGATCTCGTGATCCGCCCGCCTCGGCCTCCTAAAGTGCTGGGATTACAGGCATGAGCCACGGTGCCCGGCCGTGCCTTGGTCACTTCTAACCAGAGGGTGAGAGAAGGGTAGTTCTTTCTGTGGGACCCCCCTCTCCCCGAATGGAAAACTGGCCGTTTGTGAATGACACTCATGGCTGCCCCCCTTCCTACCCACGTGTAGGAAGGCTCTCTAAAATGCCCTTGCAGTCCCCATATTTAAATCCACATCCTACAAGGTGGGCTTGGTTGTGCTTTGTGTGTCACAGCTGGAGAAACTGAGGCTCAAGGAGTTCATAACTTGCCTGGGCACTGAGAGGTAGAGCTGGGACTCAGTCCAAGTTGTGGGGTCAGACACACTTGGCCTCTGCTTTGTGGCCCTGCCCACATTGCCCCCATGCCATGTGGCCAGAGAAGGAGGGGATAGTCCACAGGAAAGAGGCTTGATTCAGCCGGTTTCTATGGGGAGAGTCTTCTCAGGGAGCAAGAAATCATGCCAGAGTGGTGGGAATCCAGGATTTGGACCTGCAGCCTGGAGCTCCCATCCCAAACCTCCTTGGATGAGCTCCTTTCCCTGCCTGGGCTTGTGCTTCCTTCACATGGGGATGATCTCTCCCACCTTCCTGGGACATTTAAGGATCAGGCGAGTATTCCACTTTGAAAGGAGCTGTGCAAACCTGGTAGCTCTGGGACATCTTAGGCATTGGAATCTGCATTCCTGTGAAACCCCTAGTGGGGCCATCCTAGAGGCACTGACATGTGCCTGGGTGGGGGGTGGCAATCATTTGGAAAGGTGAGGGCGGAGGGGAAGGAGAGCAGCCTGCCCACAGTAGTAGGTCAGGGTGGGGGTTCCCGGCTTCAGCACTGTTGACACTTGGGGAAATAGGTCCTGTGGGGGGCTGTCCTGTGTATTACAGGGTGTTAAGCAGCATCATGGACCTCTCCCAACTAGATGCCAGTGGCAACCCCCTGACACATCAGTAGGGACAGCCAGAAATGCCTCCACTGTTGCTGAAGGCCCCCTAGTGGTTCTCATTCCATTGAGAGCTGTGGTCTGGAGCCAGAAGCCAGCTTGGACAGGGCCATGGTGGGACCTGGTGGGTGGCAATAGTGAGGATTGCTTTCTGGCTCATCCCATTCCCTCACCAGCACCCCCAAGAGCCCACAGGGCAGCTGCTGGCCTCAGAGTGCACTGTGTGGTCAATGTCCAGGTCTAGTCCTGGGTGTGACCACAGCATCTGACCTGTGTCCCCTGCAGGTCCCAGTCTCCAGCCACCGCAACCCCCTGCTGGATCTGGCTGCTTACGACCAGGAGGGCCGCCGGTTCGACAACTTCAGCTCTCTGAGCATCCAGTGGGAGTCCACCAGGCCAGTGTTGGCCAGCATCGAGCCTGAGCTGCCCATGCAGCTGGTGTCCCAAGACGATGAGAGTGGCCAAAAGAAACTGCACGGTGAGCTGGGCGCTAGCCCAATGGCCCAGGCAGAACAGAGACTAGACAGGAAGCCTGCCAAGGTGGGCCTGTACCTGTGGGAGCTTAGTTATCTGCACTTAGGTCCTGTTAACTCTTAACAATCCACGTAGTTTCAACATACACAGTTTTCTATTTTCGGATTCAAAACTGCAAATCAGAAGGAGGGAGGGGCTGCTTCAGGGGTGGTGATGGGCAGACATCCAACGGTGGCTTCCCTCTTCCTGGTCTCAGGTTTGCAGGCCATTTTGGTTCACGAGGCATCAGGAACCACAGCCATCACTGCCACTGCCACTGGCTACCAGGAGTCCCACCTCAGCGCTGCCAGAACAAAGCAGCCGGTATCTCCCAGGGCCCAGTGGTGGGTGGGCTATGGGTAGTGGAGCAAGTCTCCTACTTCTGCTTAAATTCCACTGGGTGTCACAGTGTCCTGAGTCACTGTCTGCTCGACCGCCGCTCCCCAACCCCAGCCTCTTGGAGGCCCTAGGAGAGGCACTGCTATTAATAGTAGGGGACCAATAGATACATTGGAGGTGGGAATGGGAAGGGCTCCTCAAGAACAGGCCTTCCTGGATAACAGCCACCTCATGGGGGGTATAGCCATAAGAAAACTTAGGTCTTGAATACGGTGGAGGCAGCAGGTACAGGCTGGAAGGAGAAGGTGGGACTGGATTCCCAGGGCCCCTAAATGCCAGGATGAGGCACTTGTATTGTCCTCCTGGGAGCAAACTTTGAAAGAGGCTGGGGCCCTATGGGGGCAGCACTGGGGAGGCTGGCCTGGAGGGAGGTGGTCGCTGAAGGGGCACACCTGTGCCTGTCCCTGATGGCTCAGTCCTCACTGGCACCAGGAGTCCCTTGATTGGGAGTGGGGGGGCATCATGGCCTCCTGCCTGATGCCTGAGCACCCTGACATGTTCCCCCCAGGACTTTGCACTTCCTCCCTCTGCCCTGATGTCCCCCCACCCCCCATTGCTGAGTCACTCAGGCTTCCTCCCCTTGCAGTCTCTGTTCCCCTGAGAGCTGCTCTCCCTTGCAGACACCCTCCTGGTCCTTGTCACCCACACTGCACACCTTCCTGTCATTGACTCTTACTCTTCCATCCGTGCATTGGAGTCACCTCTCCCTGTGGGCAGTTGCTGCACCCTGAGTGCCTGGCACACCTGTGGCCCTGAGGAGGTGCTCAAACACATGACCTTCTGGGGACCTCAGATCTGGGTGGCTCCCTTGTGTGACACATGGTGGGAAGCAGAGCTTGGTGGGTCATGTGCCACCCTAGGGGATGAGGGTTCCTCTCCTGAGCCAGCCTTGGCCACTCTTCCAGGGGACACTTCCCCAATGCCCAGCGGCCACACACTCCAAAGCTGGCCCTTTGCTGTGAGGTCCTGAAGGGCAGGGCGTGTGTGTGAGTTGCCAACCACTGGGGCCTGGTGGGTTGGGGTGGCGTCTTCTAAGCTGGATTGCTGCCAAACCCCTCCTCAGTCTGGAGTGGAGAAGCCAGCAACTCACTCCACCTCAGGAGGCTGAAGGGAGGCCTCAAAGGGTCTGTGGCCATTCTTCTGGGCTCAGGAGTACCAGGGGCTTGTGGCCGGGAGAAAGGCCAGGCCCTAGGGCCTTTGGCCTGCTCTTCCTGAGGGGCAGCCTGATCATGTCCTCCTGGATCTGATGGCCTTGCCCTTGCCCTTCAGCATGACCCTCTGGTGCCTGTGTCAGCCTCCATAGAGCTCATCCTGGTGGAGGACGTGAGGGTGAGCCCAGAAGAGGTGACCATCTACAACCACCCTGGCGTCCAGGTACCGTCCTTGCCCTGCCGCCTTCCTGGGCGAGACCCATGGGGGGACTCCTCGCCCTCCCACATGCGGCCCAACCCTCCCTGCATCTACCTCCTGCAGGCGGAGCTCCGTGTCAGGGAAGGCTCAGGTTACTTCTTTCTCAACACCAGCACCGCAGATGTTGTCAAGGTGGCCTACCAGGAGGCCAGGGGTGTCGCCATGGTAAGCTTGGGCCATCAGTCCCCACTGTTGGTTTTCAGTCCTTATCTGGGCCGTTGCATGGTTAATTGATTGATTATTTTGAAAGCTAGCACTTGGCTCACACTCGGAATCCCAGAACTTTGGGAGGTCGAGGCGGGAAGATCACCTGAGCTCAGGAGTTCAAGACCAGCCTGGACAATATAGTGAGACCCCTATCTCTACAAAACCAATAAGAAAAATCAAAAGATTAGCTGGGCATGGTAGCACAGGCCTGTGGTCCCAGCTATACAAGAACCTGAGGCAGGAGGATTGCTTGAGCCCAGGAGGTTGAGGGGTGCATTGAGCAGAGGTCATGCTCCAGCCTGGGCAACAGACCTGGGTGAGAAACCCAGACCCTGTCTTCATAAAAACAAAAGCTGGCACTTAGATTCTCTGATTCATTCCACAACTTTAGTCATTCTCATGAAACTTTTGTGATTTTTATTCCATGTCCGCAAACTGTTATTTACCTAATGGTTCCCTTTCAATCAATCCTTTAATTAAGATTAAAATATTATTCCATAAGGAGCACTGTAACAGCCATAAAGAAAATTGCTTTTAAAAGATGTCTGACCTTTCTCTATTTTCCTGTGTTTCTCTCTTGACCCTCTCCCTACTCTTGCAAGCATTGACTTAGCTGTGCTTGTGGCATGGAAGAATTTAGTGTTCTGCTTTTATTATGTTATTTTAAGTGTTTATGTTTTTTCATATTGCTAATGTAAGATGGCAGTCCATCTTCAAGTTTGCTAATGCTTTCTTTTGCCAGTTTAAATCTACTCTTGTGCCCTTCTGGTGAATTTTTCATTTCAGCTACTATACTTTTCAACTTAAGAATTTCTGTTTGGTTCTTTTTTTCCTCCAACTTTTACCTCTTTATTGATATTCTCTGTTTGATATGACATTGTTATCAAATCTTCCTTTACTCCCTTCATCATTGGTTGGTTGGAAGGCTTTGCCTGGTGAATCTGATCTCTGGTGGCCCTCATAGACAGTTTCTGTCATCTGCCTTTTTTCTGGAGTACTGGTCATGTTTTCCTGTTTGTTTGTTTATTTGTTTTCATGTCCTATAATTGTTGGAAACTGGACATTTTAGGTAATGTATTGTAGAAACTCTGGGTACTGATCCCCAATCCCCACGTTGGAGCTTGTTACTGCTATTTGCTTGTTTACTTCTTTAGTGACTGGTCTTGTTATTTTGCTGAACACACACACACTCACGCACACACACTTTTTCCCAGTAAGAAGTCTCTGATATTGCTCTTAGGGGTAACACCTTGGTGTGTCCTTTGTTGCTCTGGGATGACTGTGGCCTTTGCAGGGCTTTTTTTGACTGTCTTTCACTGACCACTCAACTGTTGAGCTCCACTAATTGAGGCTGATTGCTCCACTGTCTTCAGTAATTCCCTTCTGACCCCAGGAGAGCTCTTCCCAGCTCTCTTTTTTTTTTTTTTTGAGACTGAGTCTCGCTCTGTCGCCCAGGCTGGAGTGCAGTGGCCCGATCTCAGCTCACTGCAAGCTCCGCCTCCCGGGTTTACGCCATTCTCCTACATCAGCCTCCCGAGTAGCTGGGACTACAGGCGCCCCGCCAACTCGCCCGGCTAGTTTTTTTGCATTTTTTAGTAGAGATGGGGTTTCACTGTGTTAGCCAGGATGGTCTCGATCTCCTGACCTTGTGATCCGCCCGTCTCGGCCTCCCAAAGTGCTGGAATTACAGGCTTGAGCCACCGCGCCCAGCCCCAGCTCTCTCTTTTTCTGTTTCTCTCTGGCAAACTTGCCAGCCTCCAGTGTAGTCCACACCTCCCGGACTCTGTCACCTCCCAGTTGCCTTTCAGCACAACCTCCACTGTTTTGGAGAGTGCACTTAGGCTTGGACTTCTCCAAGCTCTGTTGCACATGAATTCAGTTCCTTTAGGAGCAACTCACACCTTCTGTTTTCTGAGTGCATTTAGCCCCTGTGCACCAGCTGCTTTTCCAGGCAAACTCTCTGAGCCAGAGCTATGGTGCTGGGCACAGTGGTGCATCTCTCTCTGGTGACACCAGCACATTAGGAGCTGGGCCCTTGGTGAGTGGGGCAGCAGCCCCAGTGTTCCTCGGCTGGCCTCTCTTAGCAGGGAACCCCACCCCACGAGCCAGGGAAGGGCGGCCAGGCCCCAGTATTCTCACGGGTGCTGCACCCAAGGCAGAGCCTTCATCCCACGAATGGGGTCTGGGTGGAAGATGGAAGCCCCCACCTCTGAGCCCACTTTCCTGGGACTCAGTCTCAGCAAGCTGTAGCTGGGGGCATGATAAGAAAAGAAAAACTGACACTGCCCCTCCTAGGAAACGAATCCCCTGGCCGAGAGCTGGGGGTGAGGGAGTCCTGTGATCTTGGAGGAACCAGTCGGGAGTGGAGCTCCACCTCGCTGGGGTGGAGGTCAGGGAGGACGGGCATCTTATTTCACATTCTACAGACCCTTGTTCTTCCCAGATGTTAGCAGGTTTTCTCCAGTAAACGCTTCTTCATTTGCTGTGTGCCCTTGGAATCATCCCAGAGATTTTAAACAGCTGTGTGTGTGTTTCATGGGGAAGTCTGTGGCCTCCTTACACTGTCCTGCAGAACTGGCACCTCCGGCTGGTTTTTGACGTGTGGGGGTGTGAGCCCTTTCAAGAGAAAATAGAGATCTCTATTTTTGTGTGAAACACCCCCTGTTTAATAAGTTTTTTAATTCAGTTTTTTTGTTTGGTGTTTGGGGTGATTTCGAAAACCTTCCTTCAGTGTTTGATGTTAGTCTCCAGCTGTCTTGCATAGAGGATGCTTTCTCAGTGCTGTGCCTCGGGGAGGGGGAGGGAGTCCCGCTGTTCATGTTCTTCCCAGAGGCAGACCCTTGGATGGCAGGACGCCCTCAGCACCTGGGAACACGCTTGTGGTTGGAGGACGCTGGAGGAGGCGAGGAGCCTGAGACCACAGGCAGTGTCCCCTAAGCATTCTTATCCCCTCATAGAAGAAAGAACAATTTCCCGGCTCTTCCTCCAGCCATGCCAGTGAGAACCTTACACCTTAATTCTGACTGCTTGACATATGCCTTGTTTTGTTTACTTTTAGAAATTAATAAAAACTTCCCCGTTACCAAGAAGAGGGGAGTTCCAAGTTAGGGAAAATGTGTACAGTGCCGGTGAAACCGGGGCACGCTCTCATTCACATTTACCTTGCACCTATCATTTTGTGCAAGCCCTGAGGGTAGACTTGTGACCAGAGGGAGACCTTTTCTCCAGGAACAAGAGTTCCTCGAGGTTGGTGATGGACTAGGCTGCCGCTATAGATAGTGAGCTCCTTGTCTCTGGAGGCATTTGAGCAGAAGCTGGGACACTTGTCTGAAAGACTCAAGGTGGGATTCCAGCATGGGAGTCAAGTCTCCCAGGAGACCTTTAAACCCCTCTTGAATCCTAAAATGCTGCGATTCTAGGAGTGTCTCTGCAGTTCTGTTTTACACGTGGCCACAGGAGAGCCCTGGCACTGTCTTTCTGGATTGTGGAATGGCCCCTGGCCTGGTTGAGTGACACAGAGTGCCTATTGCAGGCAGGACCCGGGACGAGTCTCCCCTATGGCAAGCAGCAGCCCGTGCCACTGGCCCTGTGAACTGCTCTGGTCCAGAAGTTTCCTTCCATGGAGGCGCCCTGCCCACTGGGGTCTTCACCTCCCTTCATTTCAGGCTTGTGCCAAAGACCCTCGCAACTCCAATCGGGCCCTGGTTCCTCTGGTCTCTTCTGAAGCCTGCAGAAGGAATTTTCCAGGGAGTATTGACGTCAGCAGCAGGTCCTGGTTGCTTCAGAAACAGTTGCAGGCGGCTGTTTCTGAGGGATGTCTACACGTGGCTGTGGCTTTTTCCAGCTGCTGAGCAGCAGCACAGAGATAGACAAGCCCCCAGCACTCCCTAGTTAGCTCACAGAAAGGGTTTCTTTCCTTCCTATTGATACATATTCAGCACGCAAAGATGGCTTGCAGGCATTGTGGCTTTGGAGTGTCTCTGGGGGGCTCTCTGGGGCTCACACAGCAGGGGTCCTTTGGAGGTTTTTATCCCCACACAGTGGACATGGGCTATGCAGGGCTGTGATGAATTTTGCTCACGCAGCCCCAGAACGCTCTGTAAGGGCCTTTATTTTGTTTCGGCTGGTTTGCACATGGGAGTGTTTATCCTATTTAAACCTAGGGTTTCCTTCTCAATGATTCTTTACATTTCAATCAAGTCCTCCAGGCAGAACCCATGAGATGACCAGAGCAGGGGAAGGAGCCTGCTGGGCACTTTACATTTCCCATTAATTCGTGCACTCAGCGACACTAGAGTGCGTATCGTGTGCCAGGTGCTGTGCTGGGCACTGCGGATTCAGGAGAGAATGAAGCCGGGGGGGCCGGCTTCTGTGAGCTGCGGCTGCGTCTCTCCATCTCCTGGGTCCTATGAGCTGTGGCTGCGTCTCTCCATCTCCTGGGTCCTGTGAGGCGCAGCCAGTCATGGGGCCATTGTTCAGGTGAGGATGCGTGTCCAGGATGAGTGGGGAGTGGTTGGCAACTGCAGGGCCTGAAGTCAGGTGCATCCTCCTTTTCCCTGAGACTGATCTGTGGACAGTAGTCCATGTCCCCAGTCCTCGGCCTTGGGAAGATCACAGGGCTGGCCACGTCCCTGTGTGAAGTTTCATCCAGCACCCAGGCTAGGGCCCCACTCAGTGCCTATGCTTTTCATGTAAGCTTAGGTCTTTCCCTGCTGGCCTTGAGGGTGGGTAATCAGGGGCACACTCACTTGGCACTGTCTGGCCCATCACGTGACATTGACAAGCAGCCTGCAGGAAATGGAAGCCAGTGGCTCTGTGACATTCAAAAATAGCTGCAAGGTCCCTTATCCCCTGCACTCGCCACCTGTGAGGGGACAAGTCTGAAATGTGATCAGGGCTCCAGGAAGTAGGGGCTGAGATGATGTGGGCAGAGCCTTGGGGCCTGGCAAGCTCTGAGGTATTTGACAGTTTCAGTCCCACGTGTGCAGAGCTGCCTCTGGCTGCACTCAGCGTCTTAATGAGCAACGACACATTTGTCATCTCTGACTTGACAGAACTTTCCCCTCGGCTCAGTGTTTCCCAGTGTTCTCAGGTGGCACCTTCAACACTCAAAAATTAAAATTCATTCTGGGCATGGGTCACCACTACCTCTTTCCCCTTGCAAACGTTCTCCCGTGTGTCAATCAAGAAGCAGATGTGTCTGGAAAGCACAGAGAAGCTGTGTGGTGTGAGCCACCATGCACAGTGTAGTTAGGAGCGGGTGCAGGGTCCCGCTCTGCCACCAGCTAGCGACCAAGTGCCCTCCATTACCCAAGCCTCCAGAGTGGCCTAGTGGGCGCCCCCTTACAGCATCTCTGTGGGGTACATTTAGCCACTGTGCACCAGCCTGAGGGGCAGGCCATGCTTCGAGGGCTCCAGAGATGGTGGCTGGATGCCCATCCCCTGGGAAATCAAGTGGAAGAGCAATTGATTTCCCCACTGCCATTTTAGGTCTTTGTTTAAAAAGTGCAAGATAGTTCTTCTAAAGGAGAAAAAAGAAAGAGAAAAAGCCCTTCCCTGCATTACCCTGTGTTGCCCTGCGTGAGGCTCCTCAGTCAGTGCACTATGGAATTTCTTCACATCGTGAGGGACCTGCCCACTCCTGACAGCAGTAACTATAGTAGGAGTTTCAGGTTGGAGACTTAAATTGGGTTCTCAAAGAAAGCTGTCATTACTCTCTGTAATTTTTCAATGAGTTTTCTTTGAGAGAAATGTAATAACCTGGGGTGAATCAGCCCCAGCAAAACCAGAAACCTGGTGGCTCCTGGACCCTGCTTCTCAGCCCATACCTGACACTAGGCTCATGTGGCGATGGCTCCAGTCACGAAGCTATTGTTCGGTAGTATAAGCATGACATCTACTCCAGGATCTTTATTCACCTACTGTAAGTCATTGTGTGGAATAACCCAGGCATGCTTTGTGTGTATTGATATACCCATCATTATACAGGTGGTGTGTGCAGCTCGGGCCAGCTTGTTGATCCTCCATACCCCCAGCCAGCCGTGGGCTTGGGCCCTTCTCAGCTAGGCCTTTGCTTTTATCCACTCTCCCCAGCACCATAGTTCCGTTCTGGCTGCAGGAGGCCTCCAGCCCCATTCCCCTGGGAAGTGGAGAGTCAGGGGAGGAGCCTAAATTGGGAGTTAGGGTATTTGGTTCTATCCCCAGCTCTGCCTTTTCAAAGCCATATCCTTGTCCTGTCATCTGGGCCTCAGTTAACTCATTTGTACGTTGAAGAGGTTGGACCAGAATCAGCACTTTCCAAATAAGTGAAGGTCCATTAGATTTGCAGGCGATTTTCAGAATTTCCAAGTCTTAACAAAGCTGGTTTTACTCTGTAAAGCTGAGCAGGCTGGAGCTCCAGGTTCCATGACCTTATCCAGAATTACTCAGAGCAGCGGCCCTGGATCTTCATCCAATCAAGACATGTTTATAGGAGGCTAGGCTGTACCAGATGCTGAGCTGAGTCCCAAGGGCATGTGAGTGCTGGTGACAGCCTGGAGGGGAAGGCCGAGTGCACTCTGGGTCCCATCAACACTGATGGCACCTGGCAGGCCCAGCCCCCGAGAGAGGGGAGAGATGCTGGAGGAGCTGACATGGATGAGGGAAGACTGTTCTGAGGAAAGACACTGGACCTGGGCCTGAAGGATGACTTGGAGCCAGCAGGTGGAGGCTGGGGAAAGAGTCCAGGTCTTTAAGGTGGGCTGCGAGGTCCGGAGGCCGGCAGGCAGCAGCTAGCTGTCTGTATGAGTGGGAGAGAAGGCCTGTGTGGCTGGAGCATAAGTGTAGTGGGGGAGTGTGCTCTGCGTGGAATCTGGAGCGGAGGCAGGGGCCGGGCCATACCAGGCTTTACAGGGCGTGCTAAGGCTTTGAGCTCATTCTCAGAGCACTGGGCAGTTGTTGAAAGGTTGATGTTGGGTGTGATGTGATCCTATTTGGTTGTCACCTTTGGGTCAGAAACCTTATTTTTATTTTATTTTATTTTTGTAGCTTCTTGATATTGAAACTCTAGCTTTGCAAATCCTGAAGTGCTTACTTTAAAACCCCTTGCTCCCCACCCCATGAATACGAGACCACAAAGAGCAAGCAACAAAGCCAGGCCCCGACAGAGGAGTGGGGCAGCTGGCTAGACTTGCCTCATGGCCTGTCCCTGCTTACCCAGCTCCAAGATCACCTGGGTGAAATATGCGTCTAAGCATTAAGAAAAGCTGTGTGAATTCCGTCATAAACAGACACGTTACTTGTGTGAATGCCCATCTTCTGCAGCCTCAGAGGGTGATTGTGATGTACTTTCTTAGGGGAGAGAGTCTTGAAGGTAGAATCCCTAAAAGTGGGTAGAGAGAAAAGGATTAAAAGGTGGGCTCTTGCCTTGAGCCCAGGAGTTTGAGGTTGTAGTGAGCTGTGATCCCGTCACTGTACTCCAGCCTTGGGGACAGAGTGAGACCCTGTCTCTAAAAATAATAAATACAATAAATAAATGTTAAAAGGGTCTTTGGCAGTGAAAAGGCTGGAAAAAACTAGCTCTGATTTGTTCATTCACTCACAACACCTTGGTAGTCACTGCTTCACACAGAGCTGGGGATGTGATGAGACACAAAGATGAGCAAGATGCACATAGCTCACACTGGGGTGGCCTTGCGGGCCGCTCCCAGGCTCTGTGGTTCCATCAGTCTGCTGGGACTTCCTGTGCAAGCTGCCATTGGAAAGCATCTGCCTCGTTTTCTGCCAGCCCCTGACTTGCAGTTTCACAGAAGACCCCACAGAGTGCTTCTCTACCACCAGGGCTGCAGCAGCAGGTGGCCAGCTCAGGATGTGGCATCCTGGGACTGCATCCTCACTCTGCCCTGAAGTTGGTGCATGTCCCAAGGCTGCTGACTGGCCCCATTGGAGCAGCTTCCATTTTCTTCTCTTTCTAAAATATGCAAGTGGAGATCAATGCTCTGTGAGATCCAGCCTGGCACTAATGTGTTATATCCCAAGCCCATCTCCTGGCCAGCAGTGGGGCTCATGACAAGAGGTGGGTAGGGCATCATCTGGTGTAGGATTTCCCTTGTCCACTGCTTCCCAGTGCTGGCCTGGAGGACTCTGCCACTGGCATCCCATGAGGTGACAGGCTGTGCTGAGGGCGAGGTGCTGCTCACAGACCTGAGCAGGGGGGCACCCTACAGCTGCATAACCCAGCACCCACCCCTCCACCCCTGCCCCAACGTTGCAGGTGCACCCTTTGCTCCCGGGCTCATCCACCATCATGATCCATGACTTGTGCCTCGTCTTCCCGGCCCCAGCCAAGGCTGTGGTTTACGTATCGGACATTCAGGAGCTGTACATCCGTGTGGTTGACAAGGTCAGTGGAAGCTTCATGATGGGGCACCCTCGGCTGACCTGCAGGAACTGGGAGGGAGGGGACTGTGGGAAGAATGTTCTGCATGGCCTTTGCTTTTTGCTCCTGGAGTCTGCATCCCGTCCCCTGTGAGCTTGCAGAGCTGTCTCCCATCTCCTTCGCTCCATGTGGAGGATCCAGAGTCCCTTCAGTAAGGGACTTCTTCATCCCAGGTGACATTCCCATGAGGCTTGGCAGTAAATCCTGCTGGAAGTTGTCTCTAAATTAGCCATGACCTGGGAATTCCATGTCTTCTGGCCGGTGTAGGTTATTAACCAGCCAGGCACATGCCCTGCTGAGCATGAATTTTCTTCCCAGAATATAGATTTTGAGTTCTCTGGGGTTTCAGTGGCAAATGAGCACAATTCACCCATGCCAAGCACCATGGAAAAAAGAGACAAGGAATAGATCTCGGTTTATCTTTCACATCGATAGGGAATTTTTATTACTCCAAATATCTGAGGTAGCTGAAGCTGGGCTTTCAGAGGGTTGCGATCAGGTTCCTCAGTGGATAGAAGGGCTGGTAATTAAAAGGGGAGTGTTCATGCGGCTTAGGCTCCTTAAGAAGCTAATATGCTCTGCCCAGCCCCATATACTCCTCCTATAGTCTCATTTTCACTGCTGTTTGCTAATCATCTGTTTCTTCACTGTGTATTTCTGATTCTCATTTCCTAAAGTTCTTACTGTATTATACACTGCCAGGTGTGAGCTGTTCAGTCAGTCAGCATTTATTGAGCTCCTACTGGATGCTGCTGTTCTGAGTGGTGTTTCATCTCCCTAATTAGTGTATTAGTTATTTAAGAGTAGAATGTGGAATTTATGCCTCTAAGTATCCCCAAGCTCCCCCTCATCAATTTTCATTTGGTGACTGGCTGATAGTCCAGAAGTCAACCTGGGTGACTCTCCTGATTCCCAGGTCTGTGGATTGAGGTTGGTGATGCTATCTCAGAAAGTCATGGGGCACCATAGATGGTAGGATTGGTCTTTTGGAGGCCGCCCCTGAACCTCTGTCCCCATGATGCAGGTGGAGATTGGGAAGACAGTGAAGGCATACGTCCGTGTGCTGGACTTGCACAAGAAGCCCTTCCTGGCCAAATACTTCCCCTTCATGGACCTGAAGCTCCAAGCAGCCTCCCCGATCATTACATTGGTGTGAGTTCTCCTAGAGGTCAGAGGAGGGCACCTCAGAGACAGTGCTGACCCCAGCTGCAGCCTTTCCCATGGGGTGGTCTTAGAGAAGTCCCAGCCCTTCCCTCTGTTTCAGGGCCCTTGATGAAGTCCTTGACAACTACACCATCACATTCCTCATCCACGGTGTGACCATCGGCCAGACCAGTCTAACTGCAAGTGTGACCAATAAAGCTGGACAGAGAATCAACTCAGCCCCACAACAGATTGAAGTAAGACGGGTTCTTCCCACACTATGTGGGATCAGCCCAGTGCTGGGGGTTGGAGGTGTCTTTATAGTTGGGGGTATCTTTATAGTACAGTCCAGGAAGCTACTGTGGAGAAGCCATATAAAAGTCTGTGCCCCACAATGTCCTCTCATCAAAAGGCAGCTGTTACTAGCTCCAGGGCTCTGGGAGGCAACAAAGTTGGACCGGCAGAACCAGAGGGAGGGGTCCAAGTGACTTTACTTTTCCTCTGTGACATGGGGGATTGTGCGGCTCAGAGGAGGGGTGTGCCTGGTCACATGGCAAGGGGACACACCAGGACCATTCCCAGAAAGCACTGACTGGGCGGAAGCTTAGACAGATGCTGGCTCATGTGTAGAAGAACTCCTTAACCATTGATCCTGAGCCATAGAACAGGCGCTTCGAGGGCATTGGGCACCTGTCACAGGGGCTGTGTGAGCAGAGGTATCATAAAGGGAACTCCTGAAGTAGGTGATTCCTGGATGAGAGGCGCTTTGAGGTCCCCACACCGGCTCAGTGTGTGGTATGGGGTTGTCTCGGGAGATTAGGTTATGACAGGAGCCCCACTGCAGCCATAGGCCACAGCAGTTGTGGCCCAGGCATCATTTGAAGTCTATACACAGCAGCAGCATTAAACCAGCCCTGCCAGCATCCTCCCTGCGTCTGGGCCACGTTGGGGCTGGTGAGCATCATTAATCTGTGATCCACAGCAGGTGGGTGCCATCTGTGTCTCTAGATGGAAGCGCACCTTTCTTCTTCTGGTGATGAGAAATTTGTTTCTGCCCATCAATAGCGCAGCTGCAGAGACCGATACTCCCACACAAGTAGCACCCTGGCCACCTCCTGCATTCACTCACCTACTCCTGCCAGGCAGGCACTTGTAGGGGTTGCAGGAGGAGCAGGTGGGGGCTTCACCTGCTCCACAGAGTGGCATCAACATCCCTGGTCTCCTCCCAGGCTAATCCGGAGGGTGTGCTAGGAGAAGAGCAACCTCTGGGGCTCTGGGTGCTCCCATATTGGCGGGGCTACCCTGTGGGGCTACCTCTGGCTCCACAGGCCAGGTGGCTGGGGATGTACATTGCTAATGTGTCCCCGGGCGCTGCTGCCATTGCTGCTTAGTGACCACACACTGAGAACCGCTGCTCTGAGGGGATGACTCAACTGCATAAAAGCCATCCCTCCAAGGGGACGGCCCAGCTTTTGGAGTTTAGCATCTAGGGAAAGTGAAACACAGTCACAGACAGAAGAACACACCCCAGAGAACCAGGGAGCCTCGGCCAGTGACTGGGAGACAGCCCCCAGCACTGGCCCAGGACCCTGGCCTTTCTGGTCACTGCTCAGAGAGGGGTGATGTCCATGCCCCAAGTTTTCCTCTCATGAAACATGTAGCACATGAGTTATGCTCAGTGCCGTGGGCTTGGGGCACAGCAGTCCTTTCTCTCCTGTGTCTCCCAACAGGTCTTTCCCCCGTTCAGGCTGATGCCCAGGAAGGTGACACTGCTTATCGGGGCCACGATGCAGGTGAGAGCCGAGAGGCCATGTCCTGCTCCAGCCCTAGTGCAGGCCACCACCCGGTTCCAGGCACGCTACCTGTGGCCCTGCATGCAGTGACTGGGAGAAGAAGGCAGAAGCTGCCTGCACTGGGGCCCTGGCTCTCTGAGTGGGAGGCGTGGGCTGCCTGGCATGATGGGCACTGACACACCGCTCTTTCCTCCCTGCTCAGGTCACCTCCGAGGGCGGCCCCCAGCCTCAGTCCAACATCCTTTTCTCCATCAGCAATGAGAGCGTTGCGCTGGTGAGTGCTGCCGGGCTGGTACGAGGCCTCGCCGTCGGGAACGGCACTGTGTCTGGGCTCGTGCAGGCAGTGGATGCAGAGACTGGCAAGGTGGTCATCATCTCTCAGGTAACAGGCGTGCTATTGGAGACTGGCACTCTCTGAACCCCCTGGGATGGCCAGCTCTGGCGATGGGCCCATTGCTTTCCAAGGCAGCTGTGCCTGGGACAGAAGCCTCTTTACTGTGTTTGGGTTCTGCCTCTGAGTACCACCCCTCTCCAAGGGTACTGCTTCGGCCCTCTGGGTCTGCAGTCCCTGCAGGGACCCTGGTGCAGGACAGCCCTGCCGATATGCACCCAGACCCCCAGAGGTTGCTCTTCTCCAGGTTGAGTCTCCCAGTCCTTCCAGCTGCTCCTTACAGGGCAGGGTGTTCAGCAACCCCCAGCCCCAAAGGGCCCTTCCAGTAGAGGATGATAGCACTCGTGGTGAGGGCAGGCGCTGCTTTGAGCACTTTGCCTTCATCTCCTTGAGTCCTCTCAGGGCTCAGGGCTAAAATCAGGGCCTTTGCATTCTGCCTGACCTGCTTCGCCAGCAGTGACTTGCTGAAGCATCTTGGAAGGCTGCTTTGGGGTTCTACTCACAGCTGCGCCAGAAACTTGGTCTGTAAGAAGAGCCTTCTGTGATGTGTAATGCAACTGTGGACAGAAACCCGTTTCAGAGTCAGTCATCCCATTCCTCATGAGAACTAGGTCCCCTGGAAGCAGTCCGTGCAGTCCTGAGTTCAGAGCCTGTAAACACAGCGCCCCAGGAGCTGGCGAGTGCACTGCCCCAGACAGGGTGCAGGGAAGTCCTTATTCTCAGAGGCTGACTTTGATCACTGAGTTCATTGATTTACTCCTTTTCCCAGTGTGTGTCAATTTTGAAGACAAAGAGAAAGCCTTGGGGATGTAAAAACCTGTCCTAGGGATGGGGCAGAGTTCAGATGGGCTTCCTGGAGCATGACATTCAGGACCACAGGAGACTGTATGTTTTTTTGTTTTTTTTTTTCCTCTAAAAAGGAGTGCATCCTCAGGAGCTGGCTGGTTTTTCTCCTAAGGGCGTAGGTAAAGGGCAGCTTCCTAGAAATTCAGCAAGAGGGGCACAGGACCCTGTGTTTTCCTTGTCTTTGTGGTCTAACCTTGCTGGGCACCCTCTCTTCTAGGTCCCCCATCTGGCGAGTTGGGGAGGTGCTGGGGAAAGGCCCTGGTGGTCTTGGCAGGTGGAGGGGCTGCACCACCAGCCCTATCTGAAAGGCATGTTCTTGAGCTTAGGCAGGCAGGGGCTTCACCTGTGGCCCCTTGTCCATGCCTGGAATGTGATTCTGGTCAGATGCTTCCAGTTCCATCTGTCCATTCCAAGTCACACAGCCAGCACCCCAAGGCCATGGGGTAGGCCAGGACGAGCAGGAGGAGACTGAGCAGAAGGATGAGTGAAAGGAGGGGAATGGGTTTTTATCAAGCACCTACTGTGTGCCAGGTATTAGCCCAAGTCATGAGGCTCAGAAGATGGGCTCAGCATGAGCACGTCAAAGGGCCTAAGGGTTTTAATAGCCTCAGTTCAGCATGACTCAGCAGCACTAGGAGGAAGCCAGGAGAGTTAGTCTTTGGCCAGATTAATAGGAGTGTGGAGTTGAGAATGAAGGAGGTTATAAATTCTGATCAGACTCTACAGGGCTGCTGCATTCGTCCCTGTACTCTGCTCAGTCAGAGACAGGCAGGCTGGATTTGGGGTTGGGAGGGCCTGGAGACCTGTTGCTTGAGGGCAGCCAGGCCTAAGGAAGAGCAGGCACCAGTTCCCGGCCCCAAGTCTGCAGTGCTGACCCAGAGCAGCTGGATCAGACAGGGCGGCAGCCTCAGAGGACTGGACTGGGACCTATGGGACCTTGGGAGAGGCAGTGGCTGGCCCATGAAGGACGAGCCGCCCACAAAGCCAGGCCTCCCGGGGCAGAGGAGCACGGTGCTGGTCATCCTGAGGGGCTTTCTCACCACAGATTCTGAGCCACAGCCTCCTTCCCTTGAGGGGTCCCTTCCTGAAACATCCCTGGCCAGCACAGCATCCCCGCACCTAAGTGCCAGCCTCTTTCCCCAGGACCTCGTGCAGGTGGAGGTGCTGCTGCTACGGGCCGTGAGAATCCGCGCCCCCATCATGCGGATGAGGACAGGCACCCAGGTGAGCTGACCTCCTGGGCTCTGAATGCTGGTTCCCGAAGAGCCACTGCTGGAACCCTGTCCTCGAGTTAGAGTGCTTCTCCACCTCCTCCATCTCCCTGGCCCGGGTATCTAGGGCCTGCTTCTCACCTGTCCCCACCCAGGGAGACACCTTCCATTGCTCTCTGGTAGCCACTGATGGAAGGCCTGCTTCCTGCTGTCCTGTCACCTTCCCACATCTGGAATAGCACCAGATGCCTAACAGGAGCACAGTGACCGTGGTGCTTACTCCACTCCATGCTGTCTTGGACATTAATCCATTTGGTGTTCATAGCAGCCCTGGGAGGTTAGTGTCAGAACCATCTTGGTATTGCAGATGAACAAATGAACACACAGAAAGCTTAAGGCCCGTGCCCAGGGCCACACAGCTAGGAAGTGGCAGCACTGGGAGTGGACTGGGCAGCCTGGCATGGCACCTGCTGTGGCCTTTTGCCATCTTGCCTCCACCTGTGCCCTCAAGCCAACTCAGCAAATAAGAGACTAAAGGAGCTGGGGACCGCACCCACGCATGCCCTGTGAGCAGGGACCCCGGCTAGATTAGGAGAGAGGGGCCTGGAGGAACCAGTACTGTGGGGCAGTGCGAGCTGTGCTGTTGGTGGACCCATGGCCTCCTAGAGCTCCAGGGACTCCTTCCAGAAATGAGTCTCTTGAGGCCGGGCGCGGTGGCTCAAGCCTGTAATCCCAGCACTTTGGGAGGCCGAGATGGGCGGATCACGAGGCCAGGAGATCGAGAGACGATCCCGGCTAACACAGTGAAACCCCGTCTCTACTAAAAAATACAAAAAAACTAGCCGGGCGAGGTGGCGGGCGCCTGTAGTCCCAGCTACTCGGGAGGCTGAGGCCGGAGAATGGCGTGAACCCGGGAGGCGGAGCTTGCAGTGAGCTGAGATCCGGCCACTGCACTCCAGCCTGGGTGACAGAGCAAGACTCCGTCTCAAAAAAAAAAAAAAAAAAAAAAAAAAAAAAAAAAAAAAAAAAAAAGAAATGAGTCTCTTGGCCATGGAGAGGCACAGCCTGCTGCAGGGGAGGGACAGTGTGGGGAAAACAGTCCCACCTCTGGTTTGCTCGTTTGATATTTCATCAAAATTCCCAAACCTGTGCCGTGCTCTTCTCTGGTTGGGGAAGAATTGGGTTCGTCTCCTACTGCTTGAAGGAGGCAGCAAAGCTTCTGGGGGCATTCCCAGTGCTGGGAACTACTGCTTCTGACTTCTTCCTGCAGATGCCCGTATATGTCACTGGCATCACCAACCACCAGAACCCTTTCTCCTTTGGCAATGCCGTGCCAGGCCTGACCTTCCACTGGTCTGTCACCAAGCGGGACGTCCTGGACCTCCGAGGGCGGCACCACGAGGTAGGTAACCATCCCCCCAGAGCTCACCTCCCAGCCCTGTCCCAGGCCAGCACCCCGAGGGTCAGGGAGGGTTCCCGCCACATTGTCTCAGAGGAGGTCCTCATCCTCACACCTAGAGAGGCCCTCCCGCTTTCTTCCCTCTCCCGAGGCTCATCGGGACTCCCTTCTCTCAAATGCTAACCACGCAGACAGAGTGAGTAGGTGCCTCTCCTGACAGAAGTGGCCGTGTGAGGAAGTCACAAAAGTCCTGGGAGGTCAGAGTCTGCAGCTTCTGACCATTTTCTGAGATGATGTCTGGCAGCCCTCGGTTTCTCTTGCTTCATCCCAGAGGCCAAACTCCCCTTCCCTTAGCCCAGCGAGGGGCCCTGGCTCCTCCTGAGATGTCAGAGCTGGAAGGTGCCGGGGAGACTACTAAGTCCCTCTGTGTTAACTGAGGCCAGAAACAGGAAGAGACTTGCCCAGGGTTGCCCAGCAAGCCAGTGGGGAAATGGGACTGGACACCAGCCCCTGTGACTCTAGGCTCAAGCCCAGGTGGGTCTTGGACACACAGGACCCAAGTGGAGGGTGGCTTGAAAGGTCGCTCCCTGCCTCATTCAGGGACAGTGGGGATGGAGGCCTGGAAAGAGGCTTAGGCCCAGGGATGGGATTCCCTAAAGGCTGTCTGAAGCTTGTCTAGTGTAGGACTAATGCCCCCCACAACCCTACTCAGTGGGAACAGGGTCCTGTGTCTGGTGCCTGGGGGCTCCCCCACATTGCCCCCATGGAGCACAAGCAGTGAGACTTATTAACAGATATCCTAAAACAAAGCAGTCTGCAGGGACACACTGCAAAACCCAGCATCACTCTGGGTGACCTACAAGCACTGAAGTCTGAGGGACAACCTGTCATGAAGGCCCCTGGCTTATGTGGGTGGGCCCAGTATTTTCCAAATGCATCTGTGCACGTTGTGCAATGCAGGCAGGGCAGGACCTGGGCACCCATGCTGGGGAAGCCGGGTCTGCACAGCTCTGGAATTAGCAGACCCAACCCGGGCAGGAAGGCAGGGCCCTTGAGAATAGGCCAACAGCTGCCAGGAGGAGGGCTTGGGGGTTCTGGGCCTACTGTCCAGCTCTACCTTTTTGAGGACACAGGGACCTGGGCCTTACACCTGAAAATGTGTTTGATGTCTTCCAGGCGTCGATCCGACTCCCGTCACAGTACAACTTTGCCATGAACGTGCTTGGCCGGGTGAAAGGCCGGACCGGGCTGAGGGTGGTGGTCAAGCCTGTGGACCCCACATCGGGGCAGCTGTATGGCCTGGCTAGAGAACTCTCGGATGAGATCCAAGTCCAGGTAGGAGGCAGGTGGACAGGCCACAGGGAAGGGGGAGAGGAAGTGCCAGCTGCCCAATCCTCCTCCAGAGCCACATGTTGCATGGGCAGAGGCTGGGAGACCTGAGAAACTCTCAGTCCATGGGGTTGACAGTGGTCCATCGCAGTGGGGTAAGCATCCGAGTGTGACTGGTGCTGTGGGAGCCCAGAGGTAGGGCCAAGCAAAGTCTTCACAGAAGAGTAATGTTTCAGGATGAGAGGGGCTGGCAAAGGCCTGGAGGTGGGAACTCACTTGATGTGTGGCCAAAAGAGCAAAAAATTCTGAGCTTGGGGCTCCCTGTGGCTGAGTGGCCATTAATTTCATCGTCTGTGTTTATTTAACACACATAGAGCACCCAGAGGCTGGGGCGCCCTTACACGTTTTTCAGTATTGCTGCCTCCAGACCTCAGGTGAAGCCTGCTGGGCAGGGGCTGAAGGGGCTGCCACCTGCTGATGCCCCTGAGGCAGGGAGGGTCAAGGTCACAGGGTAAGTGGGGAATGGCCTCAAGAGGCCGGGGTACTGTGACCTGTCTGCATTTGGAAAACAGCCTCAGAGAGGGAGGGGCCTTGTTCAGAGCCAGGGGGTCAGGACTGAGTCCAGCAGTTCTCCTGCCTGGGGTGCAGCCCTGGGTCTGTATCTGGCCTGTCCCTGCTACTTACAGGATGGGATCTGGGTGAGCTCCTGCCTCTCTGGGCCCCTCTGCAAGGTAGGGAGTTGGCAAATTGGTTCTGAAGAGCAATTTTGTCTTCAAGGGCCTCGTTCTGCTCCTCTGGACCTCAGTAACCCCTAGGTGCTCCTAAGCTGTAAAGAAAAACAAAAAATGTTCCCTATATGTCCCAAAACAGTTTCTAGTCCCCTCCTCAAGAAGAAATAAACTATGTCTAACCCAAGCACCTCCCTGATCAGGGGCAAAGAAGCAAACTTTTCAAGAAAGAAAACACCCACAAAAAAAAAACCCCACCGATTTGCCAACCCCTCACTCCTGCCTGCACGTGCACACACACACACACATATACACACACACAGAGACACATATACATACATAAACGCATATACAGACACACAGAGGTCCACATGCACATCCCCACACTCACCAAGTGCATGTTCTTTGTTAAAAGGAAGTAAGTTCTGGAGCCTATCATGGAATTAAAGGCAGGGCTTTGCAGCTTCCAAATTGTGTGACCTCAGTTGGGTCACTTGACAGCTCTGTGCCTCTGTTTCCCTATCTGATAGCAGGTGGAGTTTGAGTAAATCAGAAACTAGAGAATCTGGATCCAGCCTACAAATGTGTTTTATTTGGCTTACTCAGGCCTTTGAGACAGCTTGTTGTCATGTAAAGATAGGAAGATTCTATGTGAAAATCTAAGATGCAGCATGTCCTAAAGATATGGTGTCAGGCCGGGCGCGGTGGCTCAAGCCTGTAATCCCAGCACTTTGGGAGGCCAAGACGGGCGGATCACGAGGTCAGGAGATCGAGACCATCCTGGCTAACCCGGTGAAACCCCATCTCTAGTAAAAAATACAAAAAAATAGCCGGGCGAGGTGGCGGGTGCCTGTAGTCCCAGCTACTCGGGAGGCTGAGGCAGGAGAATGGCGTAAACCCGGGAGGCGGAGCTTGCAGTGAGCCGAGATCCGGCCACTGCACTCCAGTCTCGGCGACAGAGCAAGACTCCGTCTCAAAAAAAAAAAAAAAAAAAAAAAAAAAAGATATGGTGTCTGCCACAGCAAAATCAGCAGGCAATGAGAAGCAACCTTGACTCCGTTAGAGCTGCGCTGTCCGGTTTGCCACAGGCCCCACCACTCCCTGTTGTCTTCCTGACAGTGAGATCAAGTATCAGTTGCCATTTACCATGGGGCTTGTGCTGTTGCTTTTCTTCTAGTTAACAGGAAAGTGGGAAATCTCTTACAACTCCCCCTTCATCTAAAGAGAAAGATAGGAATGCATGGTTTAAAAAAAATAGGAGGAACCCTATTTGTGAATGTATTTACCGGGCAGTAAGTGTGTCTGCGTCAGACTCAGTGAGGTGGCTTCCCTGTGGATGCTGGAAGGGGGCATACAAGTCAGCCTCGTCTCACCTGACACTGAAACCCCACCCAGCTTCCAAAGGCTGTTTCTCATCATTTGGGAAGTGCTGCCCCTCCTGTCACTTCATATGGAGCCCACAACTCTCAAGACAGGCGTGGAGAGGGTGTTAGTTGTGGACTGTGCACACAAGGAAATCTAGGCTTACCTGGACAGAGCACAGAAGGAGCCGGGAGGGACAGAATCAGGCCATCTTCCTCTTGGAGAAGCACTTGTCAGATCTGATGATACTGGCCATGGCCCAGGGCTCAGGCCCAAAGGGCATCCACCTGGTCTGATCAGAGGCCAGTGGGGAGCTCAGGGCACAGCTTTACCTGCCAGCTAGTGACTGCCCCTGAACCAGGCTGGGAGGCCACAGAGGCAGCAGCCCCAAGGGGCCTTAGAGAGGGGACTTACACAGGTGGTGGACACATCTGAAGTCTTACAGAGAAGGGGTCTGGAGTTCCCAGGCAGGTGTTGCTGCTGTGGGCTCGGGGAGCTACCAGGGCCTTGGAGCACCTGGGCATCCCAGGATGAGATCTGAGCCAATCTCATGAGGCTGATCATCTGCTAGACTGAGCTCCTCGCCAGGCCCTTGTGTGTGTCTATGTGGATCCTGCAAGAGCATGGCCAGAGCCAGCCAGAGGGGCCTGGGAGGTGGAACGGGGGTTGTTCTGAGATGGTGGCAATGAGGAGGAGGATGTCTCTGTGAGAAGAAGGAGCAGTTAGGTGGTGCCTTGCCCAGGCTCAGTCCTGGCACAGTTACCCTGAGCAAGATCCTGTTGCTGGAGTTGTGCGTGCTGCCCTCCGAGCTCATATCCTAGCAGGTAAAGTTCTCCCTCACTGGGCACGGAGGGAGAGGCCTATGTTTCCAGGCTCCTTAAAGGAGCTCCCATTAGGCTACACAAACATGAGGCTGCCTGCCTTTTCTCATCATATCTTTGGCACGCACACGTGTGTGTGTGTGTGTGTGTGTGTATTAGGGTCTTGCTCTGCTGTTCAGACTGGAGTGCAAGCCTCAGCCTCCCAAGTAGTGGGACTACAGTTGCACACTCCATGCGTGGCTAATTTTTAAAATTATTTTGTAGAGACTGGGGGTTTGCTGTGTTGCCTTGGCTGAGCTACTGCACCCGGCCACACCTTTGGCCTCTTAAAGGTCAGCCCTTCACATCATGTCACCAGTGACCTGACAGGCAAGAAAGCTGCTTTTCTCCTCTCTTGCCCTTCCTCGACTCTTGCTGCTAGGAGAGAAGCAGACACCTGGCCTGGATATGACTCCAGTGCCCCATCGGAAGTGAAACTTGCCCTCTCTTGCAGGTGTTTGAGAAGCTGCAGCTGCTCAACCCTGAAATAGAAGCAGAACAAATATTAATGTCGCCCAACTCGTATATAAAGCTGCAGACAAACAGGTACGTGACTCAGCTCTTGTTTCCAGCAAAGCTGTGTGGCTGTACTTGCATCCGACAGCTCATGTGTCAACACTGTCAGGAGCCATGGGTGCTTTCAGGGAGGTTTTCTCCTGTTGTGCTTGGAATGGATGAGGCCTCTGCCTGCTCCTTCTCTTCTCTGTGGTGCTTCTCTGCTTCTTGAAATCACTTCTCACTGTGGGTCTCTTTTTCCTCCTTGTAGCCTAGAAACATTTTTATGCAAGCTACTAAAATTCAGTCTTTAAAAGGGAAAAAAAACACCAGCTTAGAAGTGTTGTGTTTCCAGACTTGACACTCAGAGTGTAGCTGATGAGCCAGAAGCATCAGCATCATCAGGAAGAGGAGATGCAGCTCTCAGGCTCCACCCAAGACCTGCCCAAGGAGAAGCTGCACTCTAGGGAGATCCCCAGGCGAGGGGGCCCACACAGTAACGCTTGGGAAGAGCTGTTTAAAGCTCTTCTGCAAACATAATTCCTACCTTTGATTCTAGGAGGATGCCTTTCATAACAGTGGCTTGCATTTGAATGGCAGTTGCCAAGCGGGAGACTCCACGGGCCACAGGACACTTACTTGTTGCATGAAACACATACATGTTTTCATTCAGCCAAAAGTAACAAAGTGCCAGGCTCCATGCTGGGCTCCAGGAACGCGGATATGGGTGACATAGGGTGCCCTGGAGGAGGGTAGCAGGAGAAGGCTATTAGAAAGCAAGGTGTAGTATTCAAGCCAGAGCCCAAAGAAGGGTGCTGTCCATGGGGATTTAGGGGAGGCATGTCCCAGGTGGAGATGCTCGGGCTGGAGTTCTTGAAGGATGAGTAAGAGTTCCCCAGGTTAAGAGGAAGGGGTTGGTGGAGAAATAATGTTTAGGCAGAAGCAATAACATTTGCTCCTAGTCATCTATAGGGCTGTGGAAGAGACAGAGATGATGGGAACTAGCCCTGGGAGCTGGAGGCCTTTCCTTCCTGGGTTTCTTTATTATATTAATAAATATGTAAAAAGGTAAAAAATATGGCGTAATTTGCTTGCTACCCAGTGCATAGTATCAGTAGTTTGCTAACAGTTTTCTTAGCAGGTAGCCTGTTTTTATCCTGTTGACAGTCCTTAGAAATAGGACAAGGCAAAATCATTGCACACCTTTTACCATGTAAGAAGTCAATGCCGAGAGAAGAGGGGACGTAATGTGCACACAGCTGGTGGCAGGACATGTTGGGACCGGCTTTGGCTTCTGTCAGACTCAAAGCCCCATCCTCCACTATGCCAGGCTGCCTTGCTTCAGTAAATTGAGAACAATTTGCTGCAGAAATGATATTTTACAGTAAATGTCCCATGGAGCTGATGAAAGAAACTGCCCTCACAGTCTCTCCCTGCCTGCTGGCCGACTCATGGCAGGCGCTGCTCTGGGAAGAGTGAGAAGCCGCACTTTGCTTGGAACCATTGGATTTCTGAATTAGTTTTCCGTGGGTGACTGATGAAGCCTCAGACAACTGACAGCACATGGTCCTGAGGCCCGTGGGGCCAAGATTGGGCCTTTTTCACCTCCAAGGAGCATGGGGAGCTGCAGACTCTTAGATGTCCTGGCATTGTATCCAGGCCCACTCCCACTGCTGCCGTCTACAAAAACAGCTCTATTTTGTTTTCCAAAGGGATGGTGCAGCCTCTCTGAGCTACCGCGTCCTGGATGGACCTGAAAAGGTTCCAGTCGTGCATGTTGATGAGAAAGGCTTTCTAGCATCAGGGTCTATGATCGGGACATCCACCATCGAAGTGATTGCACAAGAGCCCTTTGGGGCCAACCAAACCATCATTGTTGCCGTAAAGGTAGGGTTGCATTCTCCTCCTTTTTGGAGTAATGAAAGCAATAGCACTGAGGTAATATGCCTCTCAGGAGTAAAAGTGAATATATTCACCTTCCAGCTGGGAAACTGTAGATAGGAATTTAAGAATAACTCAGGGTAGATAAAAAGCTATAGCATCTTCTGGTCGTCAGAGCCGAAGATCCTTGGGAGATCATTGATTCCAAGTACTTCATTTCATAGATGAGGCCCAGTGAGATCCATGATTGGCGTAAGGTTACAGAAATGGGACTGGCACCACAGCTTCCTGACTGGAGTGCCGGTGCTCCACCCACCGTGCTTGGCCACTGATGTTATCACCACCCATGGTGGAGCTCCTGCTCTGGGCCAGCCCAGTGCCTGGAACATGATCTGTTCTTAAGAGCATTGGATGATATGCTCGGTATCTGCCATAAAAGTCGTGACATCCAGTACATGACATCCGCTGTGCTTTTGAGAATGAGGTGGCCCATTTTCCAGACAAGGAGACTGAGGCTCAGAGTGGGAGTGACTTGCTCAAGGTTGCATGGGAATTGAGAGATGGGGTCTGTCTGCTTTGGGCGGTGTCCTTCTACCATATCATGGCACTGCCCTCTGCCATTCTGTGTTCCTTAGGGATGGGACCTTCTCCATCAGCATCCCTGGGTCAGGTCCTGGGGTTTTGCTGAATGGAATTTTCTTTCCATGTCTCATTACCACTTGCTGAACCCTGGATGACAGAAGACACACACTCACTTAAATCTTTAGACTCTGCCTGGGTCACAGACCTTTTTCATTAATTCACATCTTCTGTTTCAAAGTGGGTGCCTGGCAGCAGATCCCCCTCTCTAGTTTTTGGTGAGTGAAAGTGACTGACTGCTCATGCTATTTCAACAAATATGTATTGAGCACTAGCTGTATACCAGACACTGCACCACTGAACTTTGTCAAAGAAGTTCAGACCTTTGGAGCACTAGTTTTTGAGCCAGGATAGATTTTCACCTGGACTCAGAGAAACAAGGGCTGCTGTTTATGGAGCTTGGGTTCTTGGGCTCCAGAAATCCCCATTTCCCTCCTTGCCCTGGTGTCCTGCAGGCACACTGTGACATGCTTAGAGCTTCCCCATCGATCCAGAAGGACGTTGTTTCTTTAAATGCCCCAAGAGCCAGGTTCTCTGAAGAAACTGGATATTGCAGCCCAGGGGGCCCTCTCTCAATGTGAATAGTGATCTCATTTTTCCAAGTCATGGATTGGGACACTCCTGGGTGGGTTTTCTCATAGTGAGGCCAATCTGCTGTGTTGGGAGGTAAGAACTTTGTCACTAGGTTGGGACACTCTGGGGAGTGTGGCCTTTACTCCTCTCAGGACCCCTAAGTCCAGCCCCGCATTGTTCCTGAAGTGGATCCTCCTGGGGGCAGGCGTCCCCTCCTTGAGAGGTAGGTTTTGCTGGAGGCCAGTCCCTGGGACTGAATCCTCATCATACCTGTATGTTGTCCTTTAGGTATCCCCTGTTTCCTACCTGAGGGTTTCCATGAGCCCTGTCCTGCACACCCAGAACAAGGAGGCCCTGGTGGCTGTGCCTTTGGGAATGACCGTGACCTTCACTGTCCACTTCCACGACAACTCTGGAGATGTCTTCCATGCTCACAATTCGGTCCTCAACTTTGCCACTAACAGGTAGGATGTGGGCGAGGGTCATTTCTCCTGTGAAGTCCTGTCTGGTACCTGATAGAGACAACTGGGGATAACACAGAAAGGCTGCTGCTGTTGAAGGAAGATGTGCGTTACTTCAGTTTCCAAGAGATGTGGGCATGCTGCACCGTGCAGGGCCACGAGGAAGCACCACTGCCCTCGGGGGATGCAGACCATTTCAGAGGAAGATAGACAGGCATCAGCCCCCAGAGGAGGAAGTAGGGTGTGGGGAAGCTCCAGGGAGCGCGCCCCAAGGCACAGGAGATTGGCCCTTCAGCCTCGGCTGCCCACAGGTCCTGCCACGGTTGTGTTTCCCTGTTGCTGAATGCATTCAAAGACAGGTGTCAAGGGTGTTGCCTTATGGAAAGAACTAGGGTTTAGAGTCAGGCCTGGTTCTAGCCACAGCTCTGCCCTTTGTGGGCCCTATGAGCAGGTCACCATCCAAAAATCTGTTTCCACACCTATCATGTTGGGCAGTGTGGCCTAGGTTCCAGGGCTTTCCTTCAGCTGAGGGAGTGGGTCATGAGGACCTCTGGCAAACCATGGTGCTCTGTGTGTGTGCACAGAATTGCCATCTGTCAGTTTAGGGCATTTCCTGGAGGAAATGGAGCCCAGTTCTCCCAGCCCTTTGGCTGCACTGCAGGTCATTCTGGCCTTCTTGTGGCAGGAGCACCTGATAGAGACCCAGTCAGCACTCAGGATCAAAAGGTGTGGTGGAGGCAAGGATGCAGCCACAATCCCTATCCCAAACTGTCACCCCACGCCGTCCACACTTATGCACCAAAGCTGCCATTGGCAACATTGAGCACCTGCCCTGTGGCAGGTGCCTCCCCACTGCTGACCTCATGTAATACTCACGCCAGGCCTGTGTCACGGGCACGTGATGATCCCCATTTTTCAGAGGAGGAAAGGGCAGAGGCTGCTTCTGCAGTCAGGTTGCATAGTAAGGGCAGCCTTCCCTTTCTGGCATGTCCAGTTCTCTGGTGGGAAGAGCGTAGGGAAGCACTCTGGATCTCTTTCCCCTCGGGGCCTCAGTTTCCTTTCTGGAATGCTGGAATGATGCTGCTGCCACTGCCTAGCTGCGGGCTGTGTGTGCTTTCTGGGGTGACAAGTGAGGAGGTAGAGCCTGTGCCATCTGCCTGCAGTGGTCCCTCGTCTGGGGCCGCTGTTTGGTAACCTCGAGTTGGGGCCACAACTGGGACCTCAGTCAGTCGAATGCTTTGCTCAGCAGAGGACCTGGACTACATTTCTCCATCTGGGAGTTGGAGGCTTCTTTACCGAGACTGAGAGCGAGCCCTCCTTTCTCTCCTGTGCCTAGAGACGACTTTGTGCAGATCGGGAAGGGCCCCACCAACAACACCTGCGTTGTCCGCACAGTCAGTGTGGGCCTGACACTGCTCCGTGTGTGGGACGCAGAGCACCCAGGCCTCTCGGACTTCGTGCCCCTGCCTGTCCTACAGGCCATCTCCCCAGAGCTGTCCGGGGCCATGGTGGTAGGGGACGTGCTCTGTCTGGCCACTGTTCTGACCAGCCTGGAAGGTAAGACAGATCCTGAGCCAGGGAACCTGTGGAGTCACGGACGCTTGCAAAGCTGAGTGGGGGCTACCTGGGCGGGGGCTACCCGAGCGGGGGCTCGGCGCCAGTCACGGGGGCCTGCAGGCAGACCTGCAGGATACTCAGGAGCAGTGCTCCAAAACTGCTGCCCAGAGACCAGATCCAGCCTGTGCCTGTTTTCTGCAAGGAAATTTTTGTTGACACTCAGCTGGACCATGCATTTATGTGTGGTCAGTGGCTGTTGTCACCCTACCACTGCCAGATTGTGTGGTCATAGCAGAGATCATATAGGCTGCATAACCCAAATGCTTATGTCCAACCTTCAGAGAAAGCATTTGCCGGCCCTTTTCTGGAACAGCTCCGCCCGGGGGGCGTCCCCTGCTCCTGTGGGGCATCCCCTGCTCCTGTGGGGCATCCTGCCTCTGCACAGTCTCACGCAGTTCCTCTAGCCAGGCGACACACGGATTGCTGCTGCTGCTGCTGAGGAACTGAATTGACCATTTTAGTGAATTCTGTGGGAAGTGGCCATCATCGTGGACAGCACAGGCTAGGAGACTTAAGCAAAGAAGGACATTGGGCTAAATCAGTGACTTCCAAATTTCAGCCATGCCCAGGTGACCTGTAGTACATCTGTGGAACACATGTACAATTATTTACTTAGTTTTTATTTTCAAATTGTCTCCACCTTTTTTTTTTTACCTTACTAAATTCATTTTAAAAGGAGATGAAATACTACCTTTAAGGAAAAACAAATATAATTTGCCATAAATAGATTATGGTTGAGTCCTTTAATTGTATTTATTATATAATGTGATTGGCTTTTAACTCAGAAGTGTATGTGGTGAAAGCTCTGAGCCTCACACCTGCTGTCTGTTTGCTAAAAAGGAATTGATAAGGCAACGAAGGAATGGGGAGGGGCTGTTGCTTTGGGGAAGGAGCTACAGAGGGCAGGGCCTGGCAGCAGCACCAGACCATTCCTGGGCAGGGGTCAGCTAAAGCTTCATGCCAGGATGGTCAGGAAATTCCAGGCAGGGAACTGTGGGTCAGGGAGAGCAGGTGCTAGGGGCCACAGCCCTGTAGAGGGTGGGTGCAGCAGGGTAGGAGAGCTGATGGCTCCAGGTGGCTGGAGCCAGGGGCATGACCGGCACTGGGGCAGGCAGTGTGGCTGTCTCCTGAGGCTGCTGAGTGAGCCCCATTGGGGTAGTGGCAGCCAGTGAGGAGGCTGGCTTATCATCCAGGTGAGCTGGGCTTTGACTGGAGTGTCCAGCTATGGGAAGGGGGTGACATCCATGTTTCCTCTCCAGGCCTCTCGGGAACCTGGAGCTCCTCGGCCAACAGCATCCTCCACATAGACCCCAAGACGGGTGTGGCTGTGGCACGGGCCGTGGGATCTGTGACAGTTTACTACGAGGTCGCTGGGCACCTGAGGACTTACAAGGAGGTAGGCTCCAAGCAGCGGAGGCAGAAGTGGCTCAGTGGCCTGTGAGGTGGGCCTGACCTTCTGGGAGGATTATGAAGACTTTTCCTTTTAGAGAAAAACTGTCTGAGGGCTTGGGGTCTGGGAGTCATGAGTCTGGGACTGGCCACTTGCTGACTCTGACGTGGGGACAAGCTCCCTTTTCTTTCTAGGCCTCAGTCTGCCCATGTTCAAGAGGGTGTGATGAGGACAGGCAGCCTTGTAGGGTGGACTCCAGCTCCCATGGGCTTGGTTCTGGCAACCCTGGAGTGGGCACTTCCTGGGAGCCGGTGCTTCCCTGTCACCTGCAAGGTTAAGACTCCCTGTGCAAGTCAACTTTTGAGTCTGGAGGCAACAAAACCTGCTCTCTCTTCCATTCATCTCCAGTTGAGAATGAATCAGTGGGCCGAGTCTGACTGAGATCCAAATGCATCTCATTTTTAGAGGCAGCATGTGCTTTATGGAACCTAGCAGTTTAACCTAATAGTTTGCATATTTAGTGCTGCAGCTCTGCGGTTTGGGCGAGCCAGTTGCAGACAGAGGCATCCTCTGACAATACAGCTGTGCTCTCCTGGAAAGAGCCTCTGATCAGGGGATGGGGTAGCATGGACAAAGGTGTGCAGGGTTCAAGGGCAGAGCATGGGGGGCTGGAACAGAGGGTGTGGGAGAAGCGTGGTCTGGCTTTGTGATCAGATCAGAAAATGCACTGGATTCCGGGCAGTTTGGTGCAGGTTGACAGTGGGGCATCTAGAGCCAGACAGTCTAGGTCAAATCCCAGCTTGGCCACTACAAGGCTATGACTGAGCAATCACTGAGTCTCGCTATGCCCTGGTTTTCTCGTCTGTATAATGGGGATGATAGCGTTGTGAGGATTCAGTGAGTTAGCACCTGGGAAGCCCCTAGGGTGGTGCTCAGCTCCTAGCCAGTGCTCAGCAGAAATTAACTGCTGCTGCTCCTGTTCCAGGGTGAAGGGGTAGAAGCTTATGCCACACTCAGTGGAGTTTTTTAAACAGTGCTATAGACCAAGGCTGTGTTTGCTGAGGTTACCTGGCTCCTGGAGGAGCTCGAGAGAGCAGTGGCTGCAGGGTAACTGGCCAGAGACTGAGGCCAGGCCCTCAGCTGGGTTCATGGGGTATGGCAGAATCTAAAGGCATGTTTGGGAGAGATGGGAGGGAGGGAGGCACATCAGAGCTCCATGAGCATCCAGAAGTGGGGCTGGAGGGGAGGAAGGGCTTGGGGTGACCAGGTTGCTACTGGTCTTTTGTTAAGAGGGGCACACAGAGGTGGGTAGGCCTGCAGGGAGGTGAGGAGCCTGGGCCAGGGAGCTAGAGATGTCACAGCTCTCCCAGGTGAGGCAGGGAGCGCAGCTGGGCGGGTGCGGCAGGAGCACTGTGAAGAATGCTGGACAGGGTGGGGGCCTCACTCCAGAGGTGGCTTCGAAGCCCTGGGAGTGGGTGGGAGCGCACTGGCACTCCGGGAGTGCAGGTAGGAGAGGGACCAGGAGGCCTTGGGCACTCTCTCAGAGTGGACAGGGAGGAAGGGGAGAGGAGAGCCAGGGTTGGGGGGTCCCAGGCTAGGGAGTGGGACACAGCCTCTGTCAGTCCCTGGAGGTGGATGGTGGTGAGCCCTGAGAGGAGGCCCCGTGAGTTTGACAGTGATGCAGGCCTGGTCACCTACAGCTCTGCATGGGGCACATCCCTGGGAGCTGCAGGGGCTTCGATCCCATCCCTGCTCTGAAGTTCACCTACTGGTAGAAACCAGATCCCCGGAGGCAGGGACCGCTCGTGCCTGCTGAGAGAGGGAGGGGGGCCTTCAGCTGCAGGAAGTGGACTTGGGCCTGAAGGGTGGATGGGGCTGGGCTCTGCAGAGAAGGTGGGAGGGTGTCCTAGCCAAGGGACTGCAGGGAGGTCACCAGCCTGGGGCTGTTTGGATGTGGCCAGGTGCAGGATGGGCCCAGGGGGAACAGCTGGGAAAATCTGGGCAGACTGGATTCTGGGTGGGGTACGGTGCTGTACTACAGAGAAGTGATCCTGGCTGTCCCAAGAGCCAAAATCCTCAGCCCACCCAGATTGATTAATGAATTCAGGCCCGCTGCTCAGCGTCCAGTTGGCTGCTGGGAGAAGCAGCTTATTCAATCGGAGAACTGAGCTGTGAAGTCTGACTAGACTGGGCTCAAACCCCCTCTCTGCCACATTCTAGCAAGGCATTTAGGCTTTGAGCCTCAGCGTTGCCACCTGTGAAATGGGTGACACTGTGTCAGACTGCAGGGTGAGGTCGTGGAAATGCCCAGCATGGACCGGGACATAGGCGGTGCTCCATGAAGCTTCCTTGGCTCCCTCTCTAGGTCGTGGTCAGCGTCCCTCAGAGGATTATGGCCCGTCACCTCCACCCCATCCAGACCAGCTTCCAGGAGGCTACAGCCTCCAAAGTGATTGTTGCCGTGGGAGACAGAAGCTCTAACCTGAGAGGTACTTAATGAGCGGTACTTGGGCGGTCTTCAGAGTACCTGGGAGCAGGGAGGTGGCTTCCTGTGTCCTCTGGATGGAGTTTGTCTGCTTTTCCTATTCACACACCAACTCCAGAGAGGGCATTTAGCCCCCTACTCAGTCCACTCCTTCCAGCGTTTCTGAACTTGGAGTCCTCCAAAAGCTGAGCCAGTGAAAGGAATCTTCATAATGGAGCCCAGCTCCCGGAAGGTGCCTGTTCTGCACTAGAAATGTGACTTCAGCCCAAGGGCACCCTAACAAAGAAAGCCACAATTTCCCACCATGAATCCCAGAAACTAATGAATTAGCAGGACTGGTTGCTGGTTTTAATTTTTGTAATGACCTCTCCCAGGTTATGCGTAGAATGTTGAATCCCATCCCCTGCCCATGACAGCCCTGAACAGCAGCTGCCAGAAATAAGTAAGTCAACAGGGCTGTTTTCTTACACCACTTCACTGGCAGAGTGAAGCACCGCCCTTCACGTCCTAATTAATGAGGCAGCTCTGTTCCATCATGGCAGCCTCTGCTCCTTCCTCAGCACAAGTGGACAGCACTGTGCCGTTGCCAAAATGCTGCTCAGGTGTTAGTGGAGAACTAGTACCCTCCGAATGTGCAGAAGTAAATTGCCATTTCCCCTGCTGACAGGGACAGAAGTCAGGCATTAGTGGGCCCGGCCCGTCTGCTGTGCCCCTGGATACAAGGTCTGGAACAGATGCTGAAATTCTGACTTGAAGCTCCCTGTGATGCTGAATGGCGCCCTCTTCCATATGATGTGTCCTTGGCTTTACCAATCCTGGCTGCATCTCAAAACTTTGAGCAGCCCTGAGGCCCTGCTGGAAGACATGCAAGGGCAGGTGGCATTTGCGGCCCAGCCAGCCTGTGCAGGCCTGGTGGAATTCGGTGTGGTGGCCATCGGGCCTGGCCCACACCCTCTCATCTCTCCCCTCTCTAGGCGAGTGCACCCCCACCCAGAGGGAAGTCATCCAGGCCTTGCACCCAGAGGCCCTCATCAGCTGCCAGTCCCAGTTCAAGCCAGCCGTCTTTGATTTCCCATCTCAAGATGTGTTCACCGTAGAGCCACAGTTTGATGCTGCTCTGGGTAACTGCGAGGATTTGAAAGTGAAAGGGACTTGGAGACAGTTTCTGTCTTCTGGGCATCTTGGGGCTTCATGTGACCAGCTCACCATGGCCGTCTGTCCAGAGGGCAGAGATTGTTAGGAGCCCAGCCTGGGGATTGACTCCAGGGGGACTTGGGAGGACTGCTGGTCACAGAGGGTATCCTAGCTTGGCCAAGGCCTTTACGGGGGATTCCCAGGAGGATTTCTGGAGGAGGTGACTTCTCACCTGGGCTCTGGAGGATGCATAGGAGTACCCTGGTTAGAGAAGCAGGGAGAAGAAATGACATCAGTGCACGGGCAGGAGAGGGGACAAGACAATACACTCTTGTCTCTGCAGGCCAGTACTTCTGCTCAATCACAATGCACAGGCTGACAGACAAGCAGCGGAAGCACCTGAGCATGAAGAAGACAGCTCTGGTGGTCACCGCCTCCCTCTCCAGCAGCCACTTCTCCACAGAGCAGGTGGGAGCCGAGGTGCCCTTCAGCCCAGGTCTCTTCGCCGACCAGGCTGAAATCCTTTTGAGCAACCACTACACCAGCTCCGAGGTCAGGGTCTTTGGTGCCCCGGAGGTTCTGGAGAACTTGGAGGTGAGTGGCATCTGCATGCCTCAGGCCAGGCCAGAGTCAGGGGCGTCAGGAAGACCCTGGAGGAAGAGGGAATGTGGCGTGGATGTCCTGGGCCAGCTCTCTTTAAAATTTATTTTTACAATTATAATTTTTAAATTGAAGTACTCTTTCTGTAGCACTATTGCTGTCTCTCAGGCTGCGTGATTGTATTAATTGATCCGACCTCTGCTGTTCTTCCCCAGCTATAAGTTAAGCTTGTGGGGGCAGCACTGAGAACCCAGAAAAGGTGCCAGTGAGCATGTGGTGCGTGGCATGGCCGAATTCAGTGCAGGAGCATCCGCCACAGAGCAGGGAGGAAAGCCCTAATCCCTGCTGGGACAAGTCCCCTCTCTCCAGGCCTCACTTCCCCCATGACTAAGTCGTGGGGTGGGGTTGGGGGGTGAATGATCCCTCAGGCCCGGAGCCTAGCAGGCTGGGAAGAGTTCTGGGGTGAGAGAACCAAGGAGTTCCTCAGCATTTCCACCTGCTCATCCTCCTGCCTTGCTGCAGCCAGCGTGACGGCATGTTCTCCTGCAGAGGCAGGGAATGCCCAGCATCACCAATGAGGGAGGAGGGCCGGCCCGCTGGCGGCTGCTGGAGACCAGCCGTGAGCAGAGCTCGGGCTGCTGCCTTGGAGAGCTGGTGCTTGGTGATATTTCGTGTTGGTTTAGCCTTTTTTTTTTTTTTTTTTTTTTTGAGACGGAGTCTTGCTCTGTCACCCAGGCTGGAGTGCAGTGGCACTATCTTGGCTCACTGCAATCTCCACCTCCCAGGTTCACGCCATTCTCCCCCCTCAACCTCCCGAGTAGCTGAGACTACAGGCGCCCGCCACCACACCCGGCTATTTTTTTGTATTTTTAATAGAGACGGGGTTTCACCATGTTAGCAAGGATGGTCTCAGTCTCCTGACCTCGTGATCCGCCCGCCTCAGCCTCCCAAAGTGCTGAGATTACAGGCGTGAGCCACTGCGCCTGGCCTGGTTTAGCATTTTTGTAAGCAGCAGTTGATTAGAATTGAATAAACTTGAATTTGATTCTGACATTCATATTGATTTGTCCTTCCCTCAAAAAACACCCTGAGTACGTACAGGGCTTCCCGACTCTGCAGATTACATGCCGTCCATGAGCAGTGCCCAGGTGTCATTACCTGCCCATGAGGTGTGACCTGGGCAGGGGTCTCTACTCCATACCCTTGGGCCCCAGGAGGGAAGCCCAGCATGTCAGGCTGAAGCAGGGGTGCTTCCAGAGATGGGCCATGCAGAGCAGCCCTCCCGCCTCGGGGTCCTGAGGCCCCACTCAGTGGTCCCTCCACTGAGTCCCACCCCCAGCTCTGATGTCTCTTCCAGGTGAAATCCGGGTCCCCAGCCGTGCTGGCATTCGCAAAGGAGAAGTCTCTTGGGTGGCCCAGCTTCATCACATACACAGTTGGCATCTCGGACCCCGTGGCCGGCAGCCAGGGCCCTCTGTCCACTACCCTGACCTTCTCCAGCCCCACGACCAACCAAGCCATTACCATCCCAGTGACAGTGGCTTTTGTGATGGATCGCCGTGGGCCCGGTCCTTGTGAGTTGCAGAATGATGTCATCTGGGACAGACCAGGGTGGGGAGGGACAGGCAGAAGTGGTCCTGGCTATCAGTAGAAACCTGGAGTGTAAGAAATGGAGTAGTCAGAAATGCAGAATGTCCCTCAAAGTGATCACTGCTCATTGGGGCCATGATGCAGACTTTAGTTCCCCAGCTTTCCCATCTGTTCTCAACGGGCCTCCAACCCCGTGGAGGCCCACAGGGACTGTGCCCCTCCTCTGCTCTGCAGCCTGCGCCAGGAGAGGAAGCGCCAGAGTACCAAGAGCAGCTGTGGGCCCGGACCTCCAGCAGGTGGCCTGGCCCTCATCCTTATGTCTAAGAGGGGCCTGTGGACTGCCCTGTAGACATACAGTAGTGCAGGAACATGATGGGACACCACAGTGGGCCTAGTGGTTTTGGTAACTCATCTTCCCATTGATGGCAGATGGAGCCAGCCTCTTTCAGCACTTCCTGGATTCCTACCAGGTCATGTTCTTCACGCTCTTTGCCCTGTTGGCTGGGACGGCGGTCATGATCATAGGTGAGGAGGCTGCGTGTATCTCTGGGTCTGTTCCCCTGCCCCCGCCTGCTCTAACCAACCATGTGCTCTTGCAGCCTACCACACTGTCTGCACGCCCCGGGATCTTGCCGTGCCTACAGCCCTCACGCCTCGAGCCAGCCCTGGGCACAGCCCCCACTGTGAGTAACCCCCCTGCAGGCAGAACCAGGCAGAGCTGCTGAGAAAGAAAAGAGCCCTGAGGGAGGGGTCGAGGCTCCTGAACCCTAAGTCTCAACAGGTCCTTGCCTGGGCCAAAGGAGCCTGAGGCCCAGAGGACAGATGTGGGAGCCAGCAGGATCAGGGCAGAGGGGCTGCCAGTCCTGGTTCAGCAAGAGCTTTCCCCAGGCAGAGCCATGCTGGGTGGAGGTATGGGCAGCAAGGAGCTCTGTCTAGGCAGGGGTGCATGCTAGGACCAGATTCTCACCTGCTGGGGCTGCCTCAGAAGGCTCTAAGCTGGGGTTGGACGAGCTGACTCACAGATGGGGATTCTGGGTAGTTCTGACGAGAAATTTCCCAGAAGAAGGGGCAAATTCATTTCTTTCAATGGTCCAACTGTTTCTGGTGACCCTGCACAGCTCCAGGGAGCACCTCACTGTGTGAATGCAATTTCTCTCTCAAACAATGCAGTGCCCAGCCTGTAGTGCTATACGCGAAGGCCCTTTAATGTCTTCTGATTCCCATTTGAGGGTTCTCTCGCCTACACAGAGAGTCCTTGAGCTCGTGTCTGCTGATCTGGGGGCCCATGGACCAGCTTCAGGGGGGTCCCTGAATTTGTTTGAAAGAAGACCCAGTTGTGTGGGTAGAAGCACTTTCCTGAGTAAGGAGAGCCCACACGCCCTGGCCTTCTGCCTGACGGCTTCTCCACCTGCGAAGCAGTGCCCAGGGGAGGCCATGGGTGCTCAGCCTTCTCACAGCTCTGCTGCTTTCTGCAGCTGCTCTGGCAGCAGGCACCTGCCCTTTCTAGTTGCCTCTCTCAGCGTGCTCCTCCCTGGGTTTTGGGAGCCACGCCTGGGTCTCTGCAAGGTCTCCGGAGCACTGCAGAATCACTGCTCCCCTTGAGGTCTTTGTTCCTGTGGTGCTCTTGCCCAAGGCTGTGTTGCATTCAGATGCACAGGCCCTCCCTGCCACATGCTCCCTGGACAGATGCTGCTGCGGTCCTGAAACTTGAGACTTGTTCTCCCCGGACAGGCTCTGCACTCCTGGGTGTTAGGGTGGCATCCCAGGCCTCTCTGTGTGGATGAGGCCAGCTCAGCAGGTGCCGGTGGACTTCCCTCTGCTGGCCGGGGAGGCCTCGGGGCATCACTATGAGAGTGTCCTGGGTGAGGCAGGCGCCTGCTGAATGCTGGCTGTAACTGAGGAGCGCGCCGCTCTCCCTGGCTCTGCTGCTCACATCGTCTCTCTTCCCATCCTAGATTTCGCTGCCTCATCACCCACGTCTCCCAATGCACTGCCTCCTGCTCGCAAAGCCAGCCCTCCCTCAGGGCTGTGGAGCCCAGCCTATGCCTCCCACTAGGCCGTGTGAAGGTTCCCAGAGGATGGATCTCAGCCTAGCCTCGTGCGCCCCCAAGATGGGAGATCCCTGCTGCATTCACACTGGAACAAGCCCCTCCAGACGAGTGCCCCGGCCAGCTTCACTGCCGTCTCTGTTCACACAGAGCTGTAGTTTCGGCTCTGCCCATTAGCTCATTCTTTTATATAGGAGTTTTAAATGTGTGTTTTTTTCCTTTCAGGTCTTACAAAGCTAAGACTTTTTGGCTCATTCCTTTTTGCATGGTTGTCTAGGGTTTCTGGACAATGTGCTGTTGCATTTTTATTTTCCTAGCCTTGCTGAAATCTCTCCCTTCTCAAGACTTTGAGCAGTTAAAAGTACTCTTTACAAGTTGTCTGTAGGTGACGTTACTGTAGTGGTTGGTCTCAGGGAAAGGATTGTCCAGTTACTTTAGGGATTTTTTTGGTGGGGTTTTTCCCCCTGTGAAAACTTACCTTTCCACTAGTCTGGTTGCTGCTAGGAATGTTGGGGAGCAGTGGGACATGAGTGTCCCTGTGTCTGCCCCACTGCCGCAACGGAAGCCTCAGGAACCAGCACCTGGAGGCCGGGATAGCCAACCCCTGGGTGAGCGAGAGGCTGGAGAACACGGGAGCTCACCCAGGGCTGCTGCCCGACCACGGGCCACTGTGAACAGACTTCAGTCCTCTGTTTTTGTTTCATAAGCTGTTGAGACATCTGGTGGACTTGGCTTAGGCCCTGCTGGGACATCCCAAGTGTGATCCCTCTCACTCCATCAGGACACCAGGACTGTCCTTAGGAAAATTCCTTGAGATGGCAGCAGGAGTCGTATTTTCTGTGTGTGTGTTTCGGAAAGCTGCTGTGTCCTGCCTCAGCACAAAGACCCAGTGTCATTTGCTCCTCCTGTTCCTGTGCCACTCCAGAACCTCAGCAGATCTGAGCCACCGCCTGCCAGTGTGAGAGGCGGCCACTTTTATGGCAGCTCGTCAGGCGCAGGGCCCCAGGCAGCTTCCCAGCAGGCCCTAGAGCCTGGCCCGGGCCGGTGATGGAGGGCAGCCACCAGCCCAGGGCCTGCCCATCCAGAAGGGACTCCCCAGGGGCTGGGGGAGGAGACCCTTGGAAAAGTCCTCTCTTCCCAGCTCCTGGTTCTGGATCTGGGATTCTCAGATCACAGGCGCCTGTGCTCCAGGCTGAGGCTAGGCTACCCTCAGGGAGATCCAGAGACTCATGCCCATGGCCATCCATGCATGGACGCTGTGTGGAGAGTCCAGGATGACTGGGGATCCCGCACAAGCCCCCTTCAGTCCTTCAGCGCTGGGCCATGTGGTTGATTTTTCTAAAGCTGGAGAAAGGAAGAATTGTGCCTTGCATATTACTTGAGCTCAAACTGACAACCTGGATGTAAACAGGAGCCTTTCTACTTGGTTTATTTAATAAAGCTCTATGTGATTTTTTAAGAGGGTGCGATCATTGATGAGACTTCTCTCTGATGGTGATGGTTTCTTCCCTTTACCCATCTATGATACTCTAGGGCCTGGCAGAGCTGGAGGTCTGAGCTTTATTCTCCCCAAGGGGTGAGCATCATTTTCAAGCACGCTCAGGTTGGCAAATCCAAGTGCATCTGGACATAGCCAGATCTTGCCAGCAAGTGAGTGTGCCCAAGAAGGCATGTTGACAAAACCATGTGATGCCACACAGTTCAGCTTTCTGCTCCCAAGCTAACCAAGCGACTCTTTATCTCTAATGGTTGCCAGGAAAGGCTTTTAGCACCATTTAGCACTAAAAATATAGTATATAATATAGTTTTTTCTCTAGAATTCTTAAGTCTGGCCAGAAGTGAACTCTTGTTCTCTGTTTTTCTGTATGTCTTTGTGCATGCTCACACGTGCATCCATGCATCCTGGAAATATTTTGTTGTTGTTGTTGTTGTTTTGAGACGGAGTCTCCTCTCTCGCCCAGGCTGGAGTGCAGTGGCGCAATCTCAGCTCACTGCAAGCTCCGCCTCCTGGGTTCACGCCATTCTCCTGCCTCAGCCTCCCGAGTAGTTGGGACTACAGGTGCCCACCACCATGCCTGGCTAATTTTTTGTGTTTTTAGTAGAGACGGGGTTTCACCATGTTAGCCAGGATGGTCTCGATATCCTGACCTCATGATCCACCCGCCTCGGCCTCCCAAAGTGTTGGGATTACAGGCGTGAGCCACCGCGCCCGGCTGCATCCTGGGAATATTACATCACAAGGTCTGCAGACACTCGCTAGCAGGGAGCACTGAACCTGGGGCATCCAGGGTGGGTAGCAGAGGTCTAGGCTGGTGAGAGCTTAGCAATCAGGTAACCAGGAGTCTAGGCCCACCTTGCTCTGGGGCTGGAGAGAAATTGTTTATCTCTCTGGGCCACAGTAGTTTCCTCACCTGCAAAGGGGAGCTCTTGGACATGTGTCCTACTCACCATCCACCCAGAGTGGCTCCCAGCAGGAAGCAGGTGCTAGATGGTATCACTGTCCCCAGATACTCAGCCTCCCTCTGTGCACGCCCTCTCCCACATGCCTTTGCAGTTCCTTCTGCCCATTGAGGCTAGGTGTGGTCATGTGACTTGCTTTGGTTGGCATGGGTGAGAGGGACGATGGGTCAGTGCTGGGCATCCCTTACCCTTCTTGTGCCCCTGCCATTGATGTAGTAAGCAGGAAGCCCAGGTAGCTGCAGGTCCAAGCAGGAGGAAGGACACCTGCAAGGGACCTGCCCATCCCGGATCACCTGGCCTGCAGCCCATGGCTATGAAAAGAGTGATGGTTCTTGGGGACAGCGTGGTAGGCAGCAATGTTCTAGCAACCCGTGACAGATAAGAAACATGCTATGGTTCCCTTCTGGCTGAACGCAGTGAAGGCAGATGTTTTCTGTCTCACGTTCCCTCCCTTTGAGGATTCCCTCTGGGCTGTCTGGTGGGCCCTCTCAGCCCATCCTGCTGGGACAGGGTTTCCTGGGCGTCCCTGGCCACAAGCCTAGCCAGGCACCCAGTCAGGAACCTCTGAGGATGGGGCACAGCAAGGTTGTGCGATGCTGGACCTGTCGCTCCTGTGCTCCCATCTCCTCTGGGCAAGGATGTGGTCAGCCACACACTAGAGGCTGCTATGGGGGTGGATGGGAATGTGGTTCCACAGGACACATCGCTCCATCATTGTGGGTCCTGTGCCCACATGAAACCATCCTGCTCAGCCTTACTCTCCATTGCAGCCCTTGTGGCGGGGCCACAGCGGGAGGGATGTTCTCAGGATGGTTTTTGGAATGAATGCATGAGTGAATCCCCACGAAGGAATGTGATTTTGGGTTTCCCCAACTCTGGGTTCTAGTTTCTGGAACATCCTGAACCTCAGGTCAGTGTGGGGAGGAGCAGGGGCCAGGGGACAGGTGGAAGCTGAAACTCACAACAGGCTGAGAGTGCCCACCAGGCACAGCCCAGGGAGAATCGGCTGAAGGGAGGTACCACAGGACAGAAAACAAGAGAGGGCTGACTCAGTCTCTTCCAAACCACTCCTCTCAGCTACCTCCAAGCCACCTGGGCTAGAGCCAAACAAAGCCAACTTGACAGAACCACCTCTGGCCACCAGCATGGCTCCCAGCAGCCTGTGTAGATCTGCTTAGATGGTTGGAAGGAGCCAAGAGGCAGGGCGAATGCTCAGAGCCGCCACTGTTTCCTGCACGCCACCTGCTAGCACATGCTGAGCATTTCCAGTCACCAGCTCACTTCATCCCCGCCACAGCCCTAGGAGGCAGGCCCAGCCACCTACAGATGGGGAAACTGAGGCCCACAAGGTGAAGCCACTCACCTGGTCACACGCTGGCAAATGGCAGAACCGGGATTCAAATCCTGGTTGACTGGCACCAGAGTTTGCTCCCCCAATGTGTACCTTCTTCTGCCCTCCTGGGTAGGGGCATCCACTGGGGAGCCTTTCACCCACTTCCCTCAGACCAGCTCAGCTGTGGACTGTCTCATGAATTATTTTATAATCATAAGGAAGACATTTTGCTGGGCATGGTGGCTCACGCCTATAATCCCAGCACTTGAAGAGGATGAGGCAGGCAGATCACTTGAGGTCAGGAGTTCGAGACTAGCCTGGCCAACATGGTGAAACCCGGTCTCTACTAAAAATAAAAAAATCAGTCAGGCATGGTGGCACGTGCCTGTAATCCCAGCTACTCAGGAGGCTGAGGCAGGAGAATCACTTGAACCTGGGAGGTGGAGGTTGCAGTGAGCAGAGATTACACCACAGCAAGACTCCATCTCAAAAAAAAAAAAAAAAAAAATTATTTAACATAAGAAAAAATTTAACATAGAAAAATATTTTTTACAAGGAAAAATGTTTTTCATAAAAAATTAAAAGGCCGGGCACGGTGGCTCACATCTGTAATCCCAGCACTTTGGGAGGTTGAGGCAGTGGATCACGAGGTCAGGAGATCAAGACCATCCTGGCTAACATGGTGAAACCCTGTCTCTACTAAAAGTACAAAAACTTAGCCAGGCATGGTGGCAGGCACCTGTAATCCCAGTTACTTGGGAGGCTGAGGCAGGAGAATGGTGTAAACCTGGGAGGCGGAGCTTGCAGTGAGCCAAGATCGCGCCACTGCACTCCAGCCTGGGCAACAGAGCGAGACTCCATCTCAAAAAAAAATTAACAAAAAAATTTTTTTTTTTTTTTTTTGAGACGGAGTCTCACTCTGCTGCCCAGGCTAGAGTGCAGTGGCCGGATCTCAGCTCACTGCAAGCTCCGCCTCCCGGGTTTACGCCATTCTCCTGCCTCAGCCTCCCGAGTAGCTGGGACTACAGGTGCCCGCCACGTCGCCCGGCTAGTTTTTTGTATTTTTTTAGTAGAGACGGGGTTTCACCGTGTTAGCCAGGATGGTCTCGATCTCCCGACCTCGTGATCCGCCCGTCTCGGCCTCCCAGAGTGCTGGGATTACAGGCTTGAGCCACCGCGCCCGGCCCAACAAAAATTTTTTATAAAAAAAATAATTTGGCCTGGCACTGTGGCTCATGCCTGTAATCCCAGCACTCTGGGAGGCCGAGGCAGGTGATCACGAAGTCAGGAGATTGAGACCATCCTGGCTAACATGGTGAAACCCTGTCTCTACTAAAAATACTAAAAATTAGCCAGGCATGGTGGCGGGCGCCTGTAGTCCCAGCTACTCAGGAGGCTGAGGCAGGAGAATGGCGTGAACCGGGGAGGCAGAGCTTGCAGTAAGCCGAGATTGCGTCACTGCACCCCAGCCTGGGCGACAGAGCGAGACTGCATCTCAAAAAAAAGAAAAAAGTTTTGGCCGGGCACAGTGGCTCATTCCTGTAATCCCAACACTTTGGGAGGCTGAGGTGGGCAGGTCATTTGAGGTCAGGAGTTTGAGACCAGCTTGGTCAACATGGTGAGACCCTGTCTCTACTAAACACAAAAATTAGCTGGGCATGCTGGCATGCGCCTGTAATCCCAGCTACTTGGGAGGCTGAGACAAGAGAATCGCTTGAACCCGGGAGGTGGAGGTTGCAGTGAGTCCAGTGAGACTCCATCTAAAAAAGAGAAAAAAAGAAAAAAACTTTTAACAGAAAAGTACAACAAATAATATAACAAACCCCCATGCCTACTACTCAATGTAGGCTTTTGTTAGCATGATCTTATAGGCTTCCACGGTGTGTTTTGTTTTGTTTTTCAAAAAATAGACCAAAAAAAACACCAAAACCAAAAACAAAAAAACCCTACTGTTATAACTTCTCTCATGTAACCTCTACCTTCTAGCCCTTCATCTTTTTTTTCCCTTGAGATGGAGTTTTGCTCTTGTTGCCCAGACTGGAGTGCAATGGCGCGATCTCAGCTCACTGCAACGTCCGCATCCCGGGTTCAAGCACTTCTCCTGCCTCGCCTCCCAAGTAACTGGGATTACAGGTGCCCATCACCACGCCCGGCTAATTTTGTATTTTTTTTAGTAGAGACGGGGTTTCTCCATGTTGGTCAGGCTAGTCTTGAACTCCCAACCTCAAGTGATCCACCTGTCTCGGAATCCCAAAGTGCAGGGATTACAGGCGTGAGCCACTGTGCCAGGCTCTCGTTTTTCTCTTCATAGGCTACTACTTTTGTAAGTTTGGAGCCAATCTTTCCAAAGCAACTCTTATTATTAAAAAGCATCAGTAAGGTCGGGTGCAGTGGCTCACATGTGTAATCCCAGCACTTTGGGAGGCCAAGGCAGGTGGATCACCTGAGGTCGGGAGTTCAAGACCAGCCTGGCCAACATGGCAAAACCCGGTCTCTACTAAAAATACAAAAATTAGCCGGGCGTGGTGGCACACACCTGTAGTCCCAGCTACTGGGGAGGCTGAGGCAGGAGAATCACTTGAACCCAGGAGGTGGAGGTTCCAGTGAGTCGAGGTTTTGCCATTGCACTCCAGCCTGGGTGACAGAGCAAGACTCCCTCTCAAAAT